TAATATTATAATATATTAAATATAAATATAAATTATATAAAATATAATTTATAAATAATTTAATATTAATATTATAAAATATTAAATATAAATATAAATTATATAAAATATATTATAATTTAATATTAATATTATAATATATTAAATATAAATATAAATTATGTAAAATGTTATATTATAATTTAATATTAATATTATAAAATATTAAATGCAATTAATCACAAAAAAAAGAACACAACGATGATCTTCAGATCTCATTGAAATAAAGTATTTATAGCATTACATATTTGTCTCCTAGAGCAGTTCAACCTTTTGTCCTGTGAAGTTTCTTTTTTGCCCAACAGAGAACAACAGCAGAGATATTTAAACGATTCACCCTGCATTGTTTCAGTTTGTTCGCGCGCAGATGAAGGAACGGTAATTCAGCGAAAGAGTATAGGGCTGCATCGACGATAAACCACGAATCATCGCACTCCCTATTATTACAAACCAACTTCCGGCTGAACTTCGAACCCAGCGATAAGCGAATCGAGGACTCGCATCGCAGTCATTAACTAATTAATGGAAACGGAAGCTAATTGCTGGGATGAGCCGCACGATATTTGTTGTGGAAGCGTTATTCGCTGAATAAACTCGATACGTGATATAGTATGATAATCTCAACGATTATCGCTCATCTATGATGTCGCGTCCGTTGCAAAATTTATCATGGACATTTTTTTTCTTAATGGACCGTTCGAAAGTACGTTTTCCCCGGTGGAGAAGACAATGTAAATCGCCGAGCGGATAATTCTTGGTTTCCGTGGCCGACGCAGTTTGTCTCTGTTCGAAATCATTAGCGGACAAATTAATTTTCTCTCTCGTTTCCTGTTTAATTAACGCCCGCTCTGTGCTTACCAATCTTCTCCGCCGTGGCTGGCCATCCGATCCCGATAGCCGCTGCCGGCAATTTTGCAATAAAAAACACCACGTGACTGCGGCGACTTTCGTGCTTATCGATCGACATGGGTCCTATTTTAATCCTGCGATTAATATACTTCGAGCCTTTTGTATATTTCAACCTTCCTCGTCTTTCGTTTTTTTTTTTTTCTTTTTTCTTTTTGTCTCCGGAACTATTTTTGCTGGTCACGTGCGGTGCGTGTTTATTGGTTGTTGCACAACTCTGGAATCTGCTCCGTCCGCAAAGTCGAGCAGCGATGGTCCACTTTTTGAAAGAATTATTGCCTCTCGAAATGTAATCGACATCTAAAAAATATATATATATATATTTATTTATTTGCGAAAGTAGATACATGTAAATTTATAATGTTGCAAGCAGAAAATTAAAGAGTAATTATAGATTTATGAAAGGAAAGAAATTTATATTAAATATAAAATATATATGTATATGTATATATTTACATTATAATATAAATATAGTATATAATGTATAAAATAAAATATAATATATAATGTATAAAATAAAATAAAATATAATATATAAAATAAAATAAAATAAAATATAATATATAAAATAAAATATAATATATAAAATAAAATAAATTAAAATATAAAATATATAAAATAAAATAAATTAAAATATAAAATATATAAAATAAAATAAAATATATAAATATATAAAATAATATAAAATATATAAATATATAAAATANAATAAAATATAAAATATACAAATATATAAAATAAAATAAAATAAAATATAAAATATACAAATATATAAAATAAAATATAAAATACACAAATATATAAAATAAAATAAACTATAAAACATATAAATATATAATGTATGAAATATAATAAAATATGTAAATATATAAGATATAAAATATACAATATTATATATAATATTATATTATAAACAGGTCTCCTCACTCTAAAATGAACGGACGAAAAATAAACCTATCTTTGATCTGAATTTGACCAGTCGTGCAGCTACTTGAAGGAAAAAAAAAAGAAAATAGAATTCAGCGGGGGTAGGATGATAAAATCCAGCGGTGGATTTTATTATCCGGAAGTACTCGAACGTCCGTCACGTACTCACGCCGTAGCGTAGTTATTAGCTGTTAATTATGGTTGGCACGTGACGCCGGAAGTCGCTTGATCGAACTGCCACCATTTCTTTCCCCACGAACCACCTGTCGCATTTGCGATTCTACTCGAGCGTGGCGTCCACCCGCCGAGTCAGGCAGACAGAGCCGAAGACAAATGGGAAGCCCGAGCAATTTAAGCGTCGAGCGCCACGCCAGATCGAGAGTAAAGCCATACCGGAGGGAGAATGCTTCACGAGATGTTCCCCGAGATGCGAAGAAAGGGCAAAGAGAGGAAACTCTGTCGTTTGAGGAGGAACTTGGCAAAGGAACGTTTTCGAAGTTTCCAAGTGAAGTTAGAGTCTTCGACCAGTTCCCTTCGACTTTGTCAGTCGGGGATTAATTCCCTAAACACATTAATTCGCAAGTAGCGTCGCGGTCGCCACCGATTCAACAACTGTGTCTCTCCGTGCAGCAGTCTCAGCTTTTAGCGTTAGTGTCTCACTCTTCTTTCAATTCTTGGGCAAATCTTATTCAACGAGATGATCAAAAGCAGAGTCTACACGCTGATGATTTCAATCACAGGATTCATTTGTCTTTAGTTCTTTTAATAACATGGAATTGAAAAATTATTTATTTTTCAATTACTATTTATTTAATTAGTCATTTCTCTGGATTAACCATCTTTTTGCCCATTTCTTTTTAGTATTTAATGTATTATTTCTCTTTAGTATTTAATTTTAGTAGCTTTTTTCAATTCTTGGGCAAATCTTTTATTCAACGAGATGATAAAAAGCAGAGTCTACACGCTGATGATTTCAATCACAGGGTTCATTTGTCTTTAGCACCTTTAATAACGCAGAATTGGAAAATTATTTATTTTTCAATTATTATTTATTTAATTAGTCATTTCTCTTGATTAACCATCTTTTTGCCCATTTCTTTTTAGTATTTAAGGTATTATTTCTCTTTAGTATTTAATTTTAATAGCTTTTTTCAATTCTTGGGCAAATCTTATTCAACGAGATGATAAAAAGCAGAGTCTAGACGCAGATGATTTCTATAATCACAGGATTCATTTGTCTTTAGTTCTTTTAATAACATGGAATTGAAAAATTATTTATTTTTCAATTACTATTTATTTAATTAGTCATTTCTCTGAATTAACCATCTTCTTGCCCATTTTTTTTTAGTATTTAATTTCTTCCTAGTTTTTGTAAGTAATAATGAACCTCTTGTTACTAACAGTAATACTGGAGCTGGAAGACGATCCGACATTTCGAAACGCATGCTTCAACGTTGGCGTCACACGAAAAACTGAAGAGGTAAACTGACTCTAACGCAGGTTTCATGATACCTAGGTGCCGGTGCATGCATCGTCACATGTTTCAACGTCTGTGGGAGTCTTTAGGAACGCACACTTGTCGAAAACGTTGTCACAGAGTCGACGTATGGTGTGTTTGACAAGAACGTGGGTGCCATTTCTCTGAAAAACCGTACACAATAATTCGTCGCTTTCCTTTTGAACTCGTCGATATGATATCACTATAGAGAAAAATTAAGTAATAAATTTATTAGTTATTTCGCCTTTCGGTTATATTTAAGTATACTAAAAAATCTTGACGTGCGTAGCACGTCATTCCAGCGCAAGAGGTTAACCACTTGCATTGACAACTGGTTTGCGGACCATAACGAGTGACCGTATACAATAATTCGTCGCTTTCTTTTTGAACTCGTCAGTATAATATCACTGTAGATAGATAAAAATTATTGAGAAGTAATAAATTTATTATTTGTTTGGCCTATTTTGTTTCACTTAAACATACTTAAAACTGAGAAAAGACTACAATTTTGGGAACAAAAAATTCTCGACGTGCGCGGCACGTCATTCCAGCGCAACAGGTTAGCCTCTTGCGCTAGTAACTGGTTGTTGCGGACCATAACGAGTGACCAAACCGTACACAACAATTCGTCTCCTTTTTGAATTCATCAATATATCACTGAAGTAATAAATCTATTATCTGTTTTGCTTATATAAATAAGCTTATATTGTAATCATAATTATAATATAATTGCCAAATTATATTACAATTGCTTATATAAGTTTATTATTTATTTTGGTTATATTTCAATGTACTTACAACTCGTCGGTGTGATATCACTGTAGATAGAAATTACTAAGAAGTAATAAATTTATTACTTATTTTGCCTTTAGATTATATTTAAATATAGTAAGAAATTCTCGTAGCACATTATTAGGAGGTTAATCTCTTGCGCTAGTAACTGATTTTTGCGGACCATAACGAGTGACCGAACCGTACACAATAATTTGTCGCTTTCTTTTTGAACTCGTCGATATGATATCACTATAGATAGAAATTATTGAGAAGTAATAAATTTATTATTTGTTTGGCCTATTTTGTTTTACTTAAATATACTTCAAACTGAGAAAAGATTGCAATTTTGGAACAAAAAAATTCTCGACGTGCGCGGCCCGTCATTCCAGCGCAAGAGGTTAATCTCTTGCGTTAGTAACTGGTTTTTGCGGACCATGACGAGTGACCGAACCGTACACAATAATTCGTCTTCATTTTGAATCCATCGGTATATCACTAAAGTAATAAATTTATTACCTGTTTTGCTTATATAAATAATTATATCGTAATCATAATTGCTGAATTATATTACAATTGCTTATATAAATTTATTATTTATTTTTGATTATATTTCAATATACTTAAAACAGAGAAAATATTGCAATTTTGGGCCCAAATATTCTCAACGTGCGTGGCACGTCATTCCAACGCAAGGGACGAACAGTCTGACTCTGATGCACGTTTCGTGAAACTCAGGATGCACGCATCGTCAGATGTTTCAACGTCTGCGGGGGCCTTGAGATACTACCTAACTTTTAAGATGGCTGGTGTAAAAACACCAAGACCGCGATCGAGAACTTTCATTAATTACCAAATTCCCGACGTCGGGGCGAATCGATCGCGATCTCGGCCCGCCGGCGTGCGTGTCGTACCCTCGTCGTACGCAAGCGAGCAAGACGACGGAAAAACGTACGTCAGAGAATGGCAGGATAACGCGCGCGGTTTCCCGAATCGGACGGGACAATTCCCAGCGCCTGCGTAACGTGGAGCACGCGTACGAAGTATATAGGAGAGCGATTGCCGCTCGAGGCGTCACATTGCGTCCTCGAGCACGTCCTTCGTCTTTCCACGTACATCAGGACACGTCCATCGTCCATCACAGCTATCCTTAGCCAGATCGTCGCGTTTGCCTGCTCTCGTAGCGATTCGCTCTGCGGTGTCGCCGCGCGCTGTCTCTCCTTCTTTCGACCGGCGGCGCTCGCCTCGAAGATAACAGGCCGAAAAACAAAACTGAAGAGTATCGTTGGTCGGTGTGCACACTTCGAATCGTACCTCGAGCGAGATCCAGAGGAGATCCTCGTGGAGATCCTCTCTGCGGAACGGGATCACGCTGTAACGTCGGATCACGACTCGGCGCACGTCTCTTTTGGCGAGGCATCTCGGGGCTCAGATGGGCAACGGGGTGATCCCATTGATGGTGGTGGCGATGGTGCCGATAATCGCCGGCACTCTCGGCCAGCGTGCTCTCAGCAAGAGGAACGCGCCGACGAATCTCGACTATCCCGACTATCCGGCCAAATACGACGAGTATCCGGTGAGTATTACTCGACATATACGTACACGTATTGATGTTCGTTTCTTTGTTACGTCGGGGAATAACCGGCGATTAGGTGCCCGAAGTGGTCAAATTGGGGGTGGACCTTGACAAGACAATCTCGAAGCTAAATCTCGATTGGCTTCTACGTTGTTTAGCTTGAACTTTGTACAATCTTGTGACATTCTTGCCTTCTTTTTGACATATACTCGTTCCAATCCTTTGATTCTGGATCTTCCGGGTCAGACGATTTTAGATCAATACGAGGAGAGATGGGGGAAGGGGGGGAGGGGGGTATCAACAAGTAGAATTCCCTCTTTTTCTCCGCCTCTGTTTCCATCCGATATAGAAATCGAAGCTCCGAGTGGTTGGTTATTGAAAAAAAATATTCGTCGAGTTGTTTTATCACGAGGCCGCTGCCTCCGCGGAAGGAAAGTCAAACATCAGCGTCAAAGATGAAACTCGCCGGTGTGTCGTTCAATTTGTTTCGTTCGCGTTGTTTCAGGGGAATGAAACTAGCTTGGGAAAAAGAGTCTCACAATAGAAAAATATGAACGATACACGCGGGTGACAAACGTGGGTTTTCGCGTCCTTTGCTTTCGATCCCGAGTGAAACGTTTTGTAAGAATAATACCCGGGAAGTCGTCGTCGTCGTCGTTCCTTGCAACAATCTGCTTTCATTTCTTTCCTCCTGAAATTCCATTCTTCTCGAATTTCTCTCGTTGCTACGCTTTATTCTTCCTCGCGGAGTTTGTTCTTTTTTTTTTTTTTTTCACGATAAATGAGAGTTTTGCGTAAGAAGAGCCGAGAATATCACTGTCTCCGTCCCCGTCGAGCTTCCTCTCTTACTTCTCTTTCTTCTATTTGCCTCGTGATGACACCGAATGAAGCTCGTTGAAGCTCGCCTCCTCGTCGCCGTCGAATCGCGTCAGATCAGATCAGATCAGATCGAATCGAATCGAATCGAATCGAATCGAATCGTGCCGAGGCGATATCCCCGCTTTCCGTCGTACACGTACTTACATTGTCCTTTCTTCAGCCTTTCAAGCGCTTCGAAAGCCTTCAGAAATATTCACGCGACGCGCGACGCGCAACAACTGCGAGTTCTTCGAAATTAAATTCTTCTCGAATTCTGTGATACGTGGGGTGGCAATATCAACGTATAGAAGTGGCGATATTTATACAGAGTGGACCAAAAGTTTCTTCTTATCGATTTTTTTTTTTTTTTTTTACATATTGCGGATCAGTAGTTTTATTGTTAATTTTAGTAGTTTTTGAGATTGGAACAGAAAACACGAGAATTCTCGTGACCGCATAACCGCAATGTGTTAATAAGACATCGAAATATAAGAGAAACTGATTTTATTGATTTCAAATTAAACTCAAGTTCAAGCGCGATTTTTCTCATTACGTTTTAAAATTTGAATCTGCTCCTTGCGTAGTTTAATCTGTAAAAAAAAGAAATTGAGAAAAATTAAGGATTTGTTTTTAACAAGAAGTGTGATTTTCAGACCACCCTGCAGCAATTTATATGTAGGAACGCGTGAAAAAAAATTCGAACGTGTAATCCTTTAATAAAACATCAAAACTGACTTCAAATTAAATTTGAGTTCAATTCACGACTTTCTTCATTATGTTTTAGAATTATTTGTTTCTTGCGTGCTATAATCTGTAAAAAAAAAAAAAGTGAAATTTGTTCAGTATGCTATAATCTGTAAAAAAAAAGTGAAAGAAAATTCGAATTTATTTTAGTAGGAAGTGATTTTCAGCCCACCCTTTATACTTAAATATACACATTCGAACGTGCAATTCTTCCTATTAACTTTTTGCGTTACGTTTTTCTTTTCAATTTTGGTGAGCATTATTTGCTGAAATTGTAACGTTATTATAATTTAGAGTATTTAAAGTATTGAAACATTATATATAATTTTTATTTGTCAGTGTTCAGTTAAATTTAAAATTTAAAATTGGAATCTGCAGGTTTATAATTTACTTATTCTTTCGGGTCGAGACCTTAACCTCTTGCGGTAGTAACTGATTTTTGCGGACCATAACGAGTGACCAAACCGTATACAATAATTCGTCTTCTTTTTTCAATTCATCGGTACATCACTGGATAGAAATTACCAAGAAGTAATAAATTGATTATTTGTTTTGCCTGGATTGTATCTCAATATACTCAAAACTGAGACAATATTGCAATTTTGAGTTAAATATTCTCGACGCGCGTGGCTAATTTGTATCACGAGTACGACTCGATATTATAAGTCATGGGATTGATATCTGCTATACATTCGATACGTCTCTCCTCGTCTCTTTTTCTTTCGCTACTTTTCGCCAGCTTAGATGTCTGTCTTTCCCACTTTCTTCGTCCAAGGAAACAGATGGCGTTTGAAATCCGAGTAAAGTGCGACGAGCGGACCTAGAAATTTCAAGGAATTTGTACGTCGAACGAACGTACGCGCACAGGTAGATAAAAAGAGAAAAATTACCGATGGTTCGAACTTCGTGAAGCAAAATCTGTACAGCACGTTCCTAGTTCGCTCCGTTTTAACCTCTTGCGTCAAGAATCTTTTGTCCCCAAAATTGCAATATTTTCTCAGTTTTAAGAATACTTAAGTATAACCCAGGCAAAGCAAATAATAAATTTGTTACTTCTTGGTAATTTCTATCCACTGATGTACGGATGAATTAAAAAAAGAAAACGAATTATTGTACGGTTTGGTCACTCGTTATGGTCCGCAAAAATCAGTCACTAGCGCAAGAGGTTAACCTGCTTGCGTTGGAACGACGTGCCACGTACGTTGAGTATTTTTTGTCCGAAAATTGCAATATTTTCTCAGTTTTAAGTATATTTAAGTATAACCCAGGCAAAGCAAATAATAAATTTATTAGTTCTCAATCCAGTGATATCATACCGACAAGTTCAAAAGAAAAAGAAAGTGACTAATTATCGTATACGGTTCGGTCACTCGTTATGGTCCGCAATCAGTTGCCAACGCAAGTGGTTAACGTTGATCTTGGGTTCTCCTTTTGCCAAAGATGCTCTTACATCGGGTGGAGAAACGACTTCAGAACTGTAAAAGTTTAAACCCCTCGAAATCAGTGAAAAACTTTTTTCACGACCATTGGATTCACGACCAATCTCGAAGGCCAGAGTCTTCCTTTGGAATTTGCCGTTTTTTATTGAATTTTTATCGAACAGTCCTGATTCAAGGAATTCTGACGAATTTTCCCTAACGTTCATGGTTCCATAGTACAGCTGGAGTTTTAAGTTGGAGATTTCGATCTTCGGGACCTTCAACGTGGTAAATTTACCCGCGAAAAAAGTTTCTTCAACATTTCCGAAGGAAACAGTTGAACTTCGACCATTTTCGAGAACGAAGGTACGCTTCAACATCTTGCAAAAAATATCTTTGAAAAGAACTTACGTACCAACTGGATCGTTATACTCGATTGTTTTTTTATGAGGTTATGACTGAGTTTAGTGCAGACAATTTTGTCTATCTTGATACGATACAGGGATAAATTTCTGATCTAGCCGTTTCCCCTAATTTTGACCACCGTTTTCTTTAACACGAATTATTATTTAAAACGAGATATCATTGGAAAAAGATCGAAAAAGTTACAGAAACAAAGAAACATTCACGAGCTAACGATAAGCACAATTAAGTGTTTGGTACGTAACGCTGATAAGCAAATAACGAAAACAGTCCATGCAATTTAAATTACGTTGTACTTGATTCCATCTTGTCCGATAAATTATAACATAATGGATTATTTAAGATATGTAATATCTTCGTGACATGAAAAAAAGGATTTTCTTTGAAAGAGTGCAAAAGCTATCTAACTTTGTCAACTTCCCCTCCCCCCTTTGATCACTCATTTTAAAAAATGAAATGAAGCTTCAAAAAAAAAAAAAAAAAAAAGAAAAAACCTATGACGAAATATTGCGAAAATTTGAAAATTTCCAAATTAGAAACTTACTTTCTAGGAAGAGAAGAGAAGCAGGAATCTAGGTTAGATTTAGATTAGGTTCACGTATATATACAATATATAATCATAAATAAATAAGTAAATAATCATAATAGATAAGTGAAAAATAAATAAGCAAATAATCACAATAAATAAAAGGCAAGATGAAATTGCTCTGACAAGAACAGGCGCCGAGAACGTGTTTCGACGTTCCGACGGTTTCGCATTAGAAAGTTGTAATCCGTATTAAATTCCAAGACATCGAGTTAAGACGGAACAGAAAGGATTTCGACTTATTGTTAGTCTGCCGATCGTTCGATTAATCCTTCGATTAATAGCAATTCTAGCCGCGGTACGCTCGCAAAACTGTCCTCCCTCGCTTCGTTCGCGATTAATGACACTCAGCTAGACAGCCCGGGAATTCGAGGAAAGTTGGAACTGTCTCGTGATCCGACGTTCGGAAAATGAACAGCCTCCTCCTCTTCCTCGTTCCCTCGTTTAGTCGCAATCCGCGCGCGCGTTAATTCAGGCGCGTTTGCATCGAAGCTGCGCCAAGTTAATTAATGAATTATATGTCCACGATAAAATAGAAGACGCACGGCCAACCGGCGCCGTCGGTCGACTTCGCAAGCTAATTAGTCGTCGAAGGCACTCTCTATTAATTATCGGTTAATCCCGCAAATTGTCAGCTTTCCGGTGCCTTTTCGCGATGTACATCGTGCCATTATCGTACGTACCATGTAGGTACAGCCTTTTTTTTCTGAGGAGTGGGGGACAGCGACGTTGTCTTCTGCCCTTTCCGTCTCTCGTTTTGATATTATCGATGTTACATTTTCCTGACTCCGATGTTCGACGTGGCCTGGATCGAAAATTGCCACGTAATTCATAAAAGTGGCACGACCGTTGTTTCGTGAATTTCGTCGTTTAGTAGTTATGAACCTTGGATGCCACGAAAAAACGCAAAAAATTGTTATGATATTGGATCATGATCAGTCGAAGTCTGTGCAATTCTTTAGTATATTATTTAAATATAACCCAAAGGCAAAATAAATAATAAATTTATTATTTATTAATAATTTCTATCCAGTGATATCATACCGACGAGTTTAAAAGAAAAAGAAAGCGACAAATTATTGTGTACAGTTCGGTCACTCGTTATGGTCCGCGAACCGAGGTTAACCTCTTGCGTTAGAATCACGTGCAAGTTTAAACAGTTTTAGACAAGTTTAAAAGAAAAAGAAATTATTGTATACGGTTCGGTCACTCGTTATGGTCCGCAAATCAGTTGCCAGCGCAAAGGTTTAAACCGACAATCGTCAATAATTGCACTATTATTCAGCGATAAAAGTTAACTCGTCAAACCAGAGATTTTTACACGTTCTTTCATATCTCTCGCAGTTACGTGGACAATTTAGAAAATTTACAACCAAGTCCAGCATGTGAGTTTTTTTTTCCAACAAATAAATTGTCACGTCATAACCTAACACGCGTGTAACAGAAGTATCATGCAGGCAACAGGTAACATGTATTAAAATTCGAGGCTTGGAATCACTTTTGTATTGCCTTGCGAAAATAGTGGCGCAAAGTCGCGTTTTCGTGACAACGATCGACAACGTGATAAAAAAAGCTCGACTGAATCTCTGAACCATTGAAGAGGAAGAAAAGTTCTTCTCCGAGAACTATCTGTAGGTGAGAGTGCACAATTTAGATTTCATACATGGCGTCGTGGGGAGGGGATTGGTTAAGACAGTGGCGAGTCGGTCGATATTTCCAGCATTAAAGTCTCTGACTAAAGGATCGAGTCGCACCACCGGAATGGATTTTAATCGACAACGTTGACTCGCAATGCCACGCAACGACGTTACGTCACCACTTCTTTGACACCTCCTACTAGCGAAACTATTCGAATTCGCCTTCGATCTCTTGGAATGTTTCGCTCGAATCGTTACACGGAAAGCAGCGAAAAAATTTTTCTAAGAATTTCGTGATTGCCAACACACTATCTAACCTCTTACGCTGGAATGACGTGCCACGCACGTCGAGAATTTTTCGTTCCAAAATTGTAATATTTTCTCAGTTTTAAGTATGTTTAAGTAAAACAAAATAGGCAAAACAAATAATAAATTTATTACTTCTCAATAATTTCTGTCTATAGTGATATACCGACGAGCTTAAAAAGACAGCGACGAAATATCGTATACGGTCACTCGTTATGGTTCGCAATCAGTTGCCACCGCAAGTGGTTAATTGAGTGCGTGGTAGTATTTTAGGTTAGATTAGGTTAGGTCTACAGAGAGGTAATTCGAGAATATATTAACAGCGAATTTTTTGCATTTCTTTAAATGAAAATTTAACTTTCGCGCAATTGCTTTGTGCAATGCACCACCATCAACTGCTCCCATATGTCATTAACTTCATACTAAAGAAATATACACGTGGCATTCCCGTTACTGCTATTAGCCTCCTCTCTGTTTCATTTTATTACTTTTTCAACAATTTCTCAGTGACATGTTCAAGCTACTTCCCTTCGTTTTTTTATTTTTTTCTTTCACGGATGTCATGTTCTTTGAAAGTTTGTTAATGGTCTTTTAGACTTTTTCCATATAGGAAATTCACTTTTTGAATAAGAATTCGGAACGTCGGGATTTCAGAGATGCTTAGGTGGTGCATGGTCAAAAAAAGATTGGGAACCACTGATCTAAGACGAAGAAATGCTGCACGAAATTGGCTACGAACGAAATTTTTCGCGATTCTAATTCTCGTAATTCCTTTTTGTCGAGAAAGATGCGTGATCAACCCCGGAGAGGAATTTCCGTAACGTGACCGTCAGTCGACAGCTTCAATAACTTTTATGTGCCAGCTAATAAAAACGCGCCATCGAAGTGGCTTTAATCATCGTTAAATCGATTCACCGCGTCGTCGTCATCGTCGAATTATTTGCGGAGGGAGACGATCGTCGGCCGTGAAAAAAATACACGTGCACGCGTGTTACATTTCGATAGAGAACATTGCAAACGCCTGAATCACGGTCCGAGAAATTGTTGAGTTGATATTTGCGTCAACGAACGCGTCGTCGATCAAAGAAGAAAGAAAAGAAAACACAGCGAGAACGAGTTTTGTGTCAGATTGAAAGCGTGCTGGAATTTCGAAAGTCAGGGAGGGACGTTCCTTCGATCTGCAACGTGAACGATGCAACTCAATATCCCAAATAACACATTGTCACGTGACTTCTTCTTGCCAGTGGTTGTCAGCCGAAAAAAATGTGACTTTGCACCGCTATTTTAAGACGTGCCTCGAAATAATTTTGATGTTCATATTCTATCTCTTAACGCTTTAGTTATTTTTTCAATAGCAATCCAGCAGGTCTGGCACTTTTCTACGGTAAAGGGAAAATGAAAGCTTTAGTTAGAAAAAAAAAGAAATAGGCAACCGCCTATAAATTCTTTCTGTTTCTATTTATTTCACAAATGTGCTTCATTTTGGTGTAAATAAAACTTATATTTTACCAAGTCTGCCAAATGGAATTGTTAGACATTTGTTTTGAAATCTTAGAACAGAGATGGCCAATTGGTGGGCCCTTATTCTTCTGACCGCTAGTGCTACCCCCCACTGCATTGAAATTTCCTTGCCGTGCATGAGCCCCCACTCTCTCAGCCTGTTGACTTTCCTACCAAGCATGTGGAGAGGGCCAGTTAGCCGGCTCTGTCTTAGAACGTGCTTTGCGTCGTTATTTGTTTCTTCTATGATCTAACAATTGATCAAATTGTGAAAAACAATTTGAAATAATGTATTGGTTCAACAATATCCGAACGAACTTGTGGTTCACTCACTCATGGCCATACACTGAAATTGATTCCTTCTGGCATCTCTAAATTTATTGCAACATCACACTATTCATCTTCTGGTAAATCCTCAAAATCACAAAATAATTGAACACTGGACAGATGGTAGCTCGTCAATTCCTGGACACAACCTCGCTTTTACACCAGGCGATTAAAACACAAAATTTCCTTCAGAGATGTTAAAGTAAAAAAAAAAGGACAAAACAGAAAATTTTATATTACAATGAAGTACACAAGCTTTTACAATCATTTAAATCTCTCAGAGTACACTGTTTCACGTCTGTAAGGTACGTCGACAGAAACTATAAATTAGTCAAATTTTGACTATTGTTGAAAGAGCCATGTCAATCGAGTGGACGCGAGTAAGTACTTAAAACGAAGTAAAAGAGCCAACAACGAGTCGTCAGACGTTTGTTTCTTTTCTCCCCCTTTCCAATCATTCGACCGGAAGGTTTCGAAGGAGAACAGCAACAGAGCGTGGGCCGTGCGTCATTGACACTTCATTTCCGCGGTTATTCTTTCCAAGAACGGTAGCCGCTGCTATTTCTCTCGTTCAATTTTCCTTTGCCGTGGAGAATTCCCTCCGATTTTCTCTCCGATCGACTAAAGTTCCGGCGCGTGATTAATTAATTTATCGCGACACTTGGCTCGTTTTTGCTTTTTATCTTATCTCGTATTTTCTTTTCTTCTTTTTTTAACACTAGAACTACCAAAGTGGTCAAAATGACCAATTTATAATTTTTGTTTTTTACATAAAAATTTCCTTTCATTTCCTTTATTAGATATCACCGCTTGCACAGCACTATTTCCTTTTCTGATATTTATACAGTACATCTTATTGCTCGAATGCTCTTTTGAATCGCACATTGTGATACTAATAAAAACAAAACAAAAAGTAGTTGATTAACCCGAATAATCTCTACTGCTTTAATAGGATAAATACCTTTTTAGGATAATAGCCATCGCCATTTTCCAGCAAAAAAACTCAGAAAGTCGATATTGCAAGGAACAACAGAACTCTCTCTGTACACCCAATATATACCTGGAAATTTTATATATTTATAACGGTATATTTGAAGATGCTCGAGTGATTTTTAACAAACTATATTAACAGAAGCTCATGTCCTTTACTGTACTCTTAACTTTTCCTTACGTTTCAATTTTTTCTGCTACGAATATTAAACTTTAGTGTTAACGCATGATACTCAGACATAAAGCAAAATTTTCCGTAACGAAGAATCACTCTTACGTTCCTCGAAAAATGTATATTTTTTTTCTTTCAATTTTTCCTCTCTCTCCCTCTCGTCCTTTCCTCTTTTTTTTTTTACTCGTTCTTTTGTTCCTTTTTCTTTCAACGCCGACGCATCGCACGAACGGCCACTCCATTAGCCATCTCCATATCTATTTAAAGCGAACAACAAATCCATTCGGATATATACACATACGTACGTATGCACACGTACACGTGCGCGCTCATTTACGCAGAGAGAACCAGCGGCAACTCTCTTCAACGGCGGGAATAAATCGATTAATTTGTCCGTCTTTGTCCACGCGGCGAACGTCCGGCTGCTGTGCCCTTCCGCAACGCGCAACGTTCCCACCGCAGCTAAAATTAACGACAAAGAAATTGGCTGAAATTAGCGTTTAACACGCGAATATTGTTGGACGATTACGATGATACTTCGGCCTGCCGGCATTCGGGACAACTGAATCACTCTGGCGGCCGCCATGCCGTCAACAATTATATCAATTCCAGCACTACGAATAGCCCCGTAATTGTCAGTTTGCATTTTGCCGTTTCATCGCGTCGCCTAGCGTCTGGATAATTGTGATTCACGGCCGTCGAATACTCCAGTCTCCATCTAGCATCGTCTGTCGAACTAAAAGAAAGAAAAGGAGAAACGAGAGCAACTTATTTTGAAAAATAAGGTTTTGGAAAATCGGTAGCATCACAGCGATCTGTTGGAACATCGGTTGGAAAATCCTGTCGCAGTCGAAATTCAATTATCGATAAGCGACAGAGCCTCGATGGCCGCGCGTTTCTGATTAAATTATCGATAATAGTTGACGATGATAGCCGACAGATAATCGGCCGATCGGCGTTTGTGTCGCAGTTGGAACAAAGCTCGCACGTTTGATAGGACGCGGTTTTAAAGTCACGCTGGAAGCATCGATTTTAATTAAACCTTTCGGCGGTGCGATCCGATATATATATATATATATATATATATATCCGAAAAACGCGCCTCCAACCTTTTCTTTCGCAACTCGCGGTTATTTTCCAACAAACGATCCACTCTTCAGACCATGACAAGTTGTCTGTTCACAGTTCCCAAAACAGTCAATTTTACGACAATAAAATTCCTTGAAAAAAGCCATGCGATGTGTCGCTCGTTGTCCACGATCCGTTGACGCTCTAATTTCATCCAGTCTGTTAACTCTTCGTCGTGATTTAAACGCTCAAACAAAACACCGGATGCAATAAGCAAAGCTCGAAGCACCCAACAGCGAGCAACGGCTCCGAAAGCTCGAATTTCTAACAATGGTTAACAACGGTCCGATCTCTTTGTTGTTCGTAATCCCAACACTACCGTGCCATTTACCGACATATTCCGCTATGAGCTGAAGTTCCCCCCCGTGCCGATAGAGAGCTCGATCGGGACTCGATCGGTTCTTTGTTCAGTTTTACGCGCACGTCCCTTACGTAATCCTCGAGCATCGCGTTTGCTTTGCTCTCTTTTGTGCGTTTCGGCTAAGCTCCTCTCTTTCGTCTTTCGTTTCTCGTTGAAATGAAAAAGATCGCCCAACGCGAAGAACGTTTCTCTTCTGTTGCGTGAAATTTGTGTTTCACGGAAGCAAAATAACGCCCACGAATTGGAATATTTTTGCGAAATTATCTCCCAATTGTGAAAATCGTTATCTCGATCCGAACGTGCGTGTTTTTTTTTTGTTTTTTTTTCGCGTCGTTCGACGACAGATCTAAAAGTCACTAGTGAGCTAGTAAAAGTTACTATGCAGTTGCTAGTCAGTTACAGTTTAAAGTAATAGGCAACGTTTCCACGATTTATTTCTCTTTCAGTCTGAAATAAAGGAAAGATACAGATTCTTGGAAGTTGGACAAAATCTCGGCGTATTGAACGCAACTCACGCGAGATGCAATCGATTCGTTTCCACCTTGTGCAAACGCGTTATACGGCTGGAATATCGACGCGTTTCAATTAAAAGGAATTATTTATGAGACGAAAAATTTCAGCCGGAGGGTTTAAGTATCCCTCGAGATTAACTTTCATTACCCGGTATAAAGTACGATGATTTTATTTGAAGCAGATTGCACCGTGCTCGATAGACTTTTGTCTATAAAATGACAGAGTCCATTGTGACTGTCAGAATCCATCGCAGCTCGTGCGAGTTTGCGTGCCTTTTCTGAGAACAGATTGTAAGATTATCGCGTTTTGGGATTTATAAGTCTCAATTTCTTGAATGAAACGTCACTTTTCAATGGATTAAAATTTGTCGGCGAAGATGACAAACGCTTCGAGTAACCCACTAACAAATTTCTCATCAGATTCGTTAGCGTCGGTTTTCTCGAAAGAAGAGAGAGATAGAGATATTTGCTCGCGCATTATTTCTCCTTCGATTGTTTCTAATACCTGTCGAGCGGATCTGGGATCGCGTGTCGTTTCTCGATGCTTCTTTTTTAATTACTTCCCGGTTTCCGTGCGCTCTTGTCAATTCATGGCAGAGATTTTTAATTACGTTTGACTTTCTTTCTCACTCGCCATCGGCGATTTTTGCCTTTGTTATACAGGGTGTCTCGATTTTACGCAAAAAAATGGAAGGAATAGCATGTTTTCTTTAAAATCTTTTTTAAAAAGAAAGAACAAAATCTTCGTTCTCGAGTTTGAAAAAAATTGTTCAAGTATACTTATTCAGTTCGGCTGGCCGACACGAGGCTAGCGAAACTCATTGAAAAATATGGAATGAAATTTTTTTGTTCCACAGAAAATAAATCTCAAACATGTTTCGTAGAAAATAAAAAGGTATTCTTACGGAAATACTGTATCCTACATTCTTTGCTCATTTTCACACGTAGAATAACCTCCTGTTGATTGTTCTTTCTTTCTCGCGTTTAGAATTGACTAAATTCAAGTGTAAAATATTGACAAATTTTTTTCAAACTTTTTCGAAAACGAAAGTTTTAATGAAAAATTTTGTTCTTTCTTTTCCACTCGTTTTTCTTCCAGTCATTTTACATTTGGTTGGACAGCCCTGACGTCTTGAAACACCCTGTATACAAGTGCACGAACGAAACTTGGATTGAACTTTCCTTACGGCTGATTTTTTTCAAATATCGCTGTTTTTCTCGCCAAACGTTGCAAGTAAATTGTTTCCTTTTCAACGGATGACGGAGGTAAGATCGGTCGTCAGAGTTGACAGTTCGTTTCACAGAGGGACGAAGAAAGTACACAATTTTCGTTCTCCCCGGAACAGGTGACAAAGGATTTTACACAAAACGAAACTTACTTGGTATATTGGCGTATCCTACGTTTCCAGGAATCAATTATCCGCAAACGCGAATTTTCGTCGAAATTCCGGTTGCGACGATTTTTATGAAACCATGTCATGTCATGTCGTGAAAAAATACCAAACAGGGAAGAAAAAATACTCTGCTGAAAACCCTTTGGGAAATCGCTCGAGTCGCTACGACCTCACTTATGTGTGCTACTGTGTGTACTCGCCATACGTAGACATCAGACGTCGACTTATTTTTCCGAGGAAAATCAAGGTTTACTGATCATCGAGTTTTTTCCCTCATCGTAGGAAATCGAACACATCCTAAGTCAAGAGAATCGTTCAATTCGATTCGATTCCTGTTATTAACCTCTTGCGCTGGAATTTTTTGTCCCAAATTGCAACATTTTCTCAGTTTTAGGTATATTTAAATGTAACCCAGGCAAAACAAATGATACGTTTATTACTTCTTAATAATTTCTATCCAGTGATATATCGACGAGTTCGAAAGAAAAAGAAAGCGACGATTTTATTGTATACGTTCGGTCACTCGTTATGGTCCGCGAACCAGTTGCCAGCGCAAGGGGTTAACCTCTTAATAACGTGCTACGAGAATTTCTTACTATATTTAAATATAACCTAACGGCAAAATAAGTAATAAATTTATTACTTCTTCGTAATTTCTATCTATAGTGATATACCAACGAATTCAACACGAAAGCGACGATTTTATTTTGTACGGTTCCGTCACTCGTAATGGTCCGCGAGCCAGTTGCCAGCGCAAGGGGTTAACCTCTTAATAACGTGCTACGAGAATTTCTTACTATATTTAAATATAACCTAACGGCAAAATAAGTAATAAATTTATCACTTCATAATTTCTATCGATAGTGATATCATACCGACGAGTTCAAAACAAAAGCGACGATTTTATTGTGTACATTCGGTCACTCGTTACGGTCCGCGAACCAGTTGCCAGCGCAAGAGGTTAACACGGAGTTTGTTAAACTGGACAAATATGTGCTTTTCGTTTCTTTTCCAATCTACGCTCTCTGTCATCGTTCGCACAGGGCAAACAGGGAAAAATTCCTACTAGTTCGTCGCGCTCGCTTCGATACGGTTCAGCTTCCCTCGATCGAAGAGAGATCCAAACAACGTAGGCGGTCGAGGATATTGGCTAACCAATTTGAAACGTGTACGGGTAACGAAGGCGATAATTAGATCCGCGTCGAGTTGCCAACTTTCGGGGTGCTTCGAGCCACGACGAGATAATCGAGTGGAATCGCTTTGGTAAACGGCTCGTTGAGTCAAGTTCAAACAGTTATGTGTTCGAACATCCACCTCGGAAATCAACGCCGCAACTTCGTTTTTTTTTTTTTTTTTCGGGAATTAAAATCGACAAGCGAGTGTAATTTGCATTTAATCTCTCGCGATCGACTCGAAGAACATTTACGTTTTACTTTGAAGAAAAATTCATTCTTGCTTCTTCCCCGCTTGCAATTATCGAGTTGAAGCAAGATTAATCTCCGGGATTGTGAGTCTCTCTGTCTCTCGTTGTTTTCCTTTGTCGAATCCCGACAACTCGCTATCTTCGCTTGTCCTCTGCGACGATGAAAATCAGCAGAAAGAATTTTTCTCATCCCGGAAACACGAGAGAAATATTGAAGAAAATCAGAGGGCGATTCACTCCAGTTAAAATTCCACGGCAATTATCCTCTGGTCCAATTAATTTTAATTGGCATAAACATTAAAATGTCGCGTGTAAGGGATCGATAGAAACGAGTTACTAGATAACGACAGAACCAATAACAATCTACGCCCGTACCGTTCGATCAATTATCGCACGTGTAAATTCTACGTCCACGTGTAATTATTAGAACGAGGTTAGGTTTTATCCGATCCATCCGCCGACCGAATCGAACTGACTTTTTCTTTTCAGGTAGTTGTGCCAAAGAGAGCGGCTCTTTTGTTCGATCAGTTGATGGTCGCGTTGCAAAAAGTGGTGGACAACCAAGGCAGGGGAGAACTCGGCGGTGGGAGCAGGACGAGATCGTCGGGATCTCACTTGCCTTCCGGGAACTCTCAAGTCATTCCATCGGCTGACGAGCACACGGTAAGGGTCGTTCCAATTTTTCCGAGACTTTTATTTGAGAATTTTATTTACAAATTTCATTTGTTGTGCGTAGATGGATCTTCAACGACGCGGACAGGCGAAAGGCCGGGTTTACTGGCGCTGTTACTTCAACGCCGTGACGTGCTTCAAGAGAAAGTGATAACGAGCCGAACCAGTGACCAGTCTGCACCGCGATATTGAAACCCGACTCGACCACGAGATTCCTCGCATGCTTATTCCCGGTCAAAAGAGAAACAAATAAATCACAAAACTCAGGACGAAATTAGACCCCAGACAAGTCCAAAGATGATCCTGTGTCTTTTCCCGTGAGTCGGTTATTGTTACCCCCCCCCCCCCCCATTTACCGAACTATCGAACCTATCCATCTGCCTCCTTAACGCTGTTTTCTTTCTCCTTCGCCTATTAAACACTGTATCAAATGTGTATCTTTCTGGTTTATAAAGCGACCGGCACATAAAAGTATCGATTAAACGTATTTACTTAAAACGCATCAAATTTATGCGAACGGTGTTCACTCGATTGCATTTCATTTAAACGCTTCGATTTTCGTGCAGTTCCTTGTTTACACGCCCTGAAGATATCCGTGATATCGCATCCTGAATCCCCGATTAATTTACTTGCAAGGTAAGTTTGTTTCAGCAGGCAAAGTGATTAACTGGATTGCGAGTAGCATGCCAGAGGCTGTTTATTCGTGTCATTTATTAAGAAACGCGCGTTACAAGAGTAAAGTATGCGAGCATACTTGTTGTTATCGCTCCGTAGAATCGCTCCGCGATTTCATTGCTACGGATAACCTTTCCAAACATAGAACTAATTCACAATGTTTGGTGTGTGGGAACATATCTACAGCGACAGCTTTTATCGGCACCATTGGCTCGCCGATGTACTGCTTCGAGGCGGGCCTGGATAGATCTACCAAATTTTTTGCAGCTGCCCGAGGATCACAAGATATATATATCAGCCTCGATAATTTTTTTGCCTTACGCATGGTTAGCAACGCTCTCTGATCTGCAAGAAATACGTGTCCATGCTTACACAGATATGCTCATTGAAAGTTGAAAAAGATTGTGCAAACGATGTGTCTTACGAAGTCCGGCTCGCGGCGGATCCACGACAGCGATAATATTGGGTTTGGTAGTTCTTCGAATTACAGGAGATAAAACATCCTCGGCTTTGCCGACAAAAAACTCGCAGTTTGATATTTTGTTCGCGACGACATTTTCTTTGGCGTCTTTGATAGCATCCTCTATCATTTCCAATCCAAACACCTCGCCGCAATACTGAAATCGTTCGTGTCTGTTTCTTGTCCGTACGTTGCTTAATTTATTATTAATTTAATAATATCGAGATTGTTCGTACCTTTGAAAATGCGAGGCCGATCGTTCCGGTGCCGCAACAAATATCGAGAAACGCGGTGTCTGTGGTTGGTTTAGCCAAGTCGATCGCTGCTTTGTACAAAACCTGAGCACCTAACGTGTTCACTTGAAAGAACGCTTGAGGAGATATGCGAAACTTCATGCCTAACAACATTTCCTCTATGTATTTCGTTCCGCTGATGTGATAAAAATTGTTTTCATTTTTCTCGTTGACGCTTCTAAAATAAAAATCAAATTAATCGAACGAACGACGTTCTCATTCAATTGTTAAGCACTCCGCCAACATTGCTCACTTTAGTTTCATTATCTGAAGATACAACGATGTCACCTGTGCTTGCGCGCCATTTCCGGTCTCAAAAAATGCTTTCAGTTGTGACTTTAATTCGTCTAATTTCTCCGAGCTTAAATTTTGAGGGTGTATTCCTACTATCACCATCAGATCATCGCGAAGAGTGGTTCTGACGGTAACTTGTCTCCAGTATCCACTATGATCAACTGGGTGAAAAGGTTTTAATTCAGTGTTTTTCATGAATTCCTCAAGCACCTAAAATACTCGCAATACAAAAAACAAATCTGAAACACTGAATTGGTGGAAACCTTCTGAACAACTTACTTTAACCACGACTTTCATTTTATTAGGAATGTGACAAAGATTGTCAATGGGTCCCACCGCTGTGGAACCAGCTGCATAACTGGTTAATCTGAATCCTATTACAACTGCATTCTCTTTCTCTCCTTTACCTAAATAATTGAATTCATCATTACACGCGATATATTTATCTTATTCTATTAACAAGACAAATAAATTCGTGGAATTACCAACTGTAAATTCGCATTTATTTCTGTATTCTGTGATTGTGTCTGTACTCAAAATAGGAAGCAATTCGCAAGGCAGTCCTTGATATTTAGTCTTTTGGTGATTTAACCAATCTAACAGTTCACCTTTGCTTTCTTTCAACATTTGGTTACAAATGGTTGATAGAATCGAGCGCATTTCTTTTTGCTTCAGTTCCAACTAGAAATCACGATATTTAATAATTTCATATGTATAATTTTACAATGTTATCAACGTTTGCCTTACTTGATTTGGATAAGGCATGCTCCAAAGAGGAATTGTAGTTAATTTAACTTTATCTTCTGTGGGTATATTTTGATCATCTTCGTCTAATTTCAAACGCTTCTTTGTAGTCTCTTCTTCCAATCTCCTTTTTACAAATGGGTCTGGTGCAGGTTTCGCAATCTATTTTTAATATGTTTAAAAGTAATAGATAAAGTATGCATAATGATCATGTGACAAGAACTTCAATGATGTAATTTACATTCAACTTGACAAAAGCAACAATGCATAGCAAATGTATTGCAGACCAACTAAGAGAAAGTAAGAGTACGTGACACCAAATTAAAATACCTGTGCACTGAGCTGACAACTTTTCCATAAAATCCCATTTAACGTCTCTATGGCTTTCCGACGACTTTCCTCGTTTCTGAAAGACACGTAAAGCCATCCGCTGCTCCGTTTCGGAGGTTTTATCTTACACGTCTGTAGGTCTAGCTTTTCATTTAAAAGCTTTTTAAATTCACCTATTCCGTAATACTTTGGTAAACCGTGTACCTCAATTTTATACTTCTCCGATGTAAAGTCGTTTCTTTCGAGATACGCGTAAGGATTCTTTTCCGCTTCTGTCGATTCGTTTGAGGCCATGTTTACCTTAATTTTTTGTTCAACTGTATATTTTCAACCAGCGATCATGTCAAATTTTATCAATGAACATAAACATTCAATGTAACCTTTCTTTTCCTATCCTTCAAACATGCTCTGTCTGCTATCCGATGTAACTCTAACTTTCAGGTTATGTTTGGATTTAATCACTTTAGGCCAACGTAAACTATACGCTTCTGTCAGTGATCAGTTTCAAATTTCGTACTCCACAATGATAGTCAATAAATCCGAATTTCGTTTGGTTTTGTATAAGGAAATTAATTCATCGTGATAAAAATGAATGAAAGTATATGAAAAATTTATATATAATCAGTAGAACTAGAATTTTATACGTTTAAACAGAACATGCTCAGAAAACGTTCGTAAAAAATCTCTTGGCTTTCTATAAGCATATTGCTTTTAAAATTGGAAACTCTCAATTATCTTATACACTGCTATCTTTAAAGGATTATTTTTCTATGTCAGAATGAATCAGCAAGCAAAGAGTTGTTATCTGAAAAGCAATGACAAGGCACTAAAGACAGTATATTTGCCACATAAAAAATCAATTATTGTAGGTCGTTCTCCAGAGACGAATATCACAGATACACAATGTTCTAGGCACCAAGGTTTGCTGCCAATTGTTTTAATTCACAGTCTTATCATACCTTATTACTAGTTTAATTCAAGCATTTAATGCAAACGTGTAATTTTTTGTAGTACAATTGTATGCAGATTATGAAGAGTACAAAGTCTTCATTCAACAAATTGGACTTAGATCCTGTGGCTTTAATGGCTTTAAAACAAGTAAAGATGTCAAATTTATAGCCAATCATGATGATTGTTTAGAAATGTTATATGGCAAGCATGCTTATCAAATTGAATTTAATCCTCCACCTGTAAAAAGATTCCTTTCCAAGAAAAGGAGTAGAGATTCAGAGATGCTCAATGAGAATGATGAAAATTCTGATAAAATAGTTAAAATAGAAAGTGACAAAGATGAAAAGACTCGAGAAGAGGAACCACAAGCAGAAGTGAAATGTAAAAAAAATGATCAGGGTATTTTAAAGTATATCAAAAGAAGTAAAACAACATCAGATGAATTCAAAAATGAAGATAATATGATAGATTTAGACAATGATCAGGATATGTGGGAAAGTAAGGAAAGTGGTGCATTGTTAATATGTACAACACAGGGAGTGGAAAGTCGTTCAAAGGTAAATTGATAAGATAAATACTTTTAAAAATAGACTAAGCTTTCTCATTTTTAGATAGCAGCTTATGATATGGACGGAACCTTAATAAAAACGAAATCTGGCTTAGTATTTCCAAAGGATTATGATGATTGGCAACTTATATATCCTGATGTGCCAAAAAAGTTGCGCAAACTCCATAATGATGGTTATAAAATAGTAGTTTTCACTAATCAAAAATCCATTGGATCTGGAAAAGTAAATCCAAAATCTTTCAAGAATAAAGCTAGAAACATAGTACAAAAAATTGGTGTTCCAATGCAGGTGTGTTTCTCTTTCTATCAGCTCGTAATAAATGAGATCATCTTTTATATATAAATTTATTTGTAGATATTCATAGCTACTGGGTCTGATATTTATAGAAAACCAGCGATTGGGATGTGGCAGCAATTGGAAAAGGTAGTAATTATCTTTCGTTTTTATTACAAAAATTTCAGGTTTAATTTTTTTGCAGAAGAATGACTCTATATCTATTGATAAAGATAGTTCATTTTACGTTGGGGATGCGGCTGGGCGACCAAAAGATTGGGCTCCCCGTAGAAAAAAGGATCATTCGTCAGTTGATCGATTACTAGCGCTTAATTTAGGTTTAAAATTCTATACGCCGGAAGAACATTTTCTCGGACATAAACAGGCACAATTTAAATTGCCCACGTTCAATCCAAAAAATTTATCGAATGGCGAGATATGCTCGGGAAGCAATATAACTTCAAGTAATCAAGAAGTAATTAAACTTATTTTACCTAAAACGTTTGCCAAAAATATACATATAATAACAGCAAGTAATTCTTAATCCACATGTTTAGATCATTCTAATGGTTGGTTGTCCTGGTTCTGGGAAATCACACTTTGCAAGAAATTATTTAAATCATTATGAATGCGTTAATAGAGATACTCTGGGAAGCTGGCAAAAATGTATTACTGCGATGGAAAGACATTTAAATGAAAAAGGTAGCGTAGTTATAGATAATACTAATCCTGATTGCGCATCAAGACAGAGATACATCGAAGTGGCAAAAAAGTATAACATACCCGTAAGATGTTTCGTTATGTCGACAAGTACTAATCATGCAAAACATAATAATAAGGTAATAAATTGCCTAAATTTTTGCAACATAATTTTAATTTACAATATAAATGTTACACTGAATGTTTCATTTTAGTTTCGAGAATTAACTGATCCTAGTCATGTTAAAGTTAATGATCTGGTTATTGATTCTTACGTGTAAGTAAAATGACCAACAATAAAGTAAACTAAATTTATACAAAGTCTATTGTATTGAAATATTTTTAGGAAAAATTATCAAGCTCCAAGCTTGGATGAAGGTTTCACAGAAATTGTTAATATAAACTTTATCCCGAAATTTCAAAAAGAAGAAGATCGTGAGCTTTATGAAATGTATTTGCTTGAAAAATGAATGAAATTTTTTTAACAAAGCATTATATAAATTCTTTCCAATTGAATTAATGTATGCTTTGTAATTATCAAAGATTTTAATTGTCAAATAAAATTTGTATAAAAAAAATCATTATTGTATAAAATTGTTATTATATGATATTATATGTATATAAAAAAAATATGTGAATTGTAAAATTAATTATTTATTTTGTATGTATTTATCGAATTGTTTTTGTTGATTTAAAAATTTTTATTGTTTCATTTCATGTATTAATAAATAATAAAATAACTTTGAATACTCTGATTTTCCTAACTTTCTATTAATAATTCATTGTTCTTTTCGCATTTCCTTTGTATACATATTCTTCTTACATATATTTCCTTTGTATACATATTCTACTGTTTAAAATCTTGGCAACATAACCTCTATAGACGCACGAGTTCTCTTGAAATGTGTGTAAACATTCAGTGTTCAAAAGTAATTATAAATACATATATATATATGTAAAATGTCACGATTAATAGTAAAAAATTTACCAAAAAATGTAAGTAATAAATTTTGACAATGCAATCATGATATTAGAATAAATGAAAAATGTTATTTTGTAATGATGATTTGTAGATTACAGATAAAAAATTAAAGGAACTTTTTAGTCATAAAGGTTTAATAACCGACGTGCAGTTAAAATATACCAAAGATGGCAAATTTAGACAATTTGCTTTCATTGGATTTAAGACGGAAGAACAAGCTTTAGCTGCCAAAGAATATTTTGACAAAACATATCTCGATACTTGCAAAATATCAATTGAACAATGTGCAAGTCTAGGTATTAATATTATTGATAAGTGATTCATAATAATAAACAGTTACAACAATAATGATAATAATATATACTTATAGGGGACTCTTCTAAACCCAGAGCATGGAGTAAATATGCGATTGATAGTTCAAAGAATGAGGCTAATAATAAAGATTCTACTCATAATGAGAATGAAAATGTTGCTTTGAATAAGCCAACAGCAGATGGGAAAAAGGAAAAAGACAAGAAAGATAAAAAGGAAAGTGTAATATCTGTAGTCAAAGAGGCATTGGAAAAGGTACAACTAAATAATATGTACTTTGCTGTGATATATTTGAAATTTTTAAACTTATTTACCAGAATAATTATTGTATTTAGCATAAAAATGATCCTATGTTTATGGAATTTCTCGAAAGTCATACAACAGACAAAGCTACATGGAATAATGATATGTTAATAACTAGTCAAATTGAAGAACGTAATGATAGTGAGTCAGATGACAACGAATCTAGTACCCAGGATGACGATAAAAACGAGACAAAGAATAAGGAAGAGGAAAAGGAGGAGAAGCAAAAGATTGCAAATAAAGTTATATCTGATTTAGAGGTAATTCTAAATGCTGATACTCTGCCACTTTTTTGTACACACATGTATTAATGATTACTCTGTTTCAAACAGTACATGGAATCCCTAAAAAGGAAAGCAACGAATGTAGAAAAACAAGTTTTAAGTAATAAAGATACTTCTAAACACAGTTCCATAAAACTTTTTACCGTAAAACTTCAAGGATTGGCATATAATCACAAGAAAAAAGATATCAAACAATTTTTTCGTCCACTGAAAGCGAAATCAATACGATTGCCGGCAAAGATTAAGGGTATTGCTTATGTTGGTTTCAAAACTGAACAGCACATGAGGAAGGCATTGTTAAAAAACAAAAGTTTTATAGGTATCAACGTTAACTGCAATTACGAGTCTTTTATTTTCCGTAATTTTCTACTTGTATTTTGTTCGTTTTAAATCCTTCTTTAGGTGGGAAACAAATATTCGTAATAAAATACGAAACAAAAGAACAGAAGCCTGACGAAGCAGAGAACGAAAACAATGTTCGATGGAAGAAACAAGCAGAAGCATTAAATTGCGAAGAAAGCGTTGCGGAATCGGGAAGGATATTTATCCGAAATCTATCGTATACAATAACCGAGGACGATGTTCGAGCATTATTCGAAAAATATGGTAGATTTTCCATTTTCACATAATCCAACGTTCGTGACACTAATATCATAACCTTTCATTTAGGTCCTTTGTCTGAAGTTGACCTGCCTGTCGATCGGACGACCAGAAAGCCGAAAGGTTTCGGTACAATAACATTTTTAATGGCCGAGCACGCGGTTAAAGCGTACAGTGAATTAGACGGTTCGATTTTAGATGGGAGAATGTTACATCTTCTTCCAGCCAAAATGAAACATAATCCTATGGAAGAACTTGACGAAAGTAGGGATGAATCCTTTGCAATTCTTTTCTCTAATTCGTCTCCAATAAGCGCGTGTAACTTTTAAACTAACATTACAGAAGACTTAACTTACAAGAAGAAGAAAGAACTGAAGACCAAAATGACCGCGGGATCGTCACACAACTGGAATACTCTTTTCCTTGGTCAAAACGCTGTAGCAGACACTATAGCTGCTGTTTATAATACGACAAAAGAAAAAGTACTTGAAGACGGATCAAAAGATTTAAGCGCCGCTGTCAAGTTGGCACTGGGAGAAACACAGTTGGTTCAAGATACGAAAAAATTCTTAGAGGAAAACGGAGTCTGTTTGGATGCGTTCAATCAGGTGAACATTAGCTTCGAATGTAAGCTGCCGCAGGAAATGATAATCGAGTAATTTGATTAATGTGTCGTTTCAGCCATCGAATAAACGATCGAAAACGGTGATACTGGTGAAGAATTTACCGGCTGCAACGCCAGCGCGTGAAATTCGACAATTATTTGCGCGACATGGTGAATTGGGGAGAATCGTAATGCCACCTTCAGGAATTACTGGTATGATTTTTATCTGTATCAAATACTATGTACTATGTATTATAATTAATAAGCATTTATTACGTTTAGCTTTGGTGGAATTCTTGGAGCCCTCCGAGGCACGCAAAGCATTTGCGAAATTAGCATATACTAAATATAAACATCTACCACTTTATCTTGAATGGGCACCTGACAATACTTTTACGACTCCTTCGAGAAAAAACAAAACCGCCGAAGCTGAGGCAGGCGAGGGAAAGGGAGTTAAAGAACAAGTTGATAAACAGCCTGGGGAATTTTCAGACGTAAACGGTATGAATAAAACTAACAAAGAAGAGGTCGAGGACGAGGATGAGGACGAACCCGAACCAGACACCACACTTTTTGTAAAAAATATTAATTTCGCAACTACGGAAGAACAGTTGAAAACGGTGAGTAATTTAACATTAACGTTTAACGTTTTCTCTGTTATCCGATAACACTGACGCGTTGGTTTTCAGTATTTCGGCAAATGTGGTGCTCTTCATTATGCCACGATAGCGACGAAGAACGATTCGAAGAACCCTGGCGCCAAACTGTCGATGGGTTATGGATTCGTAAGATACAAGAAAAAAGTAGACGCGGATCGGGCGTTAAAAGTCTTGCAAATGACGGTTTTGGAAGGAAAGACATTAGAACTGAAACGTTCCGAACGAATGCTAACGTATGGGCGTAACCTTATTAAAAACTCTGTTTCAACTTTGTTGCAGTTTTGATAATGATCCTCGTTTATCTTTAAATGTTTGCAGAACCGATGTAAAGGATGTGAAAAAGAAATCGTCGACAACGGTTCAAACGGGCACGAAAATTTTAATAAGAAACATACCGTTTCAGGCGACGACCAAGGAAATAACTGAACTATTCAAGTACGTGTTTCATTTTATTGTATTTATTCTTGTTATTACACTTTATTGATTCTAAAACGGGTAGAATTTTTATGTTTTCTTTGTCAAAATGCCAGAGCGTTCGGCGAGTTGAAAGCAGTGCGGCTACCAAGAAAGTTAGTTGGCGTCGAAAAACACAGGGGATTCGCCTTCGTGGAGTACTACACAAAAAGCGAGGCCAAGGTGCTCACTAATAAAATTAACGCGTGTCTTTTGTTATTAAACTAAATCGATGTTTCACTCTTCTTATTCTGTTTGCAGAAAGCGTTTCAAGCTTTGGGTCAGAGCACTCATTTGTATGGTCGAAGACTGGTCTTGGAATGGGCTCAAACAGAGGAAGGTGTGGAAGAAATCAGGAAACGAACTGCTAAACACTTTCATCAAGGTACGTACACGTACGTGCGATGCATATTTACTACGTACTTGTCAACAAAAATCATTTTTCGTTCACAGACGAGTCGATTAAGAAGAGCAAAAAGGCAACGCTAAGTCTAGAAGACGTCGGCTTGAAAGATGCTTAATTCCCAAGTTGTTCCCACGATTTTGTACATAGTATTTGTTAAAGTGAAATAAATTCGCGCAGCGGAATGCATTTCCTTTCGATGGCTGGCAACGATTCAAATCGCTCGAGAGTTGAAAAAGTTCCCCGCAGACTCGTAAAAGCGCGGTGTTATACCTCCGCGTCACGTCGGGACTTTTTCTCGAAAATACTTGGGATTTCTGCCAGTGACGTGTCATTGAGAATGGCGCATCACGCAGCGCGTACTAATACCATGTATTTGGGTTTCGATACTATTGGATTGGCTTCGCGTGCCAATGAATATCAACCTAGTTGACATTAATTTTCGACCCACGTTCAAACTGGATTTAATTGCAACCTCGGGGATGATTTGCAAGTATAATTCCAGAATGGAAACACGCTTAGAATTCGATTGGGTTGATTGGGGAGCCTCTCAGCGAGCTGAAATTTACGATTATCGTACGTAAAAACAAGAACCAATTTACAGGGGACTTGTAGACTGATCTGAGAGAATCTGAGAAAAAAGGCGAGACGTCCAAATGATTTACATATAAATTCCTGCAAGTTTCGGCGAAAACGAATTGAATTAAAAAAAAGAACGGACGAGGATACGAGTATATGGTTTCAGTATATAGCTTCAGTATTAAAAGAAGCAAACGCGCAGAGGATTCGGGGTAAGGTGGAAGGGAAGAAATGTTTTCCTTTCACCTCTTTGCTCGGTGGTGGAGGAGGAGGAGGAGGAGGAGGAGACAGGAATGATTCGAGTCTCACGGTGGAGGTGGAGACGACCCATGAAAGTAACAGTGCCTTCTCCACCGTTTGCTCGACACTCAGTCTCACTCTCCTTGCACTGGAGAACGGTGGAGCGCGCTCTTCTCTCAGTGTCCTTCGTGGTGTCGTCGTCCAGGTACAAGGTCGCGAGTGCACCGGAAACGCGCGTGCACGTTGAATCGCGAGAAGTCGCGAGTCTATGCGAGCATAGTGCGCGATGTGCTCGACCTGACCAACTTTCCACGAGTCACAATCGACAGAAAGGGGTTAGATAATAAAACGACGAAAAATGAATTGGGTAAGATCAGATACGTTGATTTCTTTTTTTTTTTACAGACCATATCAGTCAATATCTTCTTACGAAATGTAAGAATTGATGCAAAGATTCTTTAAGAAACCGTTGAAAAAAATGTTGTTTATATACTCGTTTCTTTAATATTAATAGTAATGTTAAAGTAATAAAATTTACTAAACTTAATTGATATTAATATTAAAGAAAATAATGACGTTAAAAATAAATATTGACTAAAAGAAAGACACGCTTGAAAAATGAGCGGCTACGGTAATGCAAAAAGCACCTGACTTTTCTCTATTGGCTGTACTGATTCGCGCCAGTTGTAAGTTAGGATGTATCGGCACAGGTTGGACACATTAACGAGATAAGCAAGACGCGACAACTCGATGAATCAAAAGTGAATCTGAGAGATTTCGCTTTCTTCTAATTGTAAGTCGTCCATCAATGTCACTTTCTCTAAATTTTATTCGGTAAATTATCATCGCCGTGCTAAAACGCTGGTTTCACCAACGATGCCTGTAGAAGAAAACAGGGCAAAAGAAAAGAAAAAAAAGAAAGGTAGAGTGGAAGGTAAAGTTCTGTATAAAGGAATTCGACGATCGTTCCTACGAGCGATGTGCGCGGTTTTCAAAGTTGGGGCTCGGCCGACCGGATTGTTCGAGGGCGAGATCTACATGCATATCGAATACTCGGCTTAACGATCATCGGCTTCCTGCCGGTGGAGGAGGGAGAGGAAATCTACCGGTTATTCGAGCCACGCTACCGCCTTCAACTGCACACTTGGTTTTAAGCCGCTGCGACAAGCAAAGAAGGAGCGAACGCGTGTATGTAGCAATTCGAGATTGCAAAACTATCGAGGTCGCAGCAGTTTTCTTTACTAACCAACTTCCTACCAGTCTATTTTTTTTTTTTTTTTTTCCGTACAAATACATCAGTAAATGTAACTAAAACGATATCTAGTAACATATACGTATTTGTTTGGTAATATATTTTCTGGTTTCTACTAGAAGCAAATTTATTATTTCTTTCACTGGAAATATATTTTCTATGTACATAGTAGGAAGAGACCCTGTTAATTACGAGTAAATTGATCTCGAATCCTCGAGTTTGAGATAAAATATTCTTCCAAGTGATATTGGGATTCTTTTAATTTATTAATTTAGTGTATTATCTAGTGTATTACCTAGTGTATTAATCTAGTATATTAATTTAATGTGGAAAAGTAGTAGATCCCGAGTTTTTAGTACTTTTATGTCTCTATGTATTTTAAAAGGAACGCAGTAATTTACGATACCCTTACGTTCATTCGTTTTCATTCAAAAAAGAAAAAAATTTATCTACTTAATGATTCTTGGCTACGATTGGATATAATCGTAATATAGTATAGATGTATGTAATATTGTACAAATTCCTAGAATAATTTCTCCCCTTGCGCAAATCCAAGGGATGTCCAAGAAGAAGCAGTCCTTGGAGAAAAATAATCTACGCCGTTTTGAGACGTTCGCGGCGTAGATTAGATACGTATTTATGTAAATTTAGGGGAATCGCCCTGGGCGATTTTTTCGAGAACGATTAACCAAACGGCGATTGGGATCAATCATAGTTGGAAACAATTGCGCAACCGATTGTAATGACGCAATCGAGTGAAAAAAATTCAAAGACTTTCCCGTTGAATTAAACATTATTACTTTCGCGTCATAAAAGGATAGAACTTGGATGGATCTTGCTGATTTCAACCGTTTTGAAAGAAAGAGAAATTCTTGAAAAAGAAAAAAAAAAGTAAAGATAGGAAGCTTCGTTTGCTGTACGAGTAGACGGAAAAAAAAGACGAAATGAAAGAAGATGAAAATAGAAGAGGAAAGAGGAAAAAGTGTCTGAAGCGTGCAAGGAAGGTCACCTGTTGACCTTTCAGATACTCGTTCGATATTGTGTCCTGTCTCTTTGTCGCAGAAAGTGATTTTCTGGCGAAAAATAAAAATTAAAGAAAGCATACTTGGAGCATACATGTATTTTGAATATCCGCAATTCAGATTGACGACTAGACTGCAGATTTTTGTGGAAAATCATACTTTTAGAAATCAGACGTTTAGCAATGAAAATTAAAAAAAACATCGAATAGAAATATTTGGATAGAAAATTGTTTCTCATGTCAAATATTATAAAAAGCATTATACTTCGAATATTTTATAATATTTTTAGTGTAATATTTTATATAATATTATAATATTCTTAGTATAATATTTTATATAATACTTATAATACTTTTAGTACAATATTTTTTTTATAATATTCTTAGTATATTTTATATAATTTTATATAATACTTATAATATTTTTAGTATAGTATTTTTTATAATAATTATATTTTTAGTACAATATTTTTTCTATAATATTTTATAGAATATTTATATTTTTAGTATAATATTTTATATATAATATATAATACTTATATTTTTAGTACAATATTTTTTTCTATAATATTTTATAATATTTTAGAATATTTATAATATTTTTAGTATAATATTTTATACAATATCTTTCGTGCAAATTCTGAGCGATTTTGTATCTCCCACAAACGCATGAAACTCGCAGTCTATCGACAATCTTGCCTCGATTTGCATTATTGAGCTCTCTTGGACCGACCGGATTTCATCCCGTACGATTTTTCGACGTTTCACGGTAAAAGGCAGAGGGAGGGAAAGGAACAAGGATCGACAAAAAGATGGCCAAAGCGAATGCGGAACTGAAAATCACAAAGGGAAAACGGGAGAGCCAACAACGAGTGTAAAAAAAAAAGCAAAGAACAACAGCCATCGGGGCTCAATTAACGTCTGAGAGATTGCGAATCGTCGGGATTCCCTCTGGTAATTAGGGACAGGCAAAGAAGATTTAATTAAGAGGGCGGTCGTAACCATTAGTTTCCTGGTAAACAGAGCGAGAGAGCTCCGGTGCCTCGGAGCGAATTCCATGGAAAGTAAAAGTGACCGAGCCACGCTGGATTTATCCGCCACAGACAGATAGATCGTGGCTCGGCTCGGCTCCGCTTGGCATTACTTTCGATTACACGTTTCACACACAGGGATGTGATTCGACAAACAATTGAACACCAGTTAGCTCGATTTAATAACTCGATCGCAACGTTTGTTAACGATCGATCTCGATCTTGAGATCCAACGGCCAGCCCTATAGCAATTCGATGCAATTTACGATTGATCTCGATCTTCAATTACCATTTTAATCGATCGCTAAGCAAGTCGAGCATTCTGCTGTTCCCTTTTCACTCGATCGGCAATGAAAGGGAATATCCTACTTTCTGCACGATCGAATGAAACATTTCTCAACAATAATTAGGGAGATAATTCGAAGTCGTTACAACGACGCATCGGCGAATCGTCCGGTTCACCTTTGCAACTGGTTTGCAACAGCTATCATCCCGATGCTAGATCCTCTGGATCCTCAAGGCTACGTTAAAATTAACCATCTCTCATTTTGTTCTTTCGTTGCCGCGTGCCACGAATATCCAAAGATCCTCGCGAACGTGTCTCGCTCCGGTGTGTCTTTGTGCCTGCCTCGAGGTGAACTCCTTGTTTCTCGAAACTAAAAACATATCTATATAAATATTTCATTTATATATATTTATAGTGATGTTATATGTAATTATAAATGAAAATATATATGTGTATATATTCATTTATATTATATATTATATCATTTGTATTATGTATTTCAAGAAGTTTGTCCTTTCACCTCTGTTCCTCGAAGAATATGAGAAAATTGGTTCTGCGTTGGATCTGCTATATACAGGCAGCGATTCTAGGCGTGTGGTACATTCACGTGGCAATCGGCTACGGAAAAGGTCTCGAGTAACGGTGTTAAAACGAAGGGTGAAGTCATCGGGATCGTCTGGACGTCAGCGAACCGTTCAAATGTCACAGGAACTCGAAACGTGTCCGCACAGCGGTGGTACAGATGGACTGTAACAATCTCTTAGCTTGTGATGCCGGTTTTAAAAGTGTGTATCTACATTGTGTCACTAGAACGACGATTATACTTGCCAAACACAAAATTGAATTAAATCACATGGAAATGATGCTAGTTTTTTTTTCTGTGTTTTGAAAAATCAATAATTTTATCGTTTAATTTGACTGATATTACTTACAAAACTTAGACATTCATAATTTTCTTGTTAAACAAATAAATCAAATATCTGGAAGAAACAAAAAAAAGAAAGAAATTTAATTTATTCTTTCAGAAATAATATAAAGAGGACTGATCAAGTCTCAAAATATTCTGAAATGTCTAAAATTTACATATATGAATTTCACCTTCCACGAAAAATTCAATTCAAGCAACAAATTGTAATTACTTTTCTCGTCGTTGCACAAACAAATTGCCATTTCTTCCTGACGAAGATATACTCGCCATTTTCAGTTAATAGGTTAACCAAGCCGGTCGTTTGATGGCTCGAGATCCAAGTGGTCGGTATCGTTGATTGCGTAAAAACGATCTCGATCGTGCGTAACGTTCGAACCTCGATACACTTGCACACACTTGCCAGGTATGATCGGTGCTCGCCACTCGTGTAACATTTGGTCCAAGCGAACGTCACTGTCTTTCCTGTACCGATAATTCGTTCTTGCTCCTTGTTCCTTTTTCGCGTCGAGTCAAGTCTCTATGGTTGATATTTCCTAGTAAAAAGAAAAAAAAACGATCAGGTTGCGATTCGACGAAACTCTTCGGATAAGTACAATACAAGCGTCCGCATCTTAACCTCTTATACTGGAATGACGTGCCACGCACGTCGAGAATATTTGATAAAAAATTGCAATATTTTCTCAGTTTTAAGTATATTGAAATATAACCCAGGCAAAATAAATAATGAATTTATTATTTCTTAGTCATTTCTATATCTAATGATATATTGATGAATTCAAAAAGAAGACGAATTATTGTATACGGCTTGGTACTCGTTATGGTCCGCGAACCAGTTACTAGCGCAAGAGGTTAAAATTGGGACCATCTCACTCTACTACCTTACGTGCCAAAAGCTGCATGAAACGTGACATTTGCGCAGAGATACCTGATACCGATGTTTCGGCACAATTTAAATAGAAAACACTTAAATCCCGACATCTCGGTCCCAACTACAGACGCTTAACCCTTTGTGTTGACAACTGATTGCGGACCATAACGAGTGACCGAGCCGTATACAATAATTCGTCACTTTCTTTTTGAACTCATCGGTATGATTATCATCGGATAGAAATTATTGAGAAGTAATAAATTTATTATTACTGCCTTAAATATACTTAGAACTAATTGTCGACATGCGTGGCACGTCATTCCAGCGCAGGAGATTAACCGTTTGCACTGGCAACTGATTGCGGACCATAACGAGTGACCGAACCGTATACAATAATTTGTCGCTTTCTTTTTGAACGTCGGTATAATATCACTGGATAGAAATTACTAAGAAGTAATAATAAATTTATTATTTGTTTTGCCTGGGTTATACTTAAATATACTTAAAATTGAGAAAATATTGCAATTTTGGGACAAAAAATTCTCGACGTGCGTGGCACGTTATTCCAGCGCAAGAGGTTAAATGGGCACTACTGTATCAACGGAGCTTATACAGTAGCGAACTGAACATTTGCACGTTCAAACGTAGTTACGCTTTCTCTGCCGTGATATCACGACGAGCTGTAATATCATCGCCGGTCTTGAATTTACAAAGCGATAATCGACGCCGTGTCAGGCAGGATCGGGAGCTTCCGCGGCGAGAGTTGCCCGATCGAAATCGGCCGAAATCACCCGATGACGATGCCCGTTCCGGTGTTTTCGAAAGAGAGGAAGAAACTCCGCCAGCGGTGCAGGTGGATTTCACGCGTTGCACACCGTGGCCGTTCACAGTCGCCACAAACGATTTCCCGGTTTGAAACGTGTTTGGAGAGTTACGAGACCCCTCGGATTCTCTAGAATAACTAGAAAGTTATTTGACATTTAGATGGGCTCCGCGGATGGGAATTTTCGATTCACTCTCTCATCGTCTATACTACGCGATTTATTCGATTTACTCGCGAAGCTGTTTAACGATCCTGTCGCGAGAAACGAGAGGAAAATGCCTGCCCATAGACGGTGGAATGCGCGATCGCCTCAGCCTCTATTCGCAACGACGGCGATACTAATCGTTGCGTTGCACCGCGACGGAACGACGTTCCGAGGCGACGTAACGTTAACGTAACGCTGCTCGCCGGCCGAAACGCTGCGAGAAAGTAGCCGCGGAACGATGTTCTTTTCTTCTTGCTTTCTCTTTGCACACTTGAGTTACGTAACGAGGAGTGGCTCTCCGTCGGGTGTCACGGCCCCGCTCTGTTTGCCGGACACTTGGCATCGCGTCCTCGAGACGTCCAACGAAATCCGGAATCTCCGCTGGCTATTGACAGGTGCGCCCCTACGACCAGCCTCCCGTTCACCAACCGATCGCTTCTCTTTTTCATCGTCGGGACGTGGGAGAGTATGATCTCCGGATCTACCTCTAACACTGCCGTTCTTATCGACTGTTCGTTGCTCGAAAGTTTGCACTTTCATAGGTTAACCTATTGCGCTGGAATGACGTGCCACGCACGTCGAGAATTTTTTGTCCCAAAATTGTAATATTTTCTCAGTTTTAAGTACGCTTAAATAAAATAAAATAGGCAAAACAAATAATAAATTTATTACTCCTCTATAATTATTGATATAATGATAATAACGTGTATAATAATAAATTATATTAAATGTATTAAGAATTATTGTTACTATTATTACATTGTAATATAACCTAACGTAACCTAGAATAATATAATTTAGCCTACAAATACTTAACCGGTATAATATAATCTATAATAACTAACCTATAATAGTTATATATAATATAATTAAATTGTAATATAATAATTAACAATAATTTTAATACGTTAAATACAATGTTTAATTAAATCTAATGTTTTGGTTTAATATATTTAGTTTTAAATGTTTTGATTTGATATCTTATACAATAATAATACATTTAATACATTTAGAATATATAATTATATGATAACAATACATTTAATACATTCAATGCAATAGTACATTTTATATCGAAAGATGTTACACGTACATATTTACTCGACAGTATGGAGAAATAAATAACGCGTCCGTTTCACGCTAACGGCTCGTACTATACAGTTAATTCGTAGTTTGCAGACACATTGAACGACAGATTATTAATGCGCCGCGTTGTTTTTCCGTTGCAGGAGAGTCGAACGGTGTCGCTGCTGCTCTGCTTAAGCATTCTGCTCGCGACGATTCACAACGGTGAGTATCTCATCGTCAGAATGGAATTTGCGTTTGAGAAAGAAGCTCGGGAACCATTGATTAATCTTGTTGTTGATCAATGATGAGACGTATATCCGTATCACACGAATATGATTTTTCATTTTTTGGAATTGAGAAACTCCATGTGTTATTTCACAGGGTGATCACTGAAAGACTGAATGATATAAAACAAAAATAACTTTTACTTTAGACACATGTTTTCTTAATTTTTTTATTATTTTATTTGGAAATATAATTAATGGATTTTTTTCAGTATTATGCGTGAAAAGCAACATCTCTCAAATGATCATTTTCCTGCTCACAATCTCAGTGGCCATCCTGTATAATAACTGTACTAATTATTATCGTAGTATGTAATTGAAAGACTATGATATAACTGGAGAAGAAAATTTCCAATTTGGACGTGATGCGAGAGAAGGTGCAGGCTGAATAACCCATTTACTCCGTGACCGAGTCTCTGATCTCTCTACCATAATTTCTCTAGCACAGCCGGTGCAACACGTGGGGACGCGACGCGACGTGACACGACGTGACCGACGTAGTTTCACCAGGCTCGCCATATACCTCGAACCAGTGAAACAAATATACACCTTCTCGGAGAAAACTTGCTGCGGCCAAAGCGGCCCCTGTTCGAAAATGGGCACTTAACCTCTTGCGCTGGAACGACGTGCGTGGCACGTCGAGTATCTTTTGTCCCAAAATTGCAATATTTTCTCAATTTTAAGTATAACCCAAGCAAAACAAATAATAAATTTATTATTACTCAATACCTTCTCAATAACTTCTATCCAGTGATATCGTACCGACGAGTTCAAAAAGAAAGCGACGAATTACTGTGTATGGTTTGGTCACTCGTTATGGTCCGCAATCAGTTGACAGCGCAAGTGATTAACTTCTTAACCGCTGGAATGACGTGCCACGCACGTCGAATATCTTTTGTCCCAAAATTGCAATATTTTCTCAATTTTAGGTATAGCCCAAGCAAAACAAATAATAAATTTATTATTACTTCTCAATAACTTCTATCCAGTGATAACATACCGACGAGTTCAAAAAGAAAGCGACGAATTATTGTGTACGGTTCGGTCACTCGTTATGGTCCGCAATCAGTTGCCAGCGCAAGTGGTTAACCTCTAACGCATGTCGAGAATTTTTTGTCCCAAAATTGCAATAATTTTCTCAATTTTAAGTATATTTAAGTATAGCCCAGGCAAAACAAATAATAAATTTATTATTACTTCTCAATAACTTTCTATCCAGTGATAACATACCGACGAGTTCAAAAAGAAAGCGACGAATTATTGTGTACGGTTCTGTTGCCTCCCAGTTTCCGCCTTCGCGTCTCATGTTAAACTGTTCTTCAATTTTTTGAACAAAAAGGTGAAAGAAATCGTGGAAAACTTGCGAACCTATCACTGACGCAATGAATCGCGATCCATCGTGGTATTCATGTACGAGTATGTTCCAATTTATTAGGATAATGCCTTACGTCCAACCTCTTCTCGAAATATTCACAAATTTACTGGATAAGTTTTCAAATTTTATGCAAGAGGACTTTAACACTAAAACTACCTAAAGTAGTCAAAATGACCAATTTATAATTTTCTATGAAAATTTTGTATATTTTGAAATAATCGAGTGATTTCTAATAAAATATATTGATAGAAGTTTGTCTCCTTTTTATTGTATTAGCTTTTTTTTGTACCTTGCTACGGACATTATACAGGGTGGGTTAAAAATCACTGCTTACTAAAATAAGTATCCGTAATTTTTTTATTGCATACTTTTTCTTAACATTCGAAAGAAATAATTTTTAAAACATAATGAAAAAATCATGTTTGAACTTGAATTTAATTTAAAATTAATAAAATTAGCTTTTCCTTGTATTTTGATGTTTTATTGAAAAAAAAAAAAAAAATAGGTGGGAAAAAACTTTTGACCCACCCTGTACTTTAGTTCTAGTGTTAATGTCTAAAGTGTTCATAATATAACGTAATAATGTAGTTCTTAATATGTCCTAACACTAGAACTACCAAAGTGGTCGAAATGACCAATTTATAACTTTTGTTAAACATTTCACAGACTTTAAAAAATATACAAATAAAAGCTTTTATTAGAAAATTTCGCTATTTCTTCGACTTCAATGTCTCTGATGGAAGTTTTATGCTTTAATCGTCGGTAGTTCTAGTGTCTCGGTACTTGAACGCGTACTTGTTCCACACGAACGCGGCGAGAATTCCAGATTCGCGAGTAACGCCGCGAGAGCCTCTTACCGATATTATCTCCCTCGGTATTATGCACCACGCTTAACTCCATTACCGCCTTTGTAACGTTCGTAAAACGCGAAACACATCGTTGATCTCTGGAATAAAATGAAATAAAATCTGAAACGCCTTCAGCATCGCTTTCTTGATCTTCGGGTTTCCTGCCGATCTCTCATTTTTATTTATACATTTATTATTATTAGATTATATTTATAATATAATGATAAGTAATTTATAATGTAATAAAATTATATTATAATTATTTAAATAATTATATTTATTATATATATAATATAATTGTATTACATTATGTTATTATATTTACAATAGAATGAAAAATAATTTATTTATATCTACATATTTTTATTTAGCTTTTATTTATATATTTCACGAAAAATGAATTTGAAACACACTGTTTCATGCCTATAAAATATCTAAGAAAATTTCTAACTTGGTCATTTTGATCACTTGACTATCATGGTGGTCGTGTCGCAGTCCCACAAACTGGTGTTACGAGGCGTGCGAATCACGCGCAAACCGAGGGAAAAAGTACCGTGGAAACTGTACCAAACTCTGCTCTTTACCCGGCTACATATTTTTCTCCCGTGAAAATCGAAAACGACTCCAGCAACTTTCTAGCTCGGCGTGTGTAGGATTTCACGTTAGAAAACACCAGCCTGGTAATAACACGCTGAGCATCGCGTGTTTAACGTCGATAGAAACTGAAACACGTATGTACATGGATAATGTGTATCTCGGACGATCGTCCCCACGCCGGAACGAAATCACTGACCGAGTGCTGACGACTCTCCGTGTCTCCCACGCGGGTGGTCAGGGTCACGAGCGATCTTGATTCTAACCTCGATTTTTCTTTTTTTTTTTTTTTTTTTCTACGATCCCTCCTGGGCGGCCTCGATCCACAGCGATCAGTGAAAGCATCGAGGATCGAACTGCGCCCGATCGAAAGCGCGCACCGACGACGGCTCGTCAAGGTGACTGTGGAATCGTCTGCGGGTTATCAATGAAGGAAACGCGCGGGAATAAAAGAGAAATCGTTTCTCGTTTAATAACCTCTTCCGCTGAGGAATGACGTGTCACGTACATGGAAAATATTTGGCCCAAAATTGCAATACTTTTTTATTTTTATGTATATTGAAATATGATAGTATGATTTTTTTTTAAACGGAGTAAATACAGCAGTGGGTGGTTTACTTTTAGAGGTGTTTTATTTTACATAACGACACACGTGTTTACCGTTGTATTGCTTTGTTCACTGTGAAGATGTTACAATTATGGATACCTAATTTAATCGCTAGGTGTCGTTAAGATCAAGCACGCGTATATATATGACGTAAAGATTGACAGTTACCCTAACAAAATATATTATCCAGGCAAAACAAAAAAATTTAGTACTTCTTAGTAATTTCTGTCCAGTGATGTACCGATGAATTCAAAAAGAAGACGAATGATTGTATACGGTTTGGTCACTCGTTATGGTCCGCGAATCAATTATTAACGCAAGAGGTTAATTACGGGGATCGGAAAGTAAGTTTCGCTTACCTTTAACTTGCAACTTTTTGTGTATTGAAAGCTTGTGAAAAACAACGTTTAACACGTTAAGTGTACTTTCTTTAAAATCACAGTACGATTACATCCTAGCATCCCTAATCAAAAAGTTTTCTAAAAATTGTTACGACGGAAATATTAGGCGTATATATAGCCAAAAGTAACGTCGTTTTTATTGATACTGTGCAAAATTTCATTTTATTTAAGATTTGGCACAGTTTTTATTTATAATATAATTTCCTTCGTTATTGACAATCTTCGCAGATAAACAGTATTAATGGTATTAATGGCATATTTGGTCGATATACATACTGGCATAATTACATTATACCATGAAATAAATAAACAATTAATTTAACAGGAGTGGAAATTACTTTTCGACTGTCCCTCGTATAATGTTGGACATTTGGTCTCATTGTTGGATTTTAACAATTGGCAACTAACAATTATCAATTAATAATCAACGAGCGATGCAAAATTTCCTTTTTTTATTTTCTTTTTTTTTTCTTCGAGAAAGCGACAAGGCGATACGTAGATTTCGTTCACATTCGCACATCTGGCTCATGCCAGAATGAGAAATCACAGAGCATGGAAATTCGTGCGCTATTCGTACGGATCTGCTTTTCTGCTCGACGAATGAAAGTTCGTACACGCGTGTTTTTCAGTTTCTCCGGGTAGTTTCTCTGTCGACTGTCCCCCCGGGGATTAACGAAACGAAAATTCACTCGATCTACACGCGTGCGTGTATGCATTTAGGTAACGCCGAGCGGAAGATCGTGTGCTACTACACGAATTGGTCGATCTATCGGCCAGGAACGGCCAAGTTCTCGCCGCAGAACATCAATCCGTACCTGTGCACCCATCTGATCTACGCGTTTGGCGGATTCACCAAGGACAATGCTTTGAAGCCTTTCGACAAGTATCAGGATATCGAGAAAGGTAAAAAGAAATGACAGAAGAGAACAAAACATAGTTAACCTGTTAGTTCTGTTGTTGCTTTCAATCGTCATCTACAGGGTGGCCACTGAAAAACTGAATGTATAAGTGTATAGAGTGGTTAATGAAAGACTGAATCCAAAACAAAAATAACTTTTACAAACGCGCGTTTTTTTAATTTTTTATTATTTTACTTGGAAATATAATTAATGGATTTTTTTCAACATTATGTATTTTTAATCTCCAAGGGATGCTTTAACTTACAAAAAAAAAAAAAAGAAAATAAAGATTGAAAATGAGACAAGTTATGACTGTTTTGAACCCTGCAGACGACGATTATACTCGTCAAACACAGAACATGCTGTTAATTGTAAAATTGAATTGAATCACAAGGAGATGAGACCAGTTATTTTTTTTTTAAATCAATAATTTTATCGTTTAACCCGACTAATATCAATCAATTAATTTATATCAATAGAAATGACGTGAAAAGAATTAGCCAAATCTAGTATCCAAAATATTCTAAAATGTCTAAGATTTATAAATACGTTTTATTTTCCACGAAAACTTTGACTTCAGTCAATTAACGAATTGTAATTACTTTTCTCTCACGACGAGTATCTGTCATCTTTACGTGACGAGTATACTCGTCGTTCACAGCTAAAAAGAGGTTGAAAGAAACAAAAGAGAATTAGAAACGAGGGTGAGACCCTGATGATTAATCAATCCGTACGCGAGGGAAAGAATTAATAACTACGTTTCGAAGGTGGTTACGCCAAGTTCACCGGCCTGAAAACGTACAACAAAAACTTGAAGACCCTGCTGGCTGTCGGCGGTTGGAACGAAGGTTCCAGCAGGTTCTCACCGATGGTCGCTGACCCGGGGAGGAGGCGAGAGTTCGTGAAGAACGCCGTGAAGTTCCTGAGGAAGAACCACTTTGACGGCCTCGATCTCGACTGGGAGTATCCGGCGTTCAGGGACGGCGGCAAGCCCCGTGACAAGGACAACTATGCCAGCTTGGTGCAGGTGAAGTAATGAACGACTTAAGTTAGGTTAGGTTTAGGATCGAATGATTACGTTTCTCAGTGTACTTAATTACTCAAACGTAACGATTCGATTGTGGATTGTAAAGGAGCTGAGGGAGGAGTTCGAGAGGGAGGCCTCGAAGACCGGAAGACCGAGGCTTCTACTGACGATGGCGATGCCAGCCGGTGTCGAGTACATCGACAAGGGCTACGACGTTCCCAGATTGAACGAACACTTGGACTTCATCAATCTGCTCTCGTACGACTATCATTCGTCTTACGAACCAGCCGTGGACCACCATTCTCCGTTGTACCCTCTGGAGGAGGACAACGAGTACAACTACGACGCCGAATTGACAATTGTATGATGTTTCGCGAAGTGAAATCTTGCGAAGTGAAGCTCGTTACAGCTAGGTTTGAGCCGTATGATGCTTTTTGCAGGATTACACGGTGAAGTATCTGTCGAAGAAGGGCGCCGCTCCGGAGAAAATCGTCCTGGGGATTCCAACGTACGGACGATCCTACACGCTTTTCAACGAGGACGCCACCGATTTGGGATCGCCGGCCGATGGGCCGGGTGTCGAGGGCGAGGCGACTCGCGAGAAAGGATATCTCGCGTACTACGAGGTTAGGTTTTTCCCGTTGACGCAAATAAGACGTCGCAATTTCCTTCTATAAATAATTTCGGCGATAATTGCATTTATAAATTGTATATAATATATTTGTATATTATATAAATTATATAATATTTGTATAATGTATAAATATTGTAATTTAATATTTATATAATGTATAAATATTGTAATTTATTATTTATATAATGTATAAATATTGTAATTTAATATTTATATAATGTATAAATATTTTTTTGTAATATTTATATAATGTATAAATATTTTTTTGTAATATTTATATAATGTATAAATATTGTAATTTAATATTTATATAATGTATAAATATTGTAATTTAATATTTATATAATGTATAAATATTGTAATTTATTATTTATATAATGTATAAATATTGTAATTTAATATTTATATAATGTATAAATATTTTTTTGTAATATTTATATAATGTATAAATATTTTTTTGTAATATTTATATAATGTATAAATATTTTTTTATAATATTTATATAATGTATAAATATTGTAATTTAATATTTATATAATATTTATATATTATGTAAATTAAAATAGGGCAGTCTGTATGAATAGATCTTGCGGGACTTCCTGTCTAAAATACCGATGTAATAAAAAATCAGCGTTTTTTAGCTGTACGTGATTCATATTTTGTAAAACATTCTTAAAAAAACAACTTACAACTAACTTACAACTAACTGAATTTTCACTTACTTCAAATTGTTATTAATATTAAAATCATTACATTTTCTTCTATTCACAAAGTTCATTATCAAACAGTTCTCAAAGCATATATGACAACACTGTCCATATTGTTTCAATTTTAATTCTCATCGCTGGCAGTGCAAAACTTGCCAAAATCGGTACGACAGGATGTGACACGCAAATGGTAAGAGGCTCCTGGGATCCTAAGAAAAAAAAGATACATTATATATTATATCTATTCATTCTTGTCTGTCCCATACCTCTATTAAAAAAAAAAGAGAGAGAAAAACTACGAGATGACAAGGTAAATGATAGATGGATACATTATCTGTATTTTTATTGGCAGATCTGCGAGGGTCTGGCGCAGTCAGACGAGTGGGAAGTGATCCAACCGAATCCAAAGGCGATGGGCCCGTACGCGTACAAGGGTGACCAGTGGGTAGGCTACGACGACGAAAGTATCGTCAGGTTGAAAGCCAGGTACGTGAACGAGAAGAACTTGGGAGGGATCATGTTTTGGACGATCGACAACGACGACTTCCGGGGCAGGTGCCATGGTCGTCCGTATCCCCTGATCGAAGCGGCCAAAGAGGCTCTCCTGACCGACAGCTCGTGAGTACATATCAAATCAATACACAGTAGTGTCCGCACTTTGCCCACTTAAGCGTCACTGTCCCCATCAATTCTTGGAATTGGGACTATCTACTCTACGCCACCTTGCAAGCGTTATACGATATTTTAGCACAGATTATGATTGTTTTGCAGACCAGAAATTAGGCAAATTTTATATTAAACGACAAATACATATCCAATTTATATTCACATGTATTGATAGAATTATACTGTGTGTACTAAATCTTTTCTCTTCTCCAAAGGAATATCATTCAGAGGTCGAAGACCACGGTAGATAACCGCAAGAAGCCTCGCGTGCACGGAGTTCAGGGCGACACCGCGGGAAGGAAAAGTTTCAGACGAGGGAGTGGTAAAAGCACCACCACCGCGGCGCCTCCGCCGAGAACCCGAGTGTTCTCCCCGAGGCCGAGCTATCGGACGTTCTCGCGTCCAAAGGCCAGCGAGGAGGAGAAGGAGGAGGAACGATCAGTCGACAGACGATCGTACGACTCGACGTCCTCCGTCGACGAGGAGGGAAGCTCCGAGGGTGGTAACGCGGTTAGGGCAGCGAGCAAAAACGGAAGACCAGGCAGCAAGAGTAAGAGGAGACCCTCGAAAGATCGATCGAGTCGAAATCGTACGAAGCAGATTGGCAACAACGACTCGAGCGAAGGATCATTGAGCAACAGGCTAACTACACCGGAACCTCCGACGACACCCGATCCTGGAACAGGTAAATTGGCAGCCATTTTCCTCGAAAATAGGAGAAATTGTTAAACTCTTGTTAAACCTTGGTTCAGATTTCAAGTGCGAGGACGAGGGATTCTTCCCGCATCCTCGAGACTGCAAGAAGTACTTCTGGTGTCTGGAGAGCGGTCCAGGAGGTCTTGGCGTGATAGCGCACCAGTTCACGTGTCCCTCGGGTAAGTCCCTAGAATCAGAATCGGTCGATTCGTTTGGTCAAAAATCAGTTAACCTCTTGCGCTGGAGTGACGTGTCACGCACGTCGAGAATTCTTTGTCCCAAAATTGCAACATATCCTCAGTTTTAAGTATATTGAAATAGAAGGTAAAACAAATAATAACTTTAGTCATTGAGTGAGTCGTTCCAGCGCAAGAGATTAAAAATCTGGCTTTGGAAGGTTCTGAAAATTCCTCGTGTCCTCGTGCAGGGCTGGTGTTCAACAAGGCAGCCGACTCCTGCGACTACCCTCGCAACGTCATCTGTCCCAAGTCGAAGACGTCTCAGTCGGCCGCGTCGACGCCTAGGGCCCCGATAGTCGCAGCCACCAGTCGCACGACCTTCCTCTACAGCACCACGCGTCGACCACCGTCCACTGAGAAACCGGACACCGAGGAGGAAGAGTACGAGTACTACGACGACGAGGACGACGAGCAAACGGAAGAAGAAGAGGCGAAGGAGAAGGAGGAGAAAGAGGAGAGGGAAGCGACAAGTACAACGCCGAAGGCACTTTTGTACAAAACGATCAGCAGGAGCAGACCTACCACCAGCACCACTACCACGGAAGCACCTTTCGAGAGGAACGAACCCGACAAACTATCAGACGTCGAGGAGAACGAGGAGGACCCTAAGGTTATCAAAGAACTGATCATGCTGATCAAGAAGGCAGGCGGCATAGAACAATTGGAGAAGCAACTGCTGCTTCAAGACAAGAATCCTGAGAACGAGAGCGGCGCAAAATCCGGCAACGAGAACGCTACTCCAGCCACGATAAGTCGCAGCTTGTACGAACGCGTGTTGAGCCGCCAAGCCGGTAAAATCACGAGCAGGCAGCGCGCGAATGGGCCGGGAAGCGCGCAGTTCGAGGGACTGGACGAGCTGCCAGAAGTGAAAGGCCTGAGACGCTCGCAGAAACCGCAATATGTTACCATCGAGAGGGCCAAGTACGATAAATTGCTGTGTACTCTAATGTTTTGTGGCGTAACTTGCCGAGGCTTCTCACTGAGGCAACATCTCTGAGCAATTTTGCCTAGATGTTGAAAAAATTCGCAATTCGTTGACGAATGTTTCGCCAAGTTTCTGTAATAAGTATCGCCATATTTGAAATGAAAGCACGTGGCGATCGTGTGGCTCGATATTTGGTCGTTGTCGAGACGTAGTCGTTTTGTGTTAGTTATGACATGGTTGCAGACAGCGTTGCAGACTCAACGTGTCAAATTAGGAATTTTCTCGCATCCTTCGAGTATAGAGAATTTAGAGAATTTCCAACGCTCGACAAATCTCAGTTAGTCGCGAATGCTTGGAATTTTTCGCACAATAGCAATTACTGTGTCATAAACACAAGGTTGACGTAAGTTTTTGAAACACGCAGCATCGTGATTGTTTTGCTTTCTCTGTGCAGATCACCGACGAAGGAGTCCCCGACTGAAGACGAACAAGACGACGAGGAGGAACACGTTGACGAGAACAACACGGACGTGGCCTCCTCCGAGGAGCAGACGATTAGCAATCCTTTCGTGGTCGACTCGACTTTGCAGAGGGCAACGCCCAGTTACGTTAGCATCAGGCGCGCTCGCCCATCCATCTCCAGCAGGTAAGTGAAAGAGAACACTGAGAGATAAAAGGACGACGTTGTCTTCAATGTCTCGCGGTGAAAATCCTTTAGAAACGAGAACGACGTTGAGGAGAAAGTGAAAGACACGGAGGGAGACGCGCCAGTTTCCAGCCAGCGCCGACGTCCCGGCAGCGTGTTTCCAAAGTAAGTCAAGAGGAAGAAAGGAGAAAGGAAAAAGACAGAACAACTAACTAAACTTCTTTCAATTGTAGGAGCAGCGAGAGCAGCTCTTCCGAAGGCATCGTAGATCAAGAGTCTCGTTCACCGGCGAGCGAGCAAAACCCACAAACGACTAAATCCAGGTTTCTAGACGAACCTCCGCCATTTTGGCGGACATAAACATTCGACCTAACGTTGTCTAATTGCTTGATTCGTTCCTCAGGTACGTTAGCGTTCAGAGATTCAGAAGCACGACTCCATACTCGACGGAGGTTGCACCCGTTAGCCAAGAACCGATCACGAAGAAGTCGATCGTCTCGAGAAGCGAAGAAGAGGAAGAAGAGGAAGTTCAGAAGTCCAGAAACGATGAAAACGTGACCACCACCAGCACCACGATTGCCACCAGTTTAGTGACAAATATCGTGTCCTCGACGCCGAACGATATCGTTATCGACTCGGAAACGGAGAAGCCGATTCCGACGACAACTCCGGAGGCAAGCTCGACCACGGTCGCCGAGTCGACTGTGAAACTCGTCGAGGATTCGGCAACGGAGATTCTCCTGACCACGGTGCCGGCGAGCTTGCCGGCCACGTCGTCGGCTCCGAGCGCGCGGATCGGCACTGCGTCGGTGTCTCAGCCGAGGCCTTTCGGCTTTAACCGAAGGAACAGACCCTCGGCCGAGTCCACCACCACACCGTTGCCACCGTCCACCGATCAGGTCAGGCCCAAGGTGAGTATATCGTCGCGAAACCAAACGCGCTCGACCTCCCCCGCGGGATCGCGGGATCGACCGAGGCCGATCACCGAGAGATCGAGAAACAGAGGGACGAGCAGATACACGCCACCGACGTTCAGAGTGAGGAGCGAGGTACCGTCCGACGCTGTAATATCCAGGGAGCTCGTTCGAACTACCGAACCGACGGTCGGTACGACAGCGAGTGCGGCGAGGAGACGACTTCGTCGACCGAGTTCGAAAACCATCAAGGAATCGAGGAACGTAGCCAACGAACTGGAGGACAGCCCGATCGTGAGGATCGTACAAGCTCAACCCGGTTGGAGGAGGAGCTTGTCGTCCAGGTCGAGGAATACGATCAAAGTGGACGAGACGGACAGTGACAGAATCACGAACATAAAGGTGTTCAGGAAGCCGGCTACGACGAACAAGGATCAGGCTCGCGCCAGGTACACGAGGAAGAGGAACAACGTGGAGATCGGTGAATCGGAAGCTGTCGAAGAGAAAACATCCTCGACGTCTGCTTCGAAGGACGTCGTAACTGTAACTACGAGCAAACAACTGATGATCTTTAATTCCTCCTTAGACGGGTCCCTAGTCGACAAAGGTTCCATTCGAACGACGATCCCGCCGACGGAACTGCGAGAAACAACTCGAACGACCAATGGCCCAGAGATCGAGGCGAGCACGCAGGAACTGGCAGTGGAGAACGAGGTGATTCCAGTGACGGATGATCGGCTCGACGCTGGTCAAGAACTCACGACGATTGCGACTCTTAACGACGACGTCAAGCTGGAAGATTTTGATCAGAACGTGGTTAAAATCGTATTTCCCGCGAACAATACCGAGGCGGTACAACTTGGCGAAGAGAGTACAAACGCTGTCGTTCCCAGACGCAGGAAGGTTTTGCTGAGAAGACGACTGGTCATATCACATGGGCAGGAAAAGGAAGAGGAGGAGGAGGAGGTGGAGGAGGAGGAGGAAAATAAACCAATTCCTCGTAGAAGAAAAGTGATCAAGCGCGTTCGACCGGTTCAGAGTACAGCGTCTACGGTGGATCTGCTTAGATCTCGATCCACGACTCCTGCGGTAGATCCAACGAGTACAATCGCTGTCGAAACTTTGGACGTTTCGACGACAGAAACGATCGACGATTTCACGGGGGTCGTGTTGGAAACCTCGACCCCCGAGACTGCACTTGCCGATATCGACATCGCCACGATGGCCTCGACGATCGTCGATAACGTCACGGCCGTCGTGATCGAGTCCTCGGCCGATACGGCTGCTGCGACAGAGTCGACAATGGCGACCAAGTTTCTGATCAATTTCACCGAGGCGAACGATGTTTCAGACAACGTGACTACCAGCATACCAACCGTCATTACGCCATCGGTCTACGTGGATTCTCGACCCTCCAGTCCCAGGTTAGAAATATACAACAGGACGTATTACTTGGATTCGAGATACGTGAGAAAAAAATTTATACGTAGAAGGCCGGTCGTTTCCTCCTCATCGGAAAATGTTACCGACAGTCGGTATTCAAACTTGGAAACTTCGACCAGCGCACCTGTGATTAACACCAAGAACGACCTGACAGGGCTGTCGAAGCGCAGAAAGACGCTGTTCGTTCGTCGCAGACCGGTCTCTTTTACAACCGAGAACGCGAGAACAATGGGACTCGTCGAGAAAGAGGAGAAAAAATTCCACGACGAGGGAGAAACGCCACGCGACGTCGAGAGTGCCACTTCGAGGATCGATGAAACCCTGTCCATCGAAAGGGAATCGGAGGCATTCTGGAGTCGCTATATTGCTCCGTCAGTTGAAAGGAGCTCGTCGACGCTCGACGAAAAAAGAGCAACGTTGCAGGGAAACGAGGAAGCGCCAGAGATTCGTTCTCGTTACAGAGCGACGGATCCTCCCAGGGAGAGCCTTCATTCATTCGACTCGTTGCCAGAGGAGTCCGAGGAGCCGAACGACCCCAAGTCCAGGTACCAGAATTTTCGTCAGCCGAGAACTCGTTACAGGTATCGGTCGGTAACGAGGAATCGAGAGGAAGAGGCCGAGGAATCGGTCGAGGAATCGATCGAGGACGCGACGCAGTCGTCGAGCTTCGACTCATCGGCGCAACTGAGGCCGCTACGTTTCTACGGGAGGCGACCGGTTCCCAGCACCGAACCGCCGGTCACCGAGACGCTGATTCCCGCCAAGAGGTTCGACTACGTGGCGGACGCTCACAGGCGGCAACAGCAGTCCCTGCGAACAACCACCCCGCGCTCAGTTCACGACCACTCGACCGTGGTTTGGGCGAGTTTCAGCGAGCAACGAGCGAACAATGAGATTCGAAATTTCGTGGAGGGCGATTACGCGACGACGACGCAACCTACGGCGCAACCGCTGGTAACGAGGCTGGTTACGTCGGTGGAGGAATCGGCCACCACCGAGAGGCAGAAGATTCTCATAAAGACGAAATACTCTTCGCTGACGTCGACCACCAAGATCCCTCTTACCACGACGTCCTCGATCTCCGATCAAAGCCTCGCCGCTTTGTCCGTTCCAAGGAGGAACGAGGAGCAGTCGGCGAACGAGATACGCCAGGAGCAAGTCGAAAGATCTACTTTACCCATCGAGGGTGAATTTCTTTATCAACCGGTCTTCACCACGGAGTCCCACGAGTCGTCCACCATTGAGATTGAGTCTGTGTTCAGCAATCTCATCGGGAACAGAGACTCTGCCAAGTGATAACGTTATCGATAATGTACCGCATACCTGTTACACATAGACACCGTTACTAGTAGATTATCTCCGTCAGAAATTCAACAACAGCAAGATAACGAACGAAAACATTTAGAAAGCAGAAGATGTAGACAGGATGAAGATTCGAAGGAAAAATGTGACAGTCAAGAAATCAACGTTACCAGGGACTTCTCTTTACTCTCTCTTTCTCTCTCTCTCTCTCTGTCTTTTCCTTTATTTCTTTCTTTTACACACACTCTTTCTCTCTCTTTCACACACAGGTTCTCCCTCTGCCTCTCTGTCGTTTCAGGACAGAAAGAAATGATTGTCCGAAGAACGCCGAAAAGAGAGAGACTGTGGATCGCAGGATCCTGATTAAGCGTGCTACCCTCTTCTGATTTTCAGGTTGCCAGCTCGGAAGCTAATAGGCTACCAACGCTCAAGGAACTAATCGGTTATCGTACGAACGAACGCACCATCGGCGGTCCGTCACCCGTTATATTGAACTTGCTCCCACTCGAAAATGACGCGAACCGTATCGTCGAGGAAACGGCGACTTTCGATGACGCGAGTTGGGTGCTAAACGAAGAGGAAACAAATTATGGCAAACTGTCAAACGATCTATCCGTGAATGATATAGACGAGTATTACGAAAATGACGCCTCGTTGGCCAGCAAAAGGAGGATCGATCGACAAGATTCGTCAACGACCATCAGCCTCAAGCCCACTACCATGCGCGGCATTCCTTTGATCGATTTGTTGCAAAGCCAAGTCCCGCGCGGCTTTTACGTTACCAGAGGCGAGAAAGCAGAGAACGAATCGACTTTGCCAGCAGAGAGTAAAGAAAACGTATCATCTAAAGTGGCCGATAAAATCGCACGTACCGACGCGTTTGTTACCGATCGTAGGTATGACGATGTCGGAGAAAATTCCGAGTGTTCGACTTTGACACCTCGCGATCTCACCGTGAAGAACAGTAAAATCGAAGACGAAGCTGAGAGAAAAGTAACAGTTGCGAGAGAAAGTAATACCGACTTTACAGAGACTCCAAGTACCGATGAAAATGATGCGACAGCCTCGATTCCTACGTCTGAGTCATCCGTTACATTCTCTTCTTCATCCGAGTCTATTGTCTCTACCTTACCTACTGAGAACATTGACTTCGCTCTAACCTCTACAGTCACGGAGCTGACACAATCTGACGATATCACCACTAAGACGAGCATGTTGGAACCGATGACAGAGACAGAATTGTATCTAGAGAACAAGACGGAGGGAACGACCGATGAAAACGGAAAGAATTTGACGAAAAACAACGAAGGATCAAAGTTGGTCCCAGCTACGACCGTCCCTTCTGCCAGTAAGAGCATAGCTAATCGTCGACACAAGATCGAGTCTAATCCCAGTTACGAGTTCGGGCGTAAGTCTCAAGCCCGTGGACAGGATCGTTATCTAAATAACGATCGTGAGGACTCGAGGACGCAGTTGTCTCGTCGCAGAGTCACTAGTTACAGTTACAGAGGACGGCGTCGCAGACCACCGTCCGTCGTTACCAGTACAGTTGCGAGCGACGTTGCCGAAGAAACCGGGGGGGCCACGGGCCCCGTGAATGGAACGAGAACGAACGATCTCGCGGTAGATCGAAACTACGGAGAAAACGCGAACGAGAAAGAGAAGACAAATCTGACCGGCGGCGAGGTGGAACGTCTTGGGACAGAGGGGAGTGTCGGTCGAACGGAGCCCGAGGTCAGTTTAGACTTTAAATCTCCCTGCGTTTCCGACTCACGACGATGGAAGAAGCGTAACAATTTCGGAACTTTGGTGTTCTAACTCGGACAGCTATCGCTCGCGCTTTCTCACTCTTTCTCTCTCTGTCTCTCTCCTCGCGTCTAACTAATTGCAAAACAAAGCGGGACCGTGCAACATTCACGAAGTGAACGAATCTGCTCGTCGATGATCGAAAGCGCCTTTCACAATGAAAGGAAGAAGTTAAGTCTGTGACGACGATCAACGAAACAATCGCACGATGACAGCAGGAGGGAAACTGTCTCCGAAAGGAAGAAATTCGTCGGCCATCTTTCCCGCCATTATCGTTCTTACCCTCACTTTTGTGATTTTGCTCTATTAACACCGTTTTCTCCTACGAGAGGCGCTGCGCTTACTCTGTTTCATTTTAAGAACGTTATGAATGTTGTAACCCTTTGTGCTTTGCTATTTTTATACACATTTGTATATGTATATATATATGTAATATATATAGTGTATATATAATATATATAATATATATATAAAATATATATATATATATATACTACGTGTATTCATAGCGACATCGACGATCGTGAGGAACGATTTTTCTGTAACTTTCTTTATTCATTAATACTTCAGTAAAGCATAAAGTGGCGGTAGAACGTCAACAGTGCAAAGGGTTAATGCTTCGCTACGAACTCGGCAATTTAACACGAGCTAAAAACGGAGCGCCGTTGTGCTCCGCGCGCTTATCTTCCAATTATTCTTAGTTTCTCCTCTTCAGTTGCGATTACTTGAAATCGAACAGGCCAACACGTCAATCGGTATAAGTGTTACAACGTTAAATTAAATGAAAGGGTCTGAGATTCGTTGCAAAGCGCCATCTATGAACGGCTAACAAGACACGACGTGTTTTGAATTTGAATTCTTCGCGCCGTAATGTCCCGCCAAATTTCTGAAGATTTCTTACAACGCGCCATCTATGAACGACTAACAAAATACGACGTGTTTTAAATTTGAATTCTTCGCGCCACAATAAGCGACTAACAAGACACGACGTGTTTTGAATTTCAATTTTTCGCGCCATTAATGTTGTGTCAATTTTCTGAAATATCTCTTGCCGACGTGATACTTCAACTATAAGAGCAGCGTTTTAAAACTCGTCTCTGTCCTACGGAATATTTCGTGACCTCAGACCTTATACCAATTGACTTTATGACCAATTAATGTTTCCTTAATCGACCGAATGAGAAAATTGTACTTACCGTTCCAACGAACAGAATCGAAATACAATCTGCGTGTGCTCTACGAACAGGTGAATTCATCGAAGAATACGATAGCGTCTCGTACGTCAGGAAATTTGCCGTCAACCAGGTTGAGGAAACCCCCTACAATCAATTTGACGACATTGCAAACGAACAAAACGACCAACACGTTCGCGAATCATCGGGAAACTTCGACCGACGGTAAGTGATGACACGACAGTGTAAAAATGTACACACACACACACGAAAACGTAACACGATATCTCACAGCTTGAAACTTTGTAACTTGAAGCGCGGCCATTTTGCTGCGACGCACGGCGCATGCGCGGGCCGGTAATTGGCGCGGAACGTTTCAAATTTAAATTTCTCTCGATCAACGCTCAATCGAAAGATACAAATTTTTCAGGGGATATATATATATTTCGCGTAAATTGCAATCGTGAAAGCAATTTACACAGACGTTCCTGTATTGTGTTTTAGATGCCGTGGATGAAAGAACCGAAACGTCAAAACCTGAGAAAGAGATTGATCAGAGTAGTAAAGCGCAAGAAATTGCGATGACTTTGGCCGATCCACCGTCCTCGCAAACATCAACGCTAGCCACTGGTACACTCAATTTGTTCAATCATCCACCGTCAGATTTCTTAATTTGTGCCTGAACTAAAATATTGCTGCATTGCAATTTCACTCTCTCGTTCATCCATCATTTGGGACATAATTTCTCACTGCACTGCAATTTTCAACTTATCTTCAAGTTTCTCATACTTCTACCGGCGAGTCAATCGACGTGGCTAAAACTCTTTCTCTTTCTCTCATTCTTCCTCCCTCTCTCATTTACTTATTCGCGTGTTTCTTCTATTCTGATACTCAAACACTAGGAAACCTTCGAGGAACTGAGGCTACCATCAAGGACTAATCGCATTTTATGTTTTTTCGAAGACATGTGTTTCATTGTTGGGGATCTAATGAAAGCTAATCAACATCTTTCGACAATTCTATTCTCGTCGACCTCATCAAGCGTTCATTTCTTTGCTAATCTTTTCTCGTCCTCGCTATACATCTCCCGTCTGCTGCAACTACAATCATGTTCGTCGCCTTTTATTTCATCGCCGTCCGCCTGTATCAACGCCCAACAGTACGAATACTAATGCAATTATAACTTCAACGCAGGCACATCTCGTTCTTCACGCTGGATCAAACATCGTATATACGTGCCGATGCGTCTCTGGTAACTATGCATAAAAGGGTACACCTCACCGATTTTGACGAAATTTAAATGTTGTAAAACTGAACATTTTGAGTAACCTTTTCCTATACATATAACCGCCGCTCGGCTTTAGTTTCAGAGATATTTGCGAAAAACTGTTACTACAATGAATATTGCCTATAGCTACGTGTCTGTGTAAGCGTTGAGTCGCCGAGTGTTTACGGTTTTTATAAATACATCGAGGCAGCCGCCAACGGGCGTTGGGTGCGTATAACGGGTGTACTTAAAAACTCGATTTGAGTAGCCGACCGCCCCGCGGCGGCCGGAATAAAACAACCTAATCCGAACTTAATCCATTCAATTAGTTACTAGGTAGAATAGTTAGGTTTAAGTGAGGTTCAGCTTAGGTTACTTTTATTTCGGCGGCCGGCTACTCAAGTCGAGTTTTTAAGTACACCCGTTATACGCACCCATTGCCGGCTGCCTCGATGTATTTATAAAAACCGTAAACACTCAGCGACTCGACGGTTATAGACACTAGGGCAGGACACCTAGTAGCTATAGGCAATATTCATTGCAGTAGTAGCAATACCTTTTCGCAAATATCTCGGAAACTAAAGCCGAGCGGTGGTTATATATATAGGAAAAAGTTGTTCAAAATTTTCATCCTGATAACATATTTAAATTTCATCGAAATCGGCGAGATGTACCCTTTCATGCACAATTACCATCTCTATTTATGTTCTTCACGTGGGTGCTAAGGGGATTCTTCTAGTTTCTTTTTGTTTTCAATTTTTTTTTTTTTTTTCTTCTTTTTGGAGAAAGATTGATATGACTAATCGAGTTGCGAATAAACAATCAGGTCGACCATCGTTCAGGAACGCCCTCAGGCGCAAAATAAGCACCACAGTTGCACCTAGAACGGACGCAACGACAAACAGGGCTGTCCCCAGATTCACACCGACAGTCAGAGATCGACAAAAGTCGAGGTCGAGGGACAACACTCTACAAAACGTGACGACGAGACCTAGGCGACCGCCCGTTATCGACTACGATTATTACGAGGACGAGGAGGAGCCGGTGATTGGAAAGTCGACCTTCAACGGGAAACTGTTTCTCACCAGCAAAGGGACGTTCCGATGTCTTGATCAAGGCAATTTCCCGCACCCGTACTCTTGCAAAAAGTTCATCACTTGCGCGAAAATGGTGAACGGCTTGGTAATCGGGGCTGAATACACTTGCCCCGACAAACTGTCCTACGATCCGGTCGGCGGTATTTGCAACTGGTCAGCCGGACTTGGCTGCAAGGAATGATTTCCCTCGAATCGCTGATTTGTTCATCAAAAGTCGAGCATCTTGGTAAATCAGGAGCGCGAAAAGGAGAATGAATTTTGTTGTTGGATCACGATCGCCGTTAATTGCACAACGAATTGGTTAATTAATTTTTTTAGAAACGCGAGTAGCCATATTTAATGAACGAAGCATGGTGATACTATCGTTAAAAATGTCTGTCTGTAAATATTATAGTTACTGTGTATATATATATATGTATAGGTTTAGTTATTGCATGGCGTGTCGACGAAATACAACGTAAGGCGTTTAAGTGCACGTGCATACGTAACATCGAGAAACTTAGTATCTCTGTAAGTTACATTTATTTGTAAAACTCTTTGAACTCGATCGAAAAATCAAATTGGATTTTTATATATATATATATAATATTACGTATATATATATATATATTACGTATTTTATATATATATATACGTAATAAGTTTTTATATCTGGAATAAAAGCATCCGTTTTTAACCACACTGTTAGAAATTTTTATTTATATTCTTTTATTATATCGCCCACTTGATATGACGCATATTAGGATACGTTAAAAACAACTATCCAATCTTGTCGCTTTTTTCAATACAAAATTTCTTCTTATTTGCACTCTCACTCTCACTTTCTCTCTCTCACTTTTTTTCATTTTCTCGCAATTTGATTTCACAATGCTTTTCGTTATTAAATTAAAAGCCGAGGAAGATGAAACTGACAAAACGAAAAAAAAAAAAAAAAAAAAATAGAAGTCGACAAGTGTAAATATGCAAATACGAATACGATTCTGTCGAGCTCTGAGTCAAATTGAGAATTGTACAAATTACAATTAATTAATTGGTTTAAAATTATAAGAGTTACAAGTTATGCGTATATGTGATTGATTATTAATGAGAATGTATACATGTACATAATACGATATGAACGCAATCGAAAATTTTCAAAATGATTTCTTTTCCTCCGATCATACATACACATATGTATTTGTTTTTAAATTCATCGCGCTATGAACGAACTCGTTCATAATCTCAATCTTGTTTGCATGTGAGGTTATGTGTGTTTGCATGTGTGTCCGTGTGTTTACATATGAGCATACGCTGTTCAGTAGATCAGTAGACCTTTCCTTCCAGTTCTTTTTACCGTTGCTCACTTCTGCAAAAGATGCCCAATGAGAATTTCCTCTATTCTTTTTTTTTTCCTTTTTCTTTTTTAACAAAAATAAATACAAGAGAAAATTAAACTGAACTCGCAAAACGCGTTAAAACAGATATTAAAGAAGCGAAACTAAGTTGTCAAGCGAAGAAAAAAAAAAAACAGTCACAGTATAATTTCCCTTTTCTCTTCTCGAATGTCAGACAATTGCAATTTCACACACGAGCATCTTCTATGACCTTGGAACAACAATGATTTGGACGACAATGATTCGACTGAATGACACATTTCAATGCTGCTGAATATAAATTGTGATCTAACAAAGATGACACAAAAAAGGATGGCGATTGCTATTTTGACAAATTTTACACGACGGATCTTATATTACAGTGGCCTTTTCACTATATCACTTCTGTCAAATATTTATAAAAATAAATACTTTGAGAAAGTGGCTTCGTTTTCACTACCGTAATTAATTACTTTATTGGAACAATAATAAATAATTCGTTTAATTCAAATAAATAAATAATTTGCTCTCTTTAGCGTCGTTTCGCATTATCGTTATTATTAATTATTATTTAATACACGGTTTACGAAATATAAAGGCGGCGTTTCTCGTTTCAAGGATTTCTCGTTGTGCCGCTTGTTATAAAAAAATATGAAACGTTTGTGTTCGATTTCGAGCGTAATATTTTCTGGATTCTTAGCGAGAAGGTCGTTCGTACGTACTCACGGATTTTTTTCAAATGTTCGTTTACATCGTTTAATATTCTTAATTTATATACGCGTGAATATGAATTTTCGTATATATATATATATATTTTTTTTTCGAACATCGATTTGCGTCTTACGCTTACGAATCGAGTATCTGCTTCGTTTTATGAAAAAAATAGAGACCCTCGTATCGTTCTGCACGATTCTATGCATTTAGGAACTGCGAGACACTCGTATCACGTTTTTTTTTTTTTTTTAGGTACAACTGAAACAGTCGTCTCTTTTAAAAAGATCAAACTTTTTCTCCCTCGGAAACGAAATTAAATTATAACTTTAGATAGTACGATTCAGAGTTCTGAAAAATATACAAATACTCCCGTTAAAGTGACATTCTTTTCCTTTTTTCTTTTTTAACAATACATGTAAGACCGCAATATCGACGCACGCGATAATTGTACGTAATAACCTGTTTAATCACGTTTCCCATTTTTTAGTACAATATTCATTTATGGAACAGTTTCTGTTCTCTCCTTTTCTGGGACGCTTGCGAAAAGGAAATGTTTATCATTTTTCTCTATTATTGGTACTCGTGTGACTTCTTGGAGATGTTTATATACAATTGAAACATTAACTTACTAATTATAGGACTCATCGTAGATATAGGCAAGAAGCGAACGTTCTAGAAGAACCTGTTGTATTCGATTGTGCTATTCTTTTAACGTTAAGGTATCTAAATTGTGTATACATTTATTGTCACTGTACAGACTTATTTAAGTACCGACCACTTTCCACGTCGACCACCAACTTCGTTTTACTTCGTACAACGATATAGCGATAGAGAATAGACGTTTTCTAGCAAATATCGACGTATCAAAATTTATCGACATAACTCTCAGGTTCCTTTACGTTAAAAAAATATCACGGATAAAAAATTGCTAACACTCGTGACAAGTATAAATATATTAGAGCCTTTCCTTCTCAAACGCTCCGAAATATTATACCATATTATCTTAAGGCTAGTCAATGATTCTTTGATCGCGTTGTAATTCTTAATTTATGAAAGAAGTTGTTGAAGTACCAAAACGTGCGACGAACGTTTCATGTGAACATTTGATTTGTTTTTTTCTTTTCTTTCTTTTTTAAATGGAAAATTTGTCCGGAAATTTTTCATCTTTGATATGTATCTTTACAAATCTGATTCACCGTACAGAGCAGTGGAGAATGAACGATAGTCCAATGCACCAGGAGGCGTATTCGGACCTTTGTAAGGAGGCATTCGCTGAATGCAGTATTCGGCCTGGTCAGGTGGCAATTCCCTCCTCAGTTCGTCTGCCAAGATGTACGGCTATACAAAGGAAATTAAATAACTCGGTTGCTTGATTTGTCGAAATAACATTTCGATATCGTTTCGAATAAAACGTATGCAAACCTTGTCTCCGGCAAGTATACGGAAACTATCGATAACTTGCTCAGCCGTGTCCGTGTCTGTAGATTCGCGAGTCATGAAGTCCAAGAACGCATCGAACTGCACGTAGCCGGAGTTATTTGGATCGACAATAGCCAAAATACGTTGGAAATCGATGTCGCCTTGTCTATCCTTTCCAATGGAATAACCAAGAGAAACGAGACAGGACTTGAATTCATCTGGAGCCAATCTGCCTGTACGATTCTTGTCGAAATGATTGAAACTACTACGAAATTCGTTGAGTTGTTCCTGCGTGATGCCCTGTAAAATTTATCTCATTTTAATTATTACAAATAAATAAAGATTGTTCTTAAAAAAAAAAAAAAAATTACCTTCGAATCTCTAGTAAGAATTTGGTTTTCAACTTCATTAATATTACGATTTATTGAAGTGAGCAATTGTTCCCATCCAACTCGTAATGTTTCCATCGTGTATTGAGTGTATCGGTTCTCGAATATCATTCCCTCCTGGACAGCTTGGTGAATCTTCTCCAATTCCTCAAGATGAGCTTTGTATTGATAGACCGCCTGTTCATATTCTTTCAGACGATGTAATTGATCTTCCAGAGTTCCCTGAAGACCGAGACCAATAGCAGTAACTGCGTCCAATTGACGTTCTATCCATGGACCAACGGCATTAGCTTTCTCAGCAAACTGTCGTCGAAGTAGTTCGTTGTTCTGCTGTTTACGAAGTTCCGCTTGCAATGTACCGTCACGTTGAGGCACAAGTTGTCTGACATCGCTCCATTTCTTCGTAAGATCCAAAGCAGTTAGAGTAGTATACGGATTTTCAAGGCCTCCGGGGATTTGGAACTGTTTCACTATTGATTCAACTTCGCGTACTAATCCCACAATAGAATTGTACTCTTTATCGGCTTCACCGAGAGTTGCTTTAAACGCAGCATGAGCATCCATCAATCCTTGGATTTCCTCCATCGTATGAACGATAAACATGTCTACCAAGTCTTCCCTGGTTCCATCCAGCCAGTTATTGAACGGCTGTAAGTTACATTGTAAGAAAATTAAATTTCAGAAATATTCCTAGTAATATAACACACACTTACAGCAGCTCGTTTAGCGAATTCCAAATGTAGAACGTCGATCTTTTCAAGAATACGTTCAGCCTCGTCTAACGCTTGACGCCTACGTTGAGTGAGAGTACCTAAACGATCCCACTGATCGCAAATTCGTTGACACCTAGCATTAACGGACGCGCTATCGTGATACTCCAAGGTACTAGAAAAAAGAAGAAAGGTATTAATGTTACTAACATTCGGTAATATCGTCAAAATAATTTGGTGCAAGTGTTCTGCAACATTACTTGAGCTCTTGAGCGATGGCAGCTATCTGTTCTACGCGATCCTGATGAGCCGCAAGATCAGACTCGAAAGCTTCGTGCTTTTTCTTCAAAGCTTTGAGCTCGTTGAGTTTGCACTGTCGGAAGTGTTGCGACGTAAGCATCTCTTCCTTTCCTGCGGTCCATTCTTCATGAGCATCAGCTTTGTGCTTAAACTTCTGAGCCAAATGCTCCAAACGCTCCAGACGCATCATTTCCGACAAGAGCCATTCTTCGAACGATTTCTCTGCCAATTCTAAGCCTACGATCGAAACAAACGATCTTAATACCCTTTGTCTTTTTAAAGTTTAAGCAAGTCTTGCTTTAAAAAATAAGACATATGTGAGCTGTACCTTTCCAAGCCTTATTTATATCGGAGACCATTTTTCCCTCGGTTGGCATATAAGCAGGTCGATTGCTCAGTCTCAGCTTTGTTTGTAAAGTATTAAAATTCGTTTCGAGTTTGGCTTTTTGCTCAACCCGCGGTGGCTTGTGCTTACGACGATATGTTCTATATTCCTCCAACTTCTTTTGACAGCCAGCAAGGGAATTATCGGTCTGACGACTGGCTAACCAAGGCATGGTCCGTCTTATCCATTCCAGTAAATCAGATGCCAGGCGTTCGTATTCTTCCATGAGCCTTTCATTTTCTTGGTTCACTTTTAGAACTTTACATATTCTATTTGCGGCAGTCTCTGCCTGTAGTGAGAAACGAACATTTGTTTTATGAAACAGAAAATTTTAGATAAAACATATCATCATAAAACTTTTACTCGTTCATTTTTTATCATGGTAAAACATACAGTGGGTAAATTGTACACAGATGTTATAGATTAATTTCAAATACAAACACACACCTTTTGTGCACCGCTAAAACAGTGGTAGTACGAGGAAACGTAGGTCATCACAGCTCTCTCATCAGGCATTGCTGTATTTCGCATATCTAGAAAAACACATTCGAAGAAAAACTCAAACCATGCAGTGTTAGCTTGAGGATGTCCACTGAAAAAATGTTGTTCTTGTCTTTCTATCAAGAGGTACAATTTTAATTGATTTGTCGATCGGAAATGTGGTAATTATCACTAGCTATATACGATGGACTGGCTGTACACTATAGAGGTAACAGAAACAAACGTGTAGATAAGTGAGGGGAGAATCTTTTTGACAATTGTAACTTTGTTTGTAAGTAGCTGGCACTTAAAACACGAAACAAGTATGTATAACAGTTATACATGTACACGAAACAGAATGTATGTGTAACAGAAATTAGCATGATGAAACACTGTTACGCATAAGCATACGGTTGTAGTTTATTAGTGACAGATAGCACGGATCGTTTGGTAACTAACATAAGGGAACAACACGCATTTCTTTCCGCTGACCTGCTGAGCACCTTGGAACGCATGGTAGTAGCAGGACACGTACGTCATGATTGCACGCTCATCTGGCTTGGGTGTGTTGATCAAATCTATATGATATTAAGGGAACATAATATTAAGAATCTATACGTTAAGTAACATGGAGAAAGCTCGTTTGATGGTACTTCCATCCTGAATTCCTTACAAAATGCCTAAACCAGTAGGTTAAAAATATTTCTATCGCGTTAACCGACAACACTCCAAAGTGAATGACATTTGATATTTATTTAAACATGACAAAAGATTCTGAAAGATCAAACGCATGTACTCACCATCAGGATCTAACATACGAGGAATGTCAAGATACTTTTCAGCAACATCGAAGGCAGTGTTCAGATTCTCTAAAGGATTATCCTTGCTAAGTTTATTGTAATCGATCAAATCAGGACGATGGCGATGAATGAGGGCGCAAAAGGCCAAGCCATCCTTGAAGGACAGATGGAAGTTCTGGACATTGACATTTTTGTACGGTGCAGTTTTACGTTGGCACCACAGCAAAAGTCCCTCTTTAGCAGTCATCTCTTCCACAGAAATGTCCTGAATAGCAAATCGCAGGATGATGGTCCAAATCATACCCAGTGTCATCTTCAGATTACCATCCACAATTTCTACAAATTAAACGACAACATTTCAACAATTTTACTTTAGCTTATCTGTACGAATGTACAAGAAATTGTTCAAACAATCAGGATATTTACCCTCTGCTCCGATCGAAACTAATTTTACACCTTTACTAGCAATGTAATCAAGAGCTTTGTTCACGTTCGCGATCTTGTGGAACCTCATTTTGCCTCTGTCCGGTCTTGGTAGAGTCTCACCAGAAATTACCTCGAGCAGCAGCATTAATTTCAACCCATTTCTAAAGTCCTCCTCGATTGATTCAATGGCGGTTCCTGCTTTACGAAGGTGCGAGTTGCACCACGCTGTGAATGTCTGCGAACACAAACATCATACTGACAACTTGTTCCCTCACTTTCCATATACGTGTATAATCTAACCTCTCGACGATATTGTGGTCAACGTACGTTAACGTTTCATGGCTAAAAAAGAATTTAAAATGGAGAATTGAGCTTGACTGTTGCTTAGTTTGTATTTTAGTAACGACCCCAATCCCTTCTCTGCTATATATATGTATATATATATCCTGTCCCGGTTCTTAAACTGTGCATCCCATCGCCCAGACTAAAGATTTTCAAATCTCTAACATCTCCGAGCATCGAATTAAATCGTGATTATTTCACAAAAAATTGTACCGCATCTTACAATCTCGAAGTACCATTGGCTGATTACTCACCAAAAAATTATATTTAATTTATAATTCAAATTACATACATACGTAACTATGACACAAATATTTGTCGTCCCTTTCAATTGTATTCTACGCTACGATATTCGTCGTATGAAAAAAAAAAAAAAAGTTTCGAATTTCTTTTGAATTAAAATGCGAACATAATGTGGAATTCGTATTTCCCAAGTTTCCGGGGAAGCGTGGAAAAAAAATTACGACATCGGTATTCGCGGGAGTTTTTTTCACAGGGGAACAAACAGAGAAAAATATTGTCTGAAATTTAATACGGGTAGCGTGAAGCGCGACCGGCCAAAATTGGACATGAGCCACCTTAACTTCTACGAGCGCTCTAAGATCTATTTGTAAAACATTGACTCCTCCCGCGCTCAGCGCCGAAGCATTTCAAACGCACTCTGATCCGATTTTGTTCTGAACGACGATATTAAATCGATATTTCCATATTTTCTTTTTTTTAATTTATAGCTGAGGCACGAGCAACTTGACCTTCGGTTCAATCGTCGAACTGGAGAGAGAAAGAGAGGAGTGGAGAGTTTATTAATCAATTTCAATTAATAAACAAAAAAATCGAAGAAAATGATTTTAAGAAATTTACAAACAGACGATACGAGAGTTACAATAAAATTACAGCCAGAGAAAAATCATCCGATTCATAACTATCATCGTCGTAAGAACCATGATCGTATCTCTCACAAACAACGAAATTCCTTTTCAAAAATAAGTTTCGCAAGAATTTTATAACCTTGTAATTTCACCCCATCTCGCGGCTATTGATATATTTCTATAAATATCCAAAATGGATATTCATTTCTCCCTGTAATTTGTCTGATGCAAAAAGTCGGAAATAACATAACGTTATATTCCGTTACATAAACGATAGTTTTATAAAAGTGAAACGAATGGTGATTTGTGTAAACAAAAGTGCAGCTATAGCCGCGTAGAATAACAATGGGATTAGGAGGCTTTACTTACATTAGTGACTCATCCCCAATCTTTTTATGAACAGAAGGAATGCCTCAGCTGACAGTGAGTTCACGACACGATATATAAACAGGTGATTTTGATTTGCAACATGCTCCCGATCGATCGTCAAATTTGATTTCTCATTCTCGTGCACGATCCAACGAATTCTTTTTATCGGCTGCGTCGCATTTTTATCGGCTGGGTCGCGCGGGCCGAGAGAAATGTAAGTAGGAAAGTGCATAAAGCCGGCTGGCTGTACACAAAATTTTTACTGCTACCTGCAGCCGGACCAAAAATAAACGCAGTTAAACACGAAACGCCCTGAATACGATGCACATAATTCACACGTAACCCAAATTCTAAATATCGCGGCTGAATACACACGCACACACGCACACACATACACACACTTGCAACTTACATCTATTCTTAAATTCTGGGCATTGAATTTCTTTTCAGCAGTGCCGAGACTTCCATAAGGCAGCTGAAATTCCTGCTCTATATTTTTCGTTAACGGCCATATCTTATCGTTGGACGTACGTACGTAAGTACTTACTTATACACATAATTGTCTTAACGATCGATGAAAAATTATTGGCCAAAGCGGCCAATTAACGGAACCATTTTACGCAACTTCGTCGCTTCACCTTGAAATACATTAACTTAAGGCCAGAATGTGAGATAAAATACGAGACCGAGGGACAGAATATTGGCCGGCTGCTTGTGATACACGTGATAGTCGAATAGCAGCGAAACTATTACAAAGGTGGATCATTTACGAGAGTCAGAGTACGTCGGAATGTAGCACAAGAAGCGAATGTTGTTGGCAAATAGGTTAACAGGTGACAATGTGGTCACAAAAAACTAGTTTTATATATATATATATATATATATATATATATAATGAATGAAACGTGCATTCTTCGCAAGAATAATCAAACATCCCGTGTCCTATTTGTTGATAAATTTTATGAAATCTGTCATACCGATCGTCGCGCGAAAAGTCATACCGACTAGTGATTGATCAAAGTAAAAGAATTCGAGTTTCATTTCCCTATGCACAGGCTGCTACGAAAATAATCCCGCGAGATCGCACGCAAAGCGAAAAATAATCATGGTCGATGTTCTATTTGCGGAGAGTATCAAGGGAGCGGAAATGCTGAAAATTCATTCAAGAAACCATTCCAACACGGCTGCGCGGATATTTCGTTCGCGTAATTATCGTTTCGACCTTTGTGAACTAAAAATAGTAAAACGTGGGTGTCGATTGCATTTTAACGAGGCGTAATCGTGGAATTCGCAATAAACAGCCGGCAGAGGTGTGTTGCCTCGCGCACGGGGAACTTATCATCGCATAACAATCGACTTAGTGGGTACATATGTAGCGTGTGGTGTGGGTCACCCGATTCCAATCTAAGATTTGGCGCACAGCCGAAACTTTTCAGAGGTTAACGATCCTCCTCTCTTCGCATTGAGGAAGAAAATCGATCGATCGCTCGCCCATTTACAATTCCCCTCGATCTTCGTACAGTACTTCCAACCCTTTGAAATGGTTCGTAAAGCTAACGCCAGAATGCGTTGCACCGGACGATCGTTCTCTCTTCTCTCATTTGGTCACATCCAAGGAAGATTACAGGTACAATTAGGAGGAATAATTAACGAGGAATAATTAACAGAAGTATTAAATAAGAACATTACAGGTATCGTGAACGAAACTCATCTGTCGGTTAAACGCCGGTTAAATTTGGAAACGGTTGCCAATCGGAAGACAGGCTTCAACTATGATCGAGATGTCTTCAATCGCGTGCATTATCTGCAGGTATATATATACGTGTATTTATACAATGTTCTTGTATTTATATAATAACGTCAGCTTTATGTGCACAGAAATGACGGATATAAGTATATACCCGGCAAACCGTAACGAATACGAATAATCGTATCACGTAAAGTAACCTGTCGACAGTAATATTAGATAAGCGGTTCCGTAACCTTCGACGATTGCTGCCCGCAACAAGTTCCTAGGTTAGAACATTTCATCGAGCGCTAACATTGCTGGCGCCGACCGTGTCCAACACGAAGGAGGAGATGATCGTACCCTGTTCTCGTGCCACGAGAAAATCATAGAAAAATCTTGAGAACAATTTTGACTAAGGAATTGGCTTTTCAGATTTCGTTCAATCTCTACAAGATTGTTCAATTATGAAGCAAGTATAAATACGTACAGCAAGTGTTTGCAAAGCGTCAAACGAAGCGACTCATTTGAAAGGGAAAAATGCCTATCACCGTTCTCTCCAGAATGCTTCGTGCGCAGTTCGAAAGTCGATCAAGTAGCAAGAAATTTTGTGAGAAATTACGGGCAAGTTACCTAAGTCGGTAGCTTCGTTTTTAGAGTATGTTGCTATCTGTAAAAAATATTATTGAACATTTGAATATAATTTTTATTATTTTATTATTTTATCTTGAGTGCAATATCTGTAATGCAAATATTCCTTAAAAAAAAAAAATGCTTAACAAAGATATTGTCCAAATCTGTGGACTTTTAGTTTTGTAATGTTTTGTAGTGTCGAAATTGCGACTCTCGTCACTTATTTGGAGCTTGTGATAAATGATCATCGATAAAATGACGATAACATCAAAATACGGGTTACAATTGAAAAGAAAAAAAATAGAGACGGTGATTTCATAAAACGTCGAGTCCTGTAAATTTTTTTTTTATGTGTGTGTGTGTGTATAAAGCCAATTAACAAATAAATGCAATTTCACTGTAGTGATCTGTATCAATCTGAGCATTCCTAGCAGCGATATTTCGACTAATGAATAACGAAACATCGTCGTAACAAAATAATCACGAAATTATCGCACGTAATCAACAACCGTAATCTTATTTCTGACCGATCTAAAGAATTTCGAAATGAAATCGGGCGAGATCGATTCTTCAAATGTCGTGGGGAAATATCGACAGAATTGCGATAGTTCAATGTGACTCATTGCTCGATTATTTTTGTCATAAAGTCTGAAAATACAATCCAAAGGGCTGCCTCGTCTAGTGACGCATATAATCGAGTCGGACTTGAGAGCCTTGAGCCTCTGCCAAAAATGAGGAAAACATTTTCAACGCGTACTTGAAGCTGTTCCATTTTATCAATTGACACCGTATTAATCTGCTACCCTTGTATCCTATCCGGGTGATTCTCTTTCGCCGCGATTACATCTCACCTTACGTTTGATTTACAAAATTAAGATCAGCACGAAAACACGCTTTGCACTCTGATCTCTACAGAACGTTATATACACAAAATGTAATAGCCACAATTGACGAAGAAATATGCACTGATTCTATTCCGACCGTATAAGAATAAACTTCAAAAGAGGATCACGTAACAACGCGATGCAACGATGCGGAAATAAAAATTTAAAAATGTTAAATGTTCAACGATGAACAGGAAACCAATTCAAAATAAGATAATCAATTTAGTTCAAGGTGATTACGTATCATCGACAGTTAGTACAAAACGAAATCAATTATAATATAAAACGCGTACTTTCACTTCGACATGTATGATGGATCACACTTTTTACATGGCACAATGATACGATACAGCATTTGAAAATCGTACCGTGTTCCGCGAGGTTATGTACAGCAGTTAAACCGAATGCGTTTACTGCAACAATAGTAACGTACGAACTTTTCCGAAACAAAAGATTACGCCTGAGATGAATAGCAGCGTTTGAATGCAACTGTTCGATTCTATGTGCATATACGTACGTAGTACATCGTATAATGACCGAGTCGAAGCTTTCAACAGAAAAACGAAGAAAAAAAAAAAAGGAAGAAGGAGAAACACGTATGAAATTCCATTAAATGGAAAGATGATACGCTTAACTTACCTTTTTCTGTTGCTTTTCCCAAGCCGGGTCCAAAAGACCTTCTCTCTCCCATTCTTCCTCTGGCTCCATGTATCCGTCCCCGTAAGCTTCCATGTCGTTCATCCTTCCGCGGATAATTCACGTTCCTTGAAATGCAAACGATTCTCTGTCACCTGGTCTACAAACGTTCTCCTATGTATGTACAAATCAACGAGCAAACACACTCGGCTATATTCTCGGCACGACGACGCAGATCATAACCGAGACTGACAATCCACTCAGACTTTTCCCCTTACATTTAGCCTCCGCGTTAATATCAAGCAGAACCGCGTGTGCAAGTGTGTCGTTGGTAAGAAAATAAAATTCGCCAGTGCGAAGAGGAGAGAGGAAAAAAGTACGCGCAGGTGATGGAAAGTGAGGAAGGAAGAAAGAAAGGAAGGAAGTAACGAACGAAGGTTTAAAAGAAAAGAAAAAACAGAGGGAGAGAGGGAGAGAGAGAGAGAGAAAAAAAAAGAACGGAAGACTAACTAAGAGTGGTGAAAGGTGTACGTTTTATAACGTGAAAACGTACCCGCTAAGTCCAGAAAATATTCGATTCGTGTCGTTCTTTCTCTCGCGCTGACCCCTCTGCCACGAGTCTGACACACGATTTGCTCGCCGGCGCACGAGCCTCCCCTCCCACACTCGGTTGCTTGCTCGCTCGTTCGTTCTCTCCCTCTCCCTCTTTCTCTTTGTCTCTCTCTCGCTCTTTCTTTCTAATTTTCTCCCTTGCTCGTTAGTTTACTTGCTCGCTTTTCCCGATTTTCCCCCCCACGACATTTAGTCGACACCCCGTCACCTCTCCAAAGACCCTGTGCACGACAGTCTCCCCCGCGAATTATAACAATCCAGCCAAGTATCCCGATGACGTATGCACGCAAACGACACGGATCGAAAACTTAATTCGACCAATTAACGAAATATCCCAGAATATATTGGCTTTTTTTTTATAAATATATCCTATCGCCTCTGGCGCGTACTTTACTCGTAAAATCAAGCACGACACATATAGACGTAATTAAATTTGATAAAAGAGCTACGTAGTTTTAAGAAATTTATAACTTAAATCTACTTGAATCTATTTGATGTCGCAAACTCTGTCTAAAAAAAAAATTATGAAAAATGACCAAACAAATATGTTTACTAATTAACAAAATATTCTTCGAATAACATATCCAACGGACTTAAACGGGGGAGGGACAAAATCGGGAGTAACTTGAATAAAAAATCAACGTTCAAGAATTAAACAAAGATAACGTAACGTGATCCTATATTGCATTTGTCAGTTTCATGAAGAAAAAAAAAAAAATCTAAGTACATACCCCGATACATCTGCCGAAACTAACCTCCGTTCTTCGTTTAAGCGCGAATCTCGCCCAGGAAACGGCTTAGGGAAGACGAGGATATCGAAAATAGTATCGAAGACGACTAAGACACCTGATTCACCCACACACGATAAAAATAGTACGGTAATTCGCGTGAAATTTCCAAAACAACAAGAGCAACACCATTCCTTCGAGACTTTATAGACGTGCAGGCATAAGCATCCTGTACATAGAACGGCAACAATCGCGTCGGTCGGATCTCCAACTTTCAATTTCTGAAGTATTTAAATAAAACGTATTGTTGCTTCCAATTTAGGACGTACAGGCATTACTTTCTTTTTTCAGTAATAAAAAATGTAAAAAATGTTAATCTAGGGTGATTTACATTTCTGTGGTGCAGCACGTGAAATTAATGGTGGTTGAAATTTCATTATCGTATCTCTTTTACACGGAGTTGTTCATCTGACGACGACGTAAAAATTTAACGAAAATTAGTATTTCGATTCATCAAAAGAAGTATTTCGATTCATTCGTGAATAAGAATTGCCACTTGCTAATAATGCTCATATTTGTCGGTGATGTCGCCACGTGTAACGTCTCTTCGTAAATTTTTATCTAATCATTTCAATTTCACTCATGCTATGCTCATTTGTGTACATATATATATTTATATATACACATGTACAGGAATGGACATGAATAGACTTAAAGTTTCGAGGGATGGAATGTTTATTGTCACCTTTTAGCTGTATTCCGTAATATTTCTTCAAAAAAAAAATTATAATTAAATATTTCTTGCTATTTGTATGTTCGAAACGCCATCGTGTACTCGTTTGTGGAAATATTTTCTGTTTTGAGTGAACTTGTGTAAGAAATAACAAATTTGGTAAAATATGCGAATTAATATCATTAATTTTTGTGTGAATGATCTGTACTTAATATAAGAGATCATTTGTAAGAGCATTGTCGTGTCAAATAATAGAAATAATCTAACCGGTAAAATGGCATCATCGTTATCAGGTATTCAAGAATTTTTATAATTTTTCACTTTTTTCACCAATCATTTATCTATTTATCTATTCTGTGTACTTTATTTTATTTTTTTCTTGCAGCATATTGGGTAAAATTTTTTAAGGGCGCAGGATTTCCTCAAGATGTAGCCACGAAGCATGCAGTTGTGTTTTCAAATAATCGTATTAAACCAGACATGTTACCCGATTTAGATAAACCTAGCCTCAAAGAAATGGGAATTACTTTAATGGGGGATATGATTGCTATTTTGAGATATGCAAAAAAAGTGGTAGAGGAAACAACATGTGAAAGATTCTTGGTTGATACGAAGGATAAAGTTGAATCGTCTAAATCAACAGTTAAAAAAGTATCAACCAAAGCAATTAGTTCTAATACGAAACTAGAAAAAGTTAATAACAAACATAAAACTGAAACAGTACTTACAAAAAAGACCATTAAAATTCCAACAAGCTCAGCCAAGAAAATCATTGTTGATAAAAAATCGACATCAACATCAGAAATAATTGCAGACCTTGCTAATCAAAAGAAACAGACCTTGAAGAGAAAATTAAAAGAAGATAATGCGTTTGATATTAATAATGAGGACGAATGGGAAGAATCACCCAAAAAGCTGAAATCGCTTGACAATAAAGAGACAGTAGGGTATACTGTAATACTTCCAAAAGGTTCAACATCTAGAAGTCAACAGATTCTTAAGAAATCTGCAGAACAAAAACGAACTGTATTCGATAGGCTGGGCGATAGTTCTGTTACTAGTACAACAAATCCAACTGAAACATTACCAACATTCAATATTACTGGATTGGGAAAAGATATCCTTAAAAGATCTGTTTTTAATCGATTAGGAGATAAAGATGCCAAAAAAGATACCATAATTCAACCAGGTATATTAAAAAATGGAATAAATAGTACAGGAATATTAAAAACTAGAAGCCCTAGTATAAGACCCTCGATTCTTACAACAAATAAAATAGTATCAAAAAATGTGGGCACAATGCGAGCTGATCAAGAAGTAAACAGAAAAGTAATGTCAAATAATGTTGCACAGTTAGTGAAAAAAACAAAAAGAATTACTTTTAACAACACATCTTTAAGAGACAACAGAATGATAAAATCCAACGTTACATCTGGAAAATTAGGTATGCACATAGTTTTATGTAATGCAATACATTTTTGATAGTTTCTACTACATCTATCTTTTAATTTTTGTGCAATATTTTTTGTTAGCCTCAGAAAGATTAACCGCGATACCGGCGAAAGCACGTTTGGGAATGGTTAAAACAAGCAGTGCTAAACAAGTAACTTTTGACAGAATTGCAACAGTAGCACATGTAAAACGACCAGATGTTTTTAGTCGTCTTGGAATTTGAGAGTAATCATTTACATTGCTTTTGTTATTATTAAGTTAATATATATGTTTGCTTGTGACCAGAAATTCTTTGTACAAAGTTATTTAGTTCTCTATTACGTAAATATAAAGACGCAAAGGAAAGATTATTAAATTATGTTAACTATTAGAAAAAAAAATCAAATACAACTTTTGAAAAAATTTAACTGTTTATATTTTCCATAAATCACAATTATACATATTTGTTTCAGTATCATACGGTATGAACTAACAAATATCATGTAGAATGTTAATATTTTTTGATTGAAACAGAAATTAAATTTTATTCTCTTAGGTAAAAGAATACATAGAAATTGTATTTTATAACAGTTTTAATATTTCAATTTAAGGATATACATACGTACATGTATAAATGTAAGTAAAAAAAGAACACAAAATTTACACATATAAAAATTGCAATTGGTAGATTGTTATAAATAAGCGACAAATTTTTGTATAAAACAACTTATAATTTTAATTAAAGATTGCTTAAATCAAATGAGAGATACATCTTTTTACATAGCTTTCAAATTTACACTTGTATGTTACAGATAAATAAACAATTTGTAATAAAAGTATACAAAAATAATGTATATATTAGAACAAGTAATATGGTAATAATAACAAAATCGACACACTTCTTTTCCTCCAGAAATAAAAAAAATGGTTTTTACATTGACTCGAAATAGATACTAAAATATTCTATTTAATCATTGATCATTTGATCATTTTCATTATGATTTAATATATTATTAAAATTTATGTAAAGCTAAATGTAATAAAATCCCTAACATTTACAAAATCATGTCTAATCCATATTACCGTGTAATTTATGAAGGAAATATTTAATTTATTATTTAATTCTTTAATTTCAACTTAGTTACCATATAGCTCGATCAGTGGATGGAATGTTGATATTGGTTGAAAATCCTCGGGATACAGCTGAAAATTAAATTATAGAAAGTTCAAAACTGGTAGTTGCAGGTTGTACATAGTGCAATATATGCTGTTTCATGTATAGACAACAAGTATCAATTTAATCGTACTCAACCTGTTCATTATAAAGTTATTTACTCTATACAAAAGAAGGGGGGCGATCGTAATTCCATACAAGTTTCCCAACAAGCAATTGTAATTGTTCCAAAATACTAAGTTATACCGTTAAATAGAATGTTTCAGACATGCCAAACTTCAACTGGAGCAAAAAAATAAATCACATTTGTTACAAAAGTAATTCATACAATTTGTTTTTATATTTCAAATATATATTAATACCCACTTTTTCATATGATTGTCGCTGGCAAACTTCAATGCCAACGGAGTATTATCCTGTAAAAAGCAAACAATTATAGAGGAATAGAAGTGTTACAATTTAACATTAAATGTAACAAACAAAAGCTTCTTGGCATTCTAACTATTAGAGTCAAACATAAATTTCTTACAGAAACATGTTGCTAAATATCATTATTGAAAAAGCAATTTTATGTTGCTAAATACCATTATTGAAAAAGCAATAACGAAGCCTGTGACAAATTTTTATACCCTGATATACTGATTATAATTTAAAACACCAGATCAAAATATCAGTATATATGCATATACTTGTCATTATATGCACAAATGCGTATGAAAATGTAATATACAAAAAGGAGAGAAAAAGGAAAGGAAATATGTATATATATGTATACATATTGCGTTTGTATACACATATGGGTATATTCGTATGTATATATGTATATATATATATTACAAATACTAATAACGCAACTTTTGTTCCATCGCTTCAGCAATAGATAAAGGCATACTCCTCGATGCACCTGGAAATATTGATATATCCACTACTGTATATATAACAATTTCTTACATTAAACTGGATAATCATAGAAACAAACTACAATAGTACATTATTTTTATCAGTTTGCTATAATCCACTAATCGAAAAATATTTTTAAATTTTTTAGTTAAGTCTTTAAAAACATTACTAAGGAGACTTACAATAGTTACGATCAATTCCCCCTTCAGTTTGATCCCGAGTTCTTACTATTTAAATGACAAATAGAACAAAATTCTAAAGATACTTTATCTGAATTAACATGAAGACAGATTCCGGCGTTATCTAAAGTTTGAGATATTTCCTCTGCCGTAAAAGGGTTGGACATGTCATATAAACTATCAACTGTATTCATCATGTAGTCACATTTTGGAAGATCTTCAAATATATCCATATTGAAAGAAGACAACTGATCAAAATCAATACCAACGGCGTCAGCATCTTTTTTCTCAGCATTGGGCAAATCTGCTTGGTCAATTGGTAATAATTTGTCCAATTCCTCTGTATTATCCATGTAGTTGTCTTCAGATATTAAACTGGTAGGTAAAGCTTCTTTACTCTGAGAATTGTTCTTAACAACGATTACTGGACTTTTGGAAACTGTATAAGTATGATCTGAATCTAAAAACGACGAAGAGACTTCACCAATGCCTAGTGAATTCTTGCAGGCAAATTGCCTCTGAGGGTTGATGTAAGATTCATTGTTTAGATCCTTGGTTGTGCTATGTCCTGTCAACAAATCATTATTGACGTTTGTAATGAATATATTGGTGTTTTGTGAATTCAATACATTCTCCTTCACATTTGTATAACACGTGCATTTGCGTTGAGCATCCGATGCATTCGTATGTTCGGAGTCGCGATTCATATAAGACAAATTCCTTTTCTGCGTGGCAATCTTTTGAAGACCATTGTTGATAGTTTTCAACAATGTGGTAATGCTTGTGCTGTTGTTTAGTACGCTCTTTAAATACGCAACTTCGCCACTTAATCGTTTGATATCTATAGTCTGCTTTTTCATAATGTTTATCAATTTTTTGTTCTCCTGTTGATAGAACGACAGTTTGTTTTCTATTTTTTCTAAATATGCCTTTTTTCTAAGCCGATTCTCTCGAGCCATCAAAGCATTCCTGTTGAGACAAGGCCTCTTTGAGGGACTCCGACCTTGTTTCCGTGTTCCCATTTCGTTCTCTGTATCAGCAGGCTGGTGGCTGTTCCTTAATGATTCTCGCAATTTCATTTTGCACTTCGACTCGTACACATCGTTTTCCTCCGATGAATTTTCCCACTTGAGGTTACTTCCTCGTACTTTGCTTGACATTTTTTTTACAGATATCGATTTTACGACAGTAGTTGTGACGAAGCCAGCAGAATTTATCGCGGTGTCAAAATTTCAATGTACCAAACAATATCGCAATACCAAAATAAAGCAAGCAATCTCCGTATCTACGCGTCAGAGAATACGTAATATGTATTTTCCGCACGGTTGAAATTATTCCGATGTAAATGCGTTGAGATAGTGAAGGATCTCAGATCTTCAAATGGGAACTTACTTCTAAATTTTCATCGTGTAGGAACCGGAGTGGGTAAGGTAGGATTCAGTCGAAGGTTCTGATACAAAAATATATGAGTAATCTTTTTATAGTCTATATATATATATAGTCTTTGGTTAATTTTACAAATGTGCACTTACAAATTTTCAGTACGGGGTGTTTCTTACCAGCGGTAGTAGCGGTAGTAGTAGTAGTAGTAGTAGTGAAAGTAGTAGGCCTTTTCCCTCTTCGCAACCAGTTTTATTATCGTTGATTTGCGAAGAGGGGGAAAACTCTTTTCCCGCGTTTTTCCGGTTTTCCCGGGTTTTTTATTTTTTCCAAAAAAGATGTTGCTGCATGTTTTATTGGAAACTCACCTTGCGACGGAAAGTTTCAGCGGATGTAGGTGGCGCTGTTTCAAATTGTGGAGGTAACGGTTGCTACAGTCGCGTTTACAGTGGCGCCATCAAATTAGTATCATTTATCTTTACGATTACATAATTGAAAATTTACAATAATATGTACAGCTTGTTTATTTGATTTATTTTTTTTCTGAAGGTTTCAAAAGCAACACTTCTCACATAATGATACTACTTTAACAAATTATTTTGATAAAGTTGAAAATAACCGTGAAACTGCTGGAAATATTTTATTATGTACAAATATATAACATATATATATGGATATATACGTAGTTACAGCTATAGAATGTAGTCTTATAGTGTATAGTCTATGGCGAAATTTTGTCTAGTTAAAGGAAGTCTACAACAGGAGTCTACAATGCAGTAGCCAGAAAGACCGGTCTCCGTTTGAAAATGTAATTTAGAAAGTTTTGGAAATATAACGCTTTTGAAAAATATCAGAATGACGTCGTTTTTCGGAAAGAGAATCATCCTGTCACGAAATAGTCTTTTGACAATTCCAAGACGTAATGGTTATTTGATTCTGTATGTATATTGTGCAGTTACTTAAAGCAAAAATTACACAATTTTATTCATGTTTAATAAATACTTGTGCAAATATTCTGTGGAATTTTGTTCGAACAATTCCAGCAAACAAAGGTAACACAATGACAATTCTTTATTATGTTTCAATTTAGTGTTCCAGAAATTGGAGAAGATTTACCAGGAAAATATCCTTTGTTAAAAGAAGACAAAAACCCAGAATTTACAAATGTTACGATAGAAAAATGTGTCGCTGTTATTGGGAGGCAAGCGTTGGAGTTTGAGGAAACAGTTAATACCGTAGGGAAACAAATAGAAAGTAATTTGTTTATCTCACTTGCATTATATCTCAATTACATTTATTGAAACAATTATATTTGATGAAATTGATTTGCAGATGATGATATCTCTCCAGAAAATCTATTTAAGAATGTATTAACTCCTATAGAGGAAGTGTATACCTCCTTGAATATTACATGGGGCATTGCAAAGACATTGTATTTAGGAAATCAAAGTTTAATGCCTACGCAATATTACATGAGTATTAACGAACGTGCTAAAAGAGCCATAGCTTTTAAGTATATCAATACATCGATATATCAGGCATGTAAAAATGTCATGGATAAGAACAAAAATGAATTAAACGACGAACAAAAAAGAATTTTAACAAAATACATATTAGAAGGAAAATTAAATGGATTAGAATTATATGATAAGAAGAAGCAACAACTTCCAGCATTGAGGATATGGTTGGCCGAAAAGTTAAAAAAATATTCGCAAAAAGTGGAGGTTTGTAAATACATATAAGTTAAAGGAGTATTAATACTGCTTATTTTCTTTTATAGACAGCCATAAATCACCTTACTTTTACCATAAGAGATCCTGTCACTGTAAAAGATTTTCCTGAAGATTTATTAAAATACATAGCAGTGGATCCTACGCAGTTTCATAATGGACCTTGGATAGTAACTTTAACTCCTGATATCCTAGAACCATTTATGGGTATAAATTTATTTTTAAAGTCGTAATCAATCTTCTTAATTATTATGGATTAATTCTACCGTGTATTGATTAGAGCATTGTTCCGATCGTGCTTTAAGATGGAAAGTTTGGGATGCAAGTGTTACCAAAGCATCATTATTACAAGATAGATCGGTACAAGCAAGCACAACATTAGAAGAAATTAGACAAAAAAGAAATCAAGAAGGTCAAATATTGGGATACAAATCATTTTCTGATTTAAGTATGGAAACTAAAATGGCAGGCAGTGTGGAACATATTTATCACGTATTCGATACTTTGTTAGCTACAGGTGAAATTTTTATATTTTTATATAGCTGCAGTTGTATCAATTGATACTCAATACATCATAATTTGCTTTGTTTGTAAAAGCCCGTCCTGCACAAAAATATGAAATTGATGAACTTCAAGCATTTGCAAGCGAAAGAGGTATGGAAGGTGCTCTTCAGCCTTGGGATATAGCATACTGGGGTAGAAAACAACTACGTTCTGTATACATGTAATTACAAAATGAAATTTTAAAACTTTCTAGTAAAAAAATATAAATATATATGTCACATAGTAATATCATTTACAGGTACAAGGAAGAGGAATTAAATAATTATTTTCTTTTACCGAAAGTATTATGTGGCTTATTTGAGTTAATTGAAACGCTATTTGATGTAAAGATTGTAGAAGGCAAAAAACTAGATCTCTGGCACAAGGATGTTCAATATTTTGATGTGTTTGATTTAAAACAATCAAACACTGATCCAATAGGTAGCTTTTACTTCGATCCATATGCGAGAGGAAATGAGAAAGCTAGAGCACCACAGACTTGGGGATATGCAGTGGAAATACAAAATAGGAGTAAAGTATGTGGTTTAAAACCATTAGTTGCATTAATATTCAGTTTCCAACCACCCAATGGCGAACAACCTGCCTTGCTTTCATTCAAAGATCTTCAGATGCTATTTCGACAGGTAAATTTCATGCACTCGAAAATAATATTTGAGATTACATATTTTGACAATTATACACAACATAAATCGTCAATTTCGATGATTTTGGATATAATTTTTAGCAATAACTCTCACCCTAGTTTCTAAGATATTCATAAAAATCTTTTATTATTTTTTACTTTGGTGTGGATAAGATTTAGATGAGTTTCATCATTATATATACTTTAGTAAACTAAATTCAAATTGAAAATCAAACTAAACTATATTTAGAAAAAGGAAATTCCATGAAAATCATCAATAAAAAGTTCATTTTAATTCAAACCAAAAAAAATCAGCTCTTTTTTTTTTAAAAAGTATTGCTACTGGTTTGTAAGATTCAAGCAAGTTGAGTTTCTGTGTTATTTTTCTATACATATTTGTAATGTGTAAATTGGAACGTGAGATGCATAAACATATAATATAGTTATTTTCGTACATGAAATCAATCCACAGTGATGTGAAAAGTGTTAAAAAAATTTTGCGAGTATATAAGGCTGAGCAGTAGTTATATGTATAAAAAAATGTTGCTCAGAATCATGTCTCTGATTATTGAAGTCGATAAGGGACAATACTATTTTTGAAAATAGTATATAATACAATACTATTTTTGAAAATAGTATATAATACAATACTATTTTTGAAAATAGTATATAATACAATAATATTTTTGAAAATATGTATCTTCTTTAAATATTATTTTTTTATCATTTAGTTTGGACATGCGTTACACTATTTATTAACAAAGGTAGATTACGCAGATATTACTGGATTTGCATGTGTGGAATGGGATGCACTATTTATTTCCGATTATCTGTTTGAAAATTGGTAATACTTCAAATTTTTATATTTTATGTTTACATACACCTGCCTATACATACACACATACATATATTATGTTTTATTAGGTTATATGAACCATCATTTGTGCAAAAAATTTCATGTCATCAAGTTACAGAAGAACCATTACCTCTAGATATAATTACAAATATAAGGAATTCAAAAACGCATTTAGCTGGTTATAATTTATGCAAAGAAATGTATTTGTCACAGTTTGATTTAGAATTATATTCCGGGTAAGACTGAATGTTGTAAATATACATATATAAATAATATTTACACAATGTATGTCGTAATATATTTCATAATTTCCTTTAAAATTCATAGCAAAGAGTTTTGGAATAATATAATGCTTCGCTTATGGAAAAAATACTTTGTAATTCCTGCGTATAAAAGAGACAGTCATATTTGTTCTTTTGATGCTATCTTTAGTGGACAATGGGCAGCTGCTTATTACAGGTAACATTCTATAAATGTTGGAATATATATGTTTCACTAAAATATTAAAACAATATAATTTTAATTTTAGCCATCTATGGTCAAAAATGATTGCTGCTGACTTGTACAGCGTTTTCCAAGGCATTTCTAATAAGAATAAAGAATCGTTGAAGGAAGTCGGTAGAAGATATCGCGAATCATTTATATCTTTTGGTGGTATTTATTCTGCAAATGAAAATTTCAGAAAGTTCACTGGAAGAGATCCTAATCCAAACGCACTTTTGAAAGACCTTGGATTAGACACAAAATGTAGTATGTTGAAGTGTACTAAACCCGAAGTTTAACAAATCTTAACTTCAAAAAAAATGATATGTAATTTGTATAAAGATGAATAATAAAAAAAATTTTATTTCCTATTAAAAGTTGTTTTCATTACAATACTATACAGCTTTAACGGTACAAAATGCGAGGTTTTAATCATGAATTAAAATATTTATTTTAATTTATTTTATGTTCCTGTTGATAATTACAATATATTTTATATAATATATAAAACAAAATACTGACTTAATATTAATAAATAATGAAAAAAGCATAAAATACATTAACTTGTAAGAATGAAATTTTTACACATATATACAGAATTAATTTACATTAAAAAAAAAAAAAATCTGTCCTTTTTTATACAGTAGTTACTACAGAGCTAAGGCAACTGTGATAATACAAATAAAAAGAAAAATTATTACTATCCAGTAACAACATACATTATTTTTCGAATCAATTATTATTATTCGCTGTGTTTTATTAACTATCGATTTGTTTGTTGTATCCATGTGATCAGCTAGATTGCTGATTATTTCTATAAAAATAGAAAATCTTAAATTAAAACATGAATCTTACATCTATAAATTAATAAAGAATAAATAATGTTAAGTTTAATTTACCATTTTGGTGATCTACTTCGTCGCTAATGGTCTGACCAATTTGTTTTTGCTTTGCAATAACTTTACCTAATTCTTCTAAACCTTTATTTTGCTCTACAAGAAAAAAGAAACAAAATAGTGGAAATAACATATAAAATCGGCAATGAGCATATTGTACCTTGTAGAATCTTATCTTGGTGAGTCACAAGATCAGTAACAGTTACTTGTGTATCTACGGGCTTATCGTCGTCGTCGTCGGCTGCCCAAGAGGTAGTGCCTCCATCCGCGAAAGCTGATGTTCCTGTTGTAAGTAAACTTGCACGGGAAGATGCATAGCTATTTGTACGTGCATCGTATAACTTTTGTAATTGTACATCTTTGCTCTCCAGTATTTCAATTTGACGTATCCTTCGTTCTGCCTCTTCAACAGTTCTGCATATTTTTACATTCTAAGGAAAAAATTTATTTCTATACTCTAGACAAATGGTTCTTTACAGAGCGAACGAGCAAAAGGATACATAGCTTTAGATTTTAAAGCATCATCTACTTTGTTCTTGAGTTGTTGAACTTCACGACTATACTGTTTCAAATGAATACGTATATTTGCAGATATACTCGCGTACGCTTGCAGAGTTTTGGAATGTTTATTCCGCGCTGTAAATTGTTCCATAATTTCTCTGAAAAGCTTCTCACAGGCTTCATATTCTGCTAACCTGTGGAGTTTAAACAAACAAAATGACTCAGGAACGACTCCCAATTCAAAAGTAAACAGAGAACCAAGATCAACTAATAATTCTTACCAGGGATCGTTGTCCTCGATGTAAATGAGTGCCATTTTTGTGGACTTTGTGAAGAAACCTAAAAATATTATTTGACATGTAACATTCGCATAAATCTCTTGTATGTTTATCATCAAACTGGACGTGTAATTTTCTAGGCCAGTTGTCGATAATGCAACACCAAAAGGGAAATGAACGAACCTTTGTATTTGAACTGTTCAGCTGTTCAACGTCTAAATAAACTGAAACACATTAATAGAAAAAATAGTCATGTTTTGGAGAAGTACAACAACACTTACCCACTCGAATGATTTAGCGCTAGGAAGATAGCGACGGATAGGAAGAACGTGGATGGGGCGCATGCGTTCACGACGATAATTAAAGAAAGTGGTGGTGACTGATGGAAGGGAATTGGGGGGGGGGGGGGATTTAGTACGAAGGAGAAGGGAAAAAGAGATCGTTTGTAATAGTGGAAGAAGGAGGAGCAAAGGGAGCATCGGCGAGTGGAAAAAAGAAGGGACATATGGCATAGTGGTTAGTGTGTGGCAAGACCAGTTATATTTTTATTATCAACTGGTATATTTCGCGAAGGCTGTCGGACGGAGTGTGTGTTTAATGTCGAAGAGGAAACGAGAAGAAACGCGAGGAAATGTCGGATAAAAGTGAAACTCGGTGATCCAAACTGTAGAAATAGCAGAGCGCGAACGGAAGGGAAATTTGGTTCGAGGTTTTGTGGTGTATTCACGTTTGCCTATTGAAAGGTCACGATCATCAGCGACCACTGCTGCGTCGGTGGATGATTAATTGAAAGTGGGAAACCTTCGCCGAGAAGCTTGGTCGCTATATGATAGGTCGACACGTACGAAAAAGGAGAACACGTACGACGAGAGATAACCCGAAGGTTTCGCATCGCATACTACAATCACTTGACAAAAGATCTACGAATGGAGCACGGGTGCGTCTACGAGATGAAATTTTGCGCACGAATGGAGTACCGTTGTTATTGTTGTGCATATTGATTTTCAACGCGCGATTCGTATTCCCGACCGATTTATTTTCCATTGCAAAAAGTGTGATTTCTGTTAATTTTTTTTTTTTTTATTACTTGCGACTATGACGAATGCTCATTGTATCTGTAATTATATTTTATCTTTTGCAATTACACTAGATTATTATTATTATTATTATTACTACTATTCGAAACATCAATTTTTCTCAGATTAAAATATGAGTAGTACGGTGACAACTATATCTTTCGACGACATGCCATCTACAGCTGTCAATGAAATTTCCGATTCCAAAGCAGCTCCAATATTCTTGCAAACACGAGCAGCTCAAGGTATTGCCGGTGCATTTGTTTGGGTTGCACTGTTTTTAACATGTCAACAGGTACTTTACAACATGTTTTTATAACGTGTGCTTTTGACCATACATTGGCTAAGAAAATAGAAATTAATTTGATTCGATTTTTGTTTTGTAGATCTACCAGCACTTAAGGTGGTACACTAATCCAGCGGAACAAAGATGGATAGTGAGAATTCTCTTCATAGTTCCGATATATGCAACATATTCTTGGGTGTCCCTACTATTTTTTAACAGCGAAAGTTATTACGTTTACTTTTTTACTGTGCGAGATTGTTACGAAGCATTTGTTATATATAACTTTTTGTCTCTATGCTACGAGTACCTGGGTGGTGAAGGAAATATTATGTCTGAAATACGTGGCAAACCTATTCGTTCTAATTGTTTATATGGGACATGCTGCCTGGTTGGGAAAACATATACAATCGGTTTTCTTAGATTTTGCAAACAAGCCACTTTGCAATTTTGCTTGGTGAAACCAGTGATGGCGTTTGTCATTATATTCCTTCAAGCGTTTGGTCATTATAGAGACGGTGATTGGTCTCCGGATGGAGGCTATATTTATATAACTATAATTTATAACATCAGCGTATCTCTTGCACTATATGGACTTTTTCTCTTTTATTTTGCTACAAGAGACCTGCTGACACCATTTGAACCTGTCTTGAAATTTTGTACTGTTAAAAGTGTTATTTTCCTTTCATTTTGGCAAGGTAATGTACAAACTATCCAAGATACTATGTGATACGCATAAAGAATATTAAAATTTTATTTTATTATTTTTCAGGAGTGTTATTGGCTATTCTTGAGAAAGCAAATGTAATTTCTCCTATAAGCTTAGATCAGACAACTAGTGCAGGCACAGTTTCTGCTGGTTATCAGAATTTTTTGATTTGCATCGAAATGTTATTTGCTGCTATAGCTTTACGTTATGCATTTCCTTACCAAGTGTATTCAGCTGGTTGTGTTACGGATTCAAGAGGAAGAAGTGTAACGATGCAAAGTATTAGTAGCAGTTTAAAGGTATGTTATAAGAATTTCTAAATGATCTGATAAATGAAAAAGAAACAGGATAATGTTTGAATATTTATATTTAGGAAACAATGAATCCAAAAGATATAATGACTGATGCCATTCACAATTTTCATCCACAGTATCAACAATATACCCAATATAGTTCTGGTATGTATATACAATTTATTCTTATTTTTTTATAAATATTGTATTTTAAATTCTTTCTATTATTTCATTTGACTGATACATTTTCATATAGCATGATGTAGAGGACGATGAACTAAAAATCATTCATATGTTTTATTGTTCGTTTATATTTATTACTTAAATTTTTTCATGTGCAAAGTATATAAAAGATAAGAGTTACAATCATTAAAAAAAATTTTCATTGAAATCTAAAATAAATATAACTTTTATGTTGCTTTAATTATGGAGCTTAGCTCTACGTCATAAAGGTTATTTTAATATATGTACATTTCTTGATATACTGCCAATTACCAGGAAAGAGTAAAATATAAATTTACTTACATATATTTATCTTTTGCGACAACAAAAACATGAAATAGTTTCTCAAAATGTGAAAGATAATTTTTATTATAAATTCATTTAATACGTGCCAATTAGGATTATATTCTTTGAAGGCACTTTCTTCTTACTATTTTTCAGACGTTAATACCAACTTGCCGTATGAAAAACTATGAGAATGCAAGGCGTCGTTTTTTAATTTCAAGAAATTGGACATGAGGCATTCATACATTTTTTAAAAGAGTTGGAAAGATTTCTTAATACTGTAGTTTATTAAAGTTAATATTACAAATTTATTTGATATTTTAAGTTTGAATTAAGTTCGAGGGTGGGCATAGTGTTCTCTGCTCAAATTATGACTTAAGGTTTATATTACCAACCAACCAACACACACGCGCGCGCGCGCGCGCGCACGCATACACATATACACGCAGCGAGAAAAGAGAGAAAGAGCATACGATTTAACTTTGCAATTTATAAAATCTACTGTACAATAGAAACTAAGCACTTAACACAAGAGCACTTAGAGTACAGTGTAATTTCATAAAAAAGTTTTGCTTTCTAATAAATGCAAAAGACAAATAATAATTGAGTACTATTTTATGGCAGTATTGTAATTATGTATTATTTTTTTAGATAGGCTAACGATTATTAAACTACATGGTATTTTTTTTCCATAATGCTTTTATATTCTAAAAGATGGCATGGTTTATATTTAATTTAGCATGCTAATATAGCTGTTATTTTCATATATTTTTCTCCTACATATATATGTATGTTTGGTAACATCAAATTGAAACAACAAATTTAAATCTTTATTGTTATAACATGCATGAATTATTTAATGAACGTATATGTATAGTGAGATTGATTGAATAAAGAAAAGTGCTGTAAATTATGCTATGTGTAAAAACATTTCATCAAATCGCGTATACAATTGTACATAGCCTGTACAATCGATATAGCCAATAATGCTTTGAATAAAAAAGAAAAAAATTATCGGCATGATTTCTCGCTGTTCACTGGCTGATCGATGTATTCATTAATAACGGATTTATCAGCGATAATACGTGATGTAATGTAACAATCAGGAGCTCCTAAAGGACAACGTGGTATGCGGATATCCAGCTTCGATCCAGATGATCCACAGAATATGCCAATACCGCCGCCTCAAAGACGGCACACTTCTCATCAACGTGTTGCTACAATCTCTCAGAATTATAATGAGAAGACGATGCTGTTGAGCAGTGACGATGAGTTCCAGTAAATGTAAACGAAAGATTGTATACAAAAGAAGCAGAAAGAAAGAGACAAAAAAAACATTAATGTTGGACTTCCGTGAATCTAATTTCAAGAAAACGCTATGTATACCATTAATTGATTATACGTCATTTTAGGTAGGAACTTAACTCGCTCACAGAACAAACAACAAATAAACAAACAAATTTGATTATGCAGAACTGTGCATCGTAATATAATAGTTCCATGTTACATTCATGTTAATACATGTATTATGTTACATCATGTAAACATATAGCATAGAAGATATTTATTTTAATATGCTGAACATGTTTAAAAACAGTGTTACCTATAGAGGTGGCTCTACTATAATAACATAATTATCTTCATTTTGAAACACAACTTACGTTTTTCAAGGAAAGGCATTGTACAGTACTTAATATTCAAATACTCACAAATATGTTGCTGAATTATTTACTCTGTAGTTAAACAATATTTTTACACTTTGAACAAACACTATGTATATGTTTATACATCAGTATTTCTAATTCATATGAGATTAACGTAATTTTGCCAGGGAAAAATACTTATTTTATAAAGCACACTAAGAAAAATACTTCTAATTACTGCACGCGTCCGGGATATTTATATATATAAACTGAGCCACAAAAATCTTTGCGTCCTAGATTAAAAAATTAATGAGTGTATATATCGTTAAAAATAGAATGTATTTAATAATTTAAGAATTAAAGAATTTTCCTTCGATGTATTTTGTTTTATTTGCACATAATTATTTGCTAATTATAGTTAATATTTTACGTTACTAATTTTATATGTATAAATATTTCATATATTTAATATCTTTAATATCGTATTTTCTTGTGTGTTTAAAAAAATGAAAACAAATATTAATTTAAATCTTAATTGAATTTTATTTTCTATATAGTAGAATAAATTGTGTACATAAATTTTTATATGGAGAGAATATACTCCATAAAATAACAAAAGAGTTAACTTGTTAAAATAAATTCATCGTTTTACACAATTAGTATTGTTTATATTTAAGTTTTAATTTTTACTACTAATCGATTGGTCAAAAACATTGTGAAAATAATTAGCCTAATTGAAATATACATTAGTCGAACAAAAGATTCAATCTAACTGCTCTACAAAAAGTATACTGCATAAATTGTATTAATATACTCAAATATTACAACTATCAGTGAAAAAATAACTTAGCATTTTTTTTAACAGCCTTATTTTTACAGAAACTCTGTATATACACACACGCGCGAGCGCGTGAATATAGTAGTACAATATTCACTGCAATCCATTTACCAGCCTACCCAATACGTATCTTTATTTGTCACAATCTTTTTCCACCCATGCCAGGGTGATTCTAAATCTTGTTCTAGTAATGAAGTACATGACTCTTTTTCTAAAATCATGTCACTTGATCGTTCTATATGTACTTCTGTATCCGAAGTTTTATCGCTGATAGACAAAGAATTTTTATCCTCATCCTCAATATCTTGATATTGTAATTCATCATCCATGTAAACAACAATATTATTTTCTTCGTTTGTGTATTTATTGTATTTTTCAGTAACATTTTGTTTCAGCACTTTGTTTCTTTTGTCTTGACTGTTAATATCTTCGTCATTATTACTAAAATTAATTGGTTTAAATCCTATTGACCTTAGACGAGCAATTTTTAAGTCATTATCCGGGATGTTGACAGGTACAAATGCAGATGCTCTTTCAGGTAAAAATTTATTTTGTTTCTTTGCAAGTAAAATACTACTATTTAATGATACATTTGAATCCGTTGAATGCTGCAGATTAGATATAGCATTTGCACAAGATACATATTTTTCGGCAGATGAGTGTTGACCTTTATTTCTATCATCTAATTTTGTAGTTTCGTATATTTCAGATTTCATATCTTTAAAATCACCGCCATATTCTATTTTAATAAATGTGTATTGTTCATTGCGGACATTATTTTGCACGAAATCATTTGATTTCGGATTTTTTGCAACAGGTTCTTCAAGGAGAGAACATTGAGTGATAGCATCTGTTTTACATGGTTTCGACGTTTGTTTTTCGCTGCTCTTTTGCAACTTCGCATTAATTTTATTACATTTTGGGTCATTGCAAACTGTTTTCAGTTTTCTTTTCCGATTTTTTATAATTACTGCATCTTCATTTTTTATAATTTTCACACTTTTCTCTATAAACTTTGTTCTTTTATTATTGTCTTCTTTCTTATGATTATCATTGTCATCATCTTTTACATTATTATTGTTATTGTTATTAACAGTCTGTTTTGTAACATAATTTTTATCTACTTTTTTAGAAGTAGTGAGATTTCTGCCGATTTTACTACAATTAAAATTTAACGTTTCTGACCTTTTAATATTTCTAGTTTGATTATTTTTAACGCGTTTACAATGCGTTATTTTTGTAAGTTTATTTCTGTTTTGGAAAGTAGATTGCTTTGTATTTTTACATTTATTCAATGTGTACATTGCAGTATTAAAACGTTCATATAATTGTTTTGTACATTCATTATTCATACATCGTAATCTTCTATATCGTGGCCCACGTATTTTAGGTCCAATTTTCGCATCTATTAATAAATTTGCAATTTCTCTTCTTTGTTTTTTATTTATATGTTTCTTTATCGAGGAATCAATTGTTCTCACAGCTTGTAAATGCATTCTTGCTTTAATTGTACTTGCTGAATTCTTTTTGATATATCTTGCCGAATCTGATAAATGATTTGATTCCATTTTTTGTACATGATTTTGCTTTGTATTTTTATTTTTTAAATTTTCGCAAATGCTTGTTTCCCGTCTACTTTTTCGAGGATATTCTAAAATATCTAAAGACTGTACAGATCCATTTTTAAACTTTTCAGTATGTATTTTATTATATTTTAGCATCTCTGATTTATTCATTGTTTTTCTAGACAACTTTCTACGCCTTCTAAATTTGTAGCATCTTGATCCATTTAAATCATCCGAAATAACTTCAAATTTAGTTTTTTCCTTCGTTTCTTGTGTATCACCTGTCTGAGTCACTATTTTATCTTTAATTTTTGACTCGTCTTCGGTCTGTAATGCTGTAGATTGTTCTGACGTTAGTCCTATCATATTACCCATTAATAATTTTGATAAAGGGTCGTTTTTATTGTTAATCAAATGAAGAATTTTATCCGGTGTCAATGAATCTAAAGAATCAAGCGATTTGATTTCCTGTAATTCTTTGGATACTACTTTATGTGCTGAAACTTCATTTTTATACATACAGTTTGTCATGTTTAACATATTATTTGTTGTATCAGATAAATTCACACTACTGTTACATACGTCTTTGGAATCATTAGTTATTTCTTTATATGTACAAGAATTTAAACTTGTATCAGTTACATCAATGTTCATTTCCGCATTGGTATCTTTAGGAAATTTCATTTTCATTGATTCTGATTTTACCACATTAAAGGAAACACAATTAATGTGCTTAGAAAATTCATTTGAAATGTTTGTTTGAATTTTTCGATCTAAATTTTTATTTTTATCTTTATTGGATAAATTCCGGTTCTCTGTATGTTGATTAGTTTTCATAATATTAAAAGATTTAGTAGCTCTACAAAATGGTGATGAAGTACTTTTCTTACTATTGTTTTGGGTATTATGGGATGAATTGTATAATCCTGTACGTATAGAAATATTTGTATTATGAGTTTTAGATTCTTTGTTTCCAATACTAGTTAATGATCTATTTTCTGGCATAATAGGCATATTTTGTATACTTGATATATACTCTGCATTAGTATTTAATTTTTTAAATACATGACGAGTCACTATTGCACTTCCGGTTGAACTTTTCTTTGTTTCATCTACTTTTTTATTTTCAACATTTTGAGTATGTGAAAATCCACTTGAGTTATCATATTTCTCTTTTTGAATTACAAATTCAGAACTATGTGAATATTTTTTAAATTCATACACGTTTGGAGCAGAGTTTTTTAAATGATTCTGCAAAGGTGTAGAAGAATGTAAAGTAGATATATGATTACTTGTACTTAAAGGAGCTGGCTTGGTACTCCATGACGGTGGTTCTTGATCGTTTATACGTAACAAAGCAAATTTATAATATTCTATTGAATCTGTATTTACACCTATCCAGAAATTTGTTACAATGTACAAACCATCATATCTATAACCCGTTTTTGGTGCAAATTCATTAAACAGATTATAACTTCTAATTAATCTCACTGGTATTTGATTTTCATAATTTTTAATAAGAGGATCCTTTTCCGACGCATCAATGGAAAACTTTTGTCCTGTAACAGTGAGAGAATTACCCAAATCTACATCCTCGTTTAAGTTAACATTTGAAGTACAAATTGAAGTAACTCCAAATGGCCCATTTTGAATATTTTCATCGAAAGGGTCATGAACGCGATCTCTCGAACAATCCATACGGATACCCCACCACGAACCAGATGGAAATTCTGAGATGGGGCCGTATATATAACTTATAACCTGATGTGAAATATTATAAAATAAACATGTATAATATATTGTAATCATATCATAAAAGATAATGCCATTTGGAACTTACATTTTTTTTACACCAAGAATTTAACTGTGCACCTTCTTTGATTCTCTTTGTTTGGCAAACATAATTAAGTTTAATAAATAACTTTTCGTAATCTTTCTTACGTTTGACATCTACCTGAAAAATTTTTACCAGTTAATAATATTATTGTTTATATCAGTTTGCACATGTGATACTTACTTGATATTTGAGGCACGATTCCTGGAGCATTCTTTCATTTTCTTGAACAGAATTTGCAACGGTGGTCTGTAAAGCATAATTTTCAGCCATTTTATAACATACAATGATTAAAAATATATATATAGTACAAGTATAAACAGTCAATCACAAACTATTCTTTCACTTATGTATATACAATCAAAATCTTACAGTTATGTCAATTTTCTCCATTTGCAATATCAGTATATCTCAGATCTCGTAGCTTTATGTAAAGTATACATTTTATCCTTTAAAGTTCGAATTAATGCGTATCCCAATTTATTTTCTAACCAACATTCTTGCTCCGTTTCGTGAATTGAGCATAAAACAAATCCTTTAAAAACAAATATGGCGTACTTTTATTTTCTTCGTAGGCCTAGAGTCATTCATTGATTCATTTATTGCGTCGTACAAACGAAGTAAATATGTTCTCTTAGCAGTCGATATTTATCACTCTTTTTCTTTATAACAGTTATATATATCTAGATTACAAACAATACGAGCGTAATATAAATATTATAAACTAAATAACTTTGAAATGTGATTTGCTCGCATACATATTATATATATATATATGGTATATTCACATGAATACTTGAAGGGAAAACGTCAAGAGAAAAATTCTCCTATAAATTATATAATATATATATATATATATATAGGTTTTACAGACACTCATTGATTGTTATCTACCATTTCTAATCTAATTCAAATGTACAACAGACATAATATATTACAATAGAGTAATATTATATGTACAATATTAAATAAATATATTTATTTATGTTCGTACATGTGTATATACATATGAGTCGCACAGAAATCTATTTTACCGACATAGAAGAATGAAGAAATGTTAAAAAAGTATTTTAACTTTTAAGTCGTCAACAATCGTAACTTTATTTCTATTGAAACTTAAATTATTTTTTTTTTCCTATTCTATAAAATTTATTTCCAGAATTTCAGCCAATTCGGAGCCTGGGCATTTTCAGAAGTGCAACCGAAATATATCTCTTTAATGTTCATAAAAAATCTTTATTTTCTTATAAAGTATATTAACATTAAAAATTTTTGTACAAAGTTGAGTGTTTTAAGTGAATATTCCCAATCTTATTGAAAAGAGTGCTCCTCTTCTGGACTCAATGAACATTCAACATTTTGTTGGGCAACAAAAACGTTCTGCGCTTTTGCTGCTATATTTCCCTATCGCAAATAATTTTCACAATTAATGATTAAATTGATCATATTTCAATAGTACTGATCTCAATGTTGTACCTGAGTTACTGTAGTTGTACTGTGAGTACCACTGGACATACAAACAACTACCAATTTCGGCGCATTGCTTTGTATGTGTGTTTTTTGCTGAGTGACATTGGTTTGAGCTATTTTAACTTGTTGTTGCGACTGTTGTTGCTGCTGTTGCTGAGGCTGTTGTTGTATTGCGTTAGTATTAATGTTTGTAGCGGTTGGTGTTTGAGAACGAGATTGCAAGATAACGAATTTTTGTCCTCCAGCTGCAGTAGTTCCACCAGAGGCTCTACTTGTACCAAGCATAATTGTACGTCCAGTTTGTTGTCCAGGACTAGAGCTAGTTACTTGAATAAAAAACAATTAGAGATAAATACATCTGAAGTAAACGAACTTGTCTAACTTTATAGTTTATAATTACCAGCTTGTACAATGGTTTTTCCAGTACAAGTAGGGCCTTGTTGACTTGTTGTTAAAGCCGTAGTTGTGGATGCAGTTGTTGCTAATGTTACTGGCTGTGTACGAGCTTTTACAACGGCTGCACATAATGCAGGACCTATATAACCATAATCTTGTTTATAATCTTCTACATAATCTGGGGGAGATCGTATGGTCTTTAAAACAGGAGCCACTGATTTCTGCAAATTTCATTACATATTTTTCTATTTATAGCATTAGTAAAAATATGTAAGAAACATATTAGTATAATTTAATGTGTACTAATGAGAAATGATATTCACCACAAGTAAAGTCTTTATATGACCTGCCCCATTTTTATCCACACTTGATAGACCTGGTCCTTCGATACATGATTCAATACGTTCGGAAATAGATTTAATTTTAGGAATAACTAATGCTTTAATTACTTCTGGACCTAATTCACAAAGTCCCTCGATTGCTCCATAAAGTGACGCCAGCGGAGTCTAAAAAGTTTAGTATTATTATTATTATTGTTGCCATTATCGTTATTATTTTTGTATTGTTTATTTGTTGATGTAATCTCGCAAATATACCTGACTATTTTTTGCCAAAGCCTGACTAAACATTCTAGTTACTCTAGTTTGTACATTATTGGTAGAGGTATTAAAATTTTTGCAAATTTGGGCCATAAGGCGTGATGCAAAATCACGAAGCGCCCAATGATTGTCCACTTCTGGTCTCATACACAACTGACGTGAAACTATACACGTTGCGATGGATGGTATTAATTCATGTAACTATAAAATAAACAATCAATCAGTATCAATGAGTATTAATGTGTGTATGTTCAAACACTTTCTCTTATATATTATTTAATACATACATATTTTTCTAAATAAAGGCTGGGATTGTCTAAAAGAGCTTTAACCATTCGCATTAGATAAATTAGAAGAGCAAGGTGGTTTTGTACTACATTAACACGTACACCTTCTGCAATAAAAGTACACATTCGTGCTAGCATTTCGTGTAAACCAGGATCAGCTGAAAGAGACTGTAATGCTTCTGCTCTGCGTGCTTCATCAGAACCTACACACGCTTCGGTAATTTCTTTGTAGTATAATTGCTGTTCAACGCTCAGTTCATGGGTGGCTAATTGTTTAACATGAACTGTTTCCACATTACGAAGTTTTTGACTTTTACCACCACCGCCTGGTTTACCAACACCAATGTTTTGACTCTTGTTTGTAAGTTTACTTGTTGGATCAACACTTTCCAGCTTTTGAACATCTAGTACATTATTGATTAATTAATGATAGGTATTACTATGAGTTAACGTAATAATCCAAAAAAGAAAGTATTCTTACCTTTAGAAACAGGAGGTGGGTTTTCTGGTATTGTAGGCTGAACCCCATCTATGCAAAGCCAATGAGCCCGTAGTGTAATTTCTAAAGGCAATTTAGGCCACGTTTGTCCACCAGACATCGATATAACCTCGTTGAGATCAATTTCCTTTTCTTCTACAAAATGTAATTCACGGCCACCGCCAGAGGCAAAGCGAAATGGTATATGATCCTTGGCAAAAAATCCATACGTGGGTTCAATATTTTTTATTTTCAAGGCATAATCTATATCATGCGTTGTCATTCGTTGACGTTTACCGTGTCTCATAAATTTCGCTGCATCCTTTTCAATATATGAAATTTCAATTACACAAGTTTAACTTATGGAACGTAATTTGACTGTCATAATTCAAAGATACCTACCTGTATGATTTCCTTCAGTCTGTAACTTACATCTTCCGCAAGATCTTTTGCAGCCTCATCCGGGAAATTTCCGACGCCTATACTTTCTGCAATTACCTTTATTGACTCTTGGGACAATGTAGTTCCATAAACAGACTCACTTTCATTCATCTTGAAAGTATCTTGATCATCATATTCCATATGAAACGCATTAAAAGTCGCTCCCTGAAAATGGTTGACAATGTAAACACTATTTGCTATAAACATTTCTAGTAAGTAACAACTTTTAATCAACTACACAATATAATGAATTGTTCTGTATTTTGAATTCAATCTCTCACGTCAATTATTAAAGAGTGCAATATTACTCACACAAGTTTACACTACAATAGTCTGATAATTTCCCATCTAACAAGTGGGTATTACTTTATCTCGATAATGCTGTTTTTATGGATTCCACGAGCTATTTATTTATTTGTACAATAGCACAGATATGAACAAATATTATACGGACTTCTATGTTTTGTTTGCGATTATAAAAAATCCTATCTGTATTTGTAATTATACAGTAAGGTCCAATGCACACAACACGACAAAAGTGCAGCTTCCACCGGCGAGAGGCGACTGCAATCTTGTGCTTCTTGCCGTCATGTGCGTTACCAGTCGCAAGAAAAAATGGCAGCCGTAGAAATTGAATGACAGTAATGGAGGAAAAATATTACTGTTAGACCGATGATTCAAATGCTGGTTTTTCGTTTGGCACTGATTTATCTTGATTAAAGACTTGAGCGACTTTTTTCGATCTTACAAAGACATCGTATTTTTTACCTTTTTTTTTCTTCTAAAGGACAGAAATATATTACTTATTCAATCTCCCTCGACTCGATTTCTTATTATTGATACAACAAAGCATTTGAGAAAAAAAATCACTCGGGCAAGACAAGCAAATTATGTGGTATCTTGTCTGCAATTAGGTCTAAGAACAGAGCAGAATATTCGTTTGTAATTCTTTGTACATAAATTGTATTTATATATATAAATACAATAATTGTATAAAACACTATATTATACATAATTTTATAAATATATATATATATTATATTTCATATTTTCATATCTTTCATATGTATATACATATATATACTGAGAGGAAGTCGAAGACGGGTGTGGTACACTAAAAATTTTTTATCGTAAAATTTGAAACATCTAGAGTTTTCTCTTAATTTTTATGTCACTTTCGATATTAGTGCACAGTTAGAAACTTTTAACTCTGTTTAAAATAATTTATGTTTGATTTGTAACGACGAAAAAAGAATTGTAATTGAATGTACGACGTGTTGTAATTTTATTGAATTACAAGTTAATATTTTTATATAGTATTGGAAACATGGATTTGAATGCAAGTACTATGTATCCTCGCGACTTGAAGAATTGGCATATCTTTAGTTCCTTAGAATCAAAATTCCTTAAGAATGTTCGTATAGCTGCTGTGTATGGTAATATATTTTTTTATGGTTACTTTTCTATATCAATGCAGTTATTTACATGTTATTATATATTGTTAAATTTTTGCTTAAACAGGTTGTTCAGCTAATAATGCTTTAATCGTAACAAAGGACAATATGGTGTACAGTATAGGAAAATGCCGTGATACAGGTTCCATTTTTTGTCCAAAGAAAATCGAAATATTGTGTGGTGAAGATATAAAAACTATTGCTTATGGCACTGATCATGTTTTGGTTCTTACGCAGCAGGGAAAGGTATGTAAAATGTATATTGTTGTATTGTATTATATACAGCATCATATTCCTTAATTCAATAACATTATTTATGAAGATATATTCATGGGGATGTAATTGTAAAGGTGAACTAGGAACTCCCATTCACTCTCAGACTCCAATACTTATATCAGATATATTGAATGGTGAATTTTTTATTGATATAGCCTGTGGAAGTCACCATTCCCTTGCATTAACAAATAAAGGGCAGGTAACACAGAATGCTTAATTATGAATATTTGACCTTCCTTAATAGCATATAAATAAAAGTTATACATTTATTTTAGGTATATGCATGGGGAAATTTCTCATCTATACAGGCCAACCTACTATGTGGTGGAGGTAATTCCTTTGCATTAACAATTAGACAGGTAACACAGAATGCTTAATTATGAATATTTTACTTTCCTTAATAGCATATCAAATATACATTATATTTTACGAATATGCACAGGGAAATACCCCATCTCTACAGGTCAACCAACTATGTGGTACATCTTATTTCTTTCCCGTAAATCTTTCACCAAAAAATGGGCAGGTAATGAATGCTTAACTATGAACATTTTATCTTCCTTAATAGCATATAAAATATATATTATACGTTTATTTTACGAATATGCACGGGGAAATATCCTATCTATACAGCCCAGCCAACCAGCAATCATTGAGCAATGTAAAACCAAACCAATGTTGATGACCGATTTATCAAATGTCAAGATTGTTCGTATTAGTTGCGGACACTGTTTTAGCATGGCGCTCACTGATAATGGACAAGTTTATAGTTGGGGTGATAATAGTGTTGGTCAATTGGGAACTAAAAGTAGTAGTAGTAATGTTCCATGTAAAATAACTGCACTTGCAGAAATAATAATAGGTAACAAACTTTTTCATAAATACATATTGTAAATATAAAACTTGTTAATTCTATTTGTTTTAATATACAGAAAAAATAGTTTGTGGCTATAAGCATACATTAGCATTGAGTGACAAAGGTGATCTCTATGTTTGGGGAGATAATAGTTATGGCCAATTAGGCTACATAGATTCATCTATACAAGCTGGGACACCAACAAAGGTAAAAATCTACTTCACAGATATACCTTTAAATTGAAATTAATGAATATTTTTGCAGTTGAAAATACCGGGAATATCGGGAAGAGTATTAGATATAGCAACTTCACATTATCATTTCATAAGTGTTGCTAAGAGTGAAGGCAATCAAATATTTATATGGGGTCAGTGTTACGGTCAACAAATTCAAATTCCAATGCTTACAACACTAAAATGTTTGTATTATGCTTTTGCATATTATGCATCTCCAAATATCATGCATCAGCCATTTATTTTTCACAGTGATAAAGAATCAAATTTGGCTGATAATTTAAGAGATGCCTTTGATGATCCAGTAAGTATTCTTTATAAGGAATAACGTGTCACTCATTTTATAATTTCATTTTTATTTTTTCTGACATCTCTTGGACGTTAAAGACCACTAGCGATCTTACAATTCAAGTGCATGGAAAATCCATTCATGTGCACAAAGTAATTTTGAAGATACGCTCTAATTATTTCAAAATGATGTTTCAAGAGCATTGGATAGAAAATAGTCAAAGGTAAATTAATTTTCTATATATGTTTAGATTTTTACTTAATTAACTATACATTTTAGTACTATAGAGCATGAACAATTTTCCTATGATGCATACAAAGCTTTCTTGAAGTACTTGTATACCGATGAAATTGATTCATCAACAGAAATTATATTAGGTAAACATTTTTTATTCTTCATAGCATTGAACAATATGTTTTATAATTATATTCTTTCTTACACAGAACTTTTAGAGTTAGCCAATGCCTATTCTGAAAATCAATTAATAAGACATTGTGTACGAATAATATGTAAAAAGATTACAGTTCAGAATGTAGCTTTTTTATACAACACATCTATCCAACATAATTCCAAGGTAAATAACGTTTGTTATTATTTCTCTATTTCTATTTTTTTCATACACTATTAAAATGTACTATATATTATGCATTTCTAGGAATTAGAAGAATGTTGTTTTAAATTTGCTTTAAACCACATGACTACAATAATACAGACAGCAGCTTTTGCAGAGCTAGATAAAAATACAATGAAAACTTTTATAGTTAGAGCTGCACAAGCGGGTGCTTTTAAAACATAAAATGTCACACAAAGAAACCAGCATGAAATATTTTTATACATATTATTCACATTGTTACTACCTCTGAACATCCATATTTCTTGAAAAAGTTATATTTTTGACAAATGTAAAGAATTTATTAAAAGATTATAATGAAATTGCAAGTGTCACTAAATAACGAACGTTATGGGTACTGGCATTATCAATATTATATTTATATGATTTAGAAATACATGTACGTTATATCAACTATATACATTTAAAATATTTTCTGTAATGTCGCATAAAAATCCAATTTCTAGATTTGTGTCAAAAACTGTAACATTCCTAATAATAAAACTTATTATATTTAATTTTATCTATGAAGTTTTATTTATTTTCTAATATTATGCTTAGTATATTGTTACATATATTACTTTATACGTGAAGTTTTGACATGCTATTAAATGGAGCTCTCTGTCTGAATGTCTCAAAATTCTGATAAAAAAAAAAACAGGATATCTTTCACGTTTTAACTGATATATAATCTCGAGGTTTCACTTTTGTGTAGAAATCAATTACGAAGCGATAATAATTTTAAAACGAAGTCTGTTAAAATAAAATTAATATTTTACATAGTGTAGTGATAGTAAAAAATATCATTGCAAAAATACAATGACATTTTTTTAAGACTTTTAAATATAATCTACGAGAAATTAAATATTTGGCCAAGCTTTTCGATTTGTCTATTGCATAGAATTTGCAAATCTTCATACATGCATTACATAGGTCAACCAGAATGTAGAAGGATTAGGAAGGTAAATATTAATTGAGGAAACACAATTGTGAAAGTTTACAAATTAATCCACTTAATTAATTTTTTTGCGCGAATGAAAATTTGATCGAGTTATGGATATCGAAATGCTATTAAAATGCCGCGTATGAAATTAATAGTCACTAAGGAGATAAACAAACAGTCGTCGTCAAGTAATTACAAAAGAAAGTTTGAACAGAGAGAGTAGTTAAGTTAATTCGTCGTAATTTACGTTGTATAAGAATATATGTTTTGTCGTAGTACGGTGATTGTACTAAATTATCAAACATTGTACCTACAAGACGACTATTTTGCACGCCACCTAGAGTCGTCAAACTAGGGGGCGTGCAACTAGTTTTCTGTCGGCGCAACCGCGATGGTGTTGTTTTCGTTAGTTGACGATCACCATGTGCATGGAACTGAGCAGCGATAGGCTCGTGCACCAAATCGCCGATGGTAGTAACATAGCCCTGTGGTGTTTCGTTCTCTGGACTGAGAACGGCGTTGCGCTGAAGAACTTCTGGAGTTCGAACGTTGTCTCGGTTGGTGTCCGTGTTGTCGTGAGCACTCTATTTTTAGATCCTCCAATTGATTGGCCAGCTTAGTAATTTGTTGGGACAGTGCTTGGCACATAGCCGTCATATTATTTTCCTTCGCCGTATTGCTTTGACTCGGCGTCGACACAGGTACCTCGATTTCGATTAGTCTATCGGCTAGTAACGCTAGCTCAAACAAGTCGGTATCATCTTCCCTAGCCAATAGAATATCGCGCAGCGTATCCGGCAGTTGTTCCAAAAAGATCACTCTTAGTAAGACGTCGGATACGTTCCTTCCGGCCAGGCTTTTTAGCCTTTGCAAAAAATGCGACGGTTTTTCGTTGCCCCTCTTACATGTAAATAGATGGCGAACTTTTGATTCAATCGTCTGGCCGAATAGATGTAACAGTCTGTTTTTGATCGCCGGATATTTGTCCGTGGCTGGTGGCCTCTCTGCGAGGTCCTCTACGAGATAAAAAATATCCGGATCCAGTTCGGTCAATATATAATAAAATTTCATCGTGTCGCTGGTGATTCTAGCCAAGTTCATCGATGCTTCCGCCTGGATAAACCATATGTTAGCGTGATCTTTATCAAATGGACGAAGTTTAGGTAGAACTATCCGCGTTGGTTCTCTAACCACGTTGAGGTCTCCAGCGGCTATGTCTGAAACGGGGTAGGGTACCATCATTGAGTTTATCTGCGTTGTACATTCTACTGGCGGGACACGTGCCTCTTCTTGAATCTCTGCCAGCCACGTGCCTGTCGGAGAATCCATCTTGGATTGCGTTGGTTTTCAAATCACGTTCGGGTCACCAATTTTCTAGATGGTTGGTACTGATGACTTAAATTTACACCTTACTACTAAACAACTCCGCACAAATAATTTAATCTGTATAATTTTATTTTATAAACGCTTTAGTACAAAGACGTAATGACTACGAAACTTAACTATAGGTTTCAAAGTAGATCAAAGGTCACGATTGCTACGCGTTTTTCTTAACGGTTGCTATGCCTACCTAGCTGGTCTATTGAGAAGAAGGGGAAACTCCTTCTTCCCGCGCTTTTCTATTGTCGCGCTCCGAAAAAGATGGCGCTGTCAGTATCCCGGAAATGCATCTTTCGGCGGAACGATTGAGCAGATGTAGCTGTCGCTACAGCAGCATTTATTTCACTGACTATATACAACTGTACAATATTTTATCTATGATGTAACTATGTTTTTTCGACTGATTGAAAATGAAATCGATTGCACTATCGATAACAAGGCGAATGTATTTATTTAAGCCATGACTAGCTAGATTTAAGAATGAAAGATCTAACCCAACTTTTGTATGACAAGCGGTATATTCATAGGTTTTACGAAACTAAACATTGTTAATTTCTTTTTTTTACAATTTAGTAGATCTCGAGATAGGATTATAAATACAAGATTTAACTTAAATATAAATTTAGGTTCAGAAATTATATTTGTATCATTGACTAATGATATTGCCATACATGATTACACATCTTACTTATTTTGTAGATCGTGTTTGGGTGGGTTAGGTATAAAAGTGCAATCTGATCGATTACCGCGGTTCGTCGTAAGGCGGCGTTTGATCGTCGAACAATTACATATATGTATTAAAAATATATATATATTTAAAAATATCTCAATTTTTAAATCATTAAAAATCCTTCACAATATTGTTTGTCTAAGAAGATCTGTACAAACTAATCAAATTACGTATGAATGTCAATATGGCATTATGCTAACCTGACAAATATGTTTAACCAAACGTTTAAATTTACAGCAGTATAACTTTTGAATCAGTGGATTCCTAAAACTTGATTCACGAAATCTACCAGATATTTAAAATTTTCTTCACAATTTTTGTCCCCTTAAAACACAAATTTATTCGAACGTCGCTTATATTTGTCATCTTATAAAAGTATTTCTTTAAGCATGAAGTAAATCTCTTTCAACATGTCAGTGATGTTTATAAACTTATCCAACAAGATTGACACAAGTTATAAACGGTAAGTGGTTAGTAGAAAGTTTTATTTAATTATACTCACTGCATGATTTAAAAAGGATATATTATAATAAAGAAAAAATGAAAACCTTCTTATAAATTAAGTAAAAAATGCATAACAAAATTTAAAAAGTTAACGCCCTAAACAGTGAATGAAGTATAAATTATGTAAAAATTAATTCGTTTCTAGGAATTTAGGATAAACATAGAGATGTTTCTTTGGAGTTTGAGGAATTGGCCAATTTTTAATTTCATAGATTGGAACTGTATTTCAAAAGTTCATATGGCATTTGTATATGGTAAAATGTTTATAGTTTTATCCCCATATTTTGTATGTTGGTAAAAAAAATTATACATACAAATTTATAAAGCATTATGTTTTGTTGAATAGGTAATTTAGGTAACGAAGCTTTAATTGTAACAATGGACAAAGTAGTATATGCTCTAGGATGTAATACTTATGGATGTCTTGGAATTGGAGATAGTCATGGTACTCTTTATCCAAAGAAAGTTGAGGCACTGTGTGGCAAAGCCATAAAAACTTTTGCATTTGGGAGAGGTCCATACGTCTTGGCTCTCACCGAGGAAGGAAAGGTATTTGTCATCATTCTACTATTGGGGCATTAATCTATAGCTTAATACTATTATATTGTTTGATAATGTAATTTGTATAAAAGATATATTCATGGGGACGTGATAATTACGGTGAACTGGGAAACAATTCCACCAATCACATGATTCCAACACTTGTGACAGGAAATTTAAGTAATGAATTCATTGTTGATATAGCTTGTGGAAGTCATCACTGTCTAGCGTTAACGAAAGAAGGAAAGGTAAGATAGAAGCTTGAAGTTTTATTTTAATAAAATAATACGAGCAGGGATTGTATATGTTTATTTAGGTGTATGCATGGGGTGATAACTCATGGGGACAAATAGGTTATACCGTTAGTATAAACCAAAATGCGCCTATGAAAGTGAACTCCAGGTTAGCTGACAAAACAGTAATTTGCATTAGTTGTTGCCACTCATCGAGCATGACAGTTACAGATAGCGGAGAGGTTTATGGCTGGGGTTGCAACCAGGTTGGCCAATTGGGAATTGGAAACTATGTTAATCAAGTGAATCCTTGTAAAGTTACAACTCTTGTTGGTATTGTAATTGGTAATGTCAGTTTCTGCTCTCTTCAGAATGTTGAAAATTTTTTGAACAGTGACAGAGACGTTCTTTGAATATTCATAGAAAAAATCGTTTGTGGTTCTGCACATGTTTTGGCGTTGAGTAACAAAGGAGTGTTGTATGCCTGGGGTGAAAACAGTTATGGACAATTGGGCCTTAATGAAAATCGCAAGACGAATATTTGCAGCCCGCGACAGGTAAAGTATAATAAAGTTACATTGATGAATACGTATTAATAATTGTTTTATGCTCAGCTGGCAGTGAAAAAGATGAAAAGAGTATTGGATATGGCATGTTCGCATCATAATCACACGAGTGCAGCTATGGTAGAAGGTCACCGAATATTTATATGGGGCCAATGTTTGGGACATATTGTTATAGTTCCAACACTGATTAATGTAACGTCTCTACATGATGTTTTTGCGCGTTATGCGTCACCGAGTGTTATGCATCAGCCACTTGTCCTTTATGGTGAAGAACCGGACACGAGTTTAATAGATTATTTTAGAAATGCATTTGACGATCAGGTACGTATTTATAAAGCAAAGAAATTAATATATATCATTATTTTTCATATATCGTTGTTTTTTTGAAACTATTCTCTTTGTTTCGTTTATAGAGTACGAGTGATCTCGTGGTGCGAGTACAACAAAAATGTATTTACGTGCACAAAGCTCTTTTAGTGATACGTTGTCAATACTTTCGAACGATGTTCCAAAATTTAATTGAGAATAATCAAAGGTAGGTTTATCGTTTTGACGAGTATTCTGATTTCTTAATGTTCCAATCGTTCGTTGCAGTGTTATAGAAGAGCAAACATTTTCTTACGACGTATATAAAGCTTTTTTGAAATATTTTTATACTGACGAGATCGACTTACCTCCGGGAAATATACCAGGTTTGTATTACCTATATTACGTTTATTCTTTTCCTTATAATGTGTCGTTATTTTGTTCTTTTTTTTCCTATGGATAAGAATTTTTGAAATTGGCGCATACTTATTCCGAAAACCAGTTGAAAAAACACTGTGTACAAATGATAAAGGGAGAAATTACAGTTGAAAACGCGGCTCTTTTGTATGGCACGTCTATCGAGTGTAACGTCAAGGTAAATAACATTTTGTGTTTTGTATATTCAAACGTGTTCTATAAATTTTCAATGTAATTCCAGGAATCAGAAGAGTATTGTTTCGAATTCATGCTGAATCACATGACTGCCGTAACACAAACAGCGACCTTTGCTAAATTACATGAAAACACGATAAAATCTTTTATGGCTAAAGCTGCACAAGTTAATGCTTCTGAAGCTGTAGTTTGTGATATTTAATGTATTGAATCAGCGTACAACGTGTATACTATGTAAAATTTGACAAAAGTTCTAGAAAAATTACGTTATATTCAACATAGGTTACTTGTAATAAGATTTTATTCGATGAAATCGCTCATCAATGTATTATGTGTACATAGAATAATATGAAATAAATGTTTGTTATTTATGTCAATCTACTCGCCAAATGAATCTTATTATTCATAAATCGTACAATTAACGGAGGGTAGAGAAACGTGTGAAAATTTTATTAGTAAAGTATTTTAAAGCGATGTTATACCTTGATAGTTAAGACACATTATCGGTTCCTTGATAAATGGAATATATGATCAATAAAGACTTACTAGACTATCATTCGCACATTATTTTTATTACGATATTCTCAGTATATACAAGCAGTAAATTTTTGTTATTCGTATATGTACGTAACTATTGAATAATAACAATAATGATAATAATGACAACGATGCTGATGATGACGATGACGACGATGGCAATGATGACAATGATAATGATGTTGACGTTGACGATGACGATGACGATGATGATGATCGTGACAATGACGATACGTGGCGATGATATATAATAATAATAATAATAATAACAACGACAATTGAAAACTAATGAACAATAATCAATAATCGATAATGGTATTCAATAAATAATTTGTACCTATATAAGAAATAATCAATAATAAATAGCGTTATTCAATGAATAATTCATTACGCTTTATATTTATATATTTATACGTATAGATAATACTAGGTAGTCGGTTTGCCGTATGGTATGGTTGTTAAGTGTTTTTGAATTTGCACTACCTTCTGCGTCCGCGGTGTTCGGTGCATTCTTCGACTTGACATCGATTATTGTACGTGCGTTTACGCGAAACAGTATCGAAAATATTTCAATCGCCGATTTTGCTACTGACTTTGTCGGATGAAGGTTATAGGTTATCGTCGACGTTTCCGACAGGTTCTGACCGAAATTGATGGAATTATCGTTCGCTCGACAGGTGAGGGAGATTTCGAGAAAGAAAACAGAGATGAGTTCGGAGGAGTGCGCGCAATTAGTGGCGAGGAACGTCGCGTCGAGAGAATGCATTGAACAAATGCAGCCCCCTTGTTGGCCGAGTGCCGATCAACGATCGCCATTCGATACGACGATTGACGAGAACGCACGAAGAACGCAACTGGAAAAAGGTCGTATCGAATTCGACCGGGTTACTCCGGCTATTATATAATTATTACTTAGCTTTTTGCTTCATTTTTTCTTACGTGTGCGTGTGTGTACGTGTGTGTGTGTGTGTGTGTATGTGTGTGTAATTTTAATTAGAGCGTATTTAGGCCTGCGGGCTACTTTTTTTCAGCGACTCGCTGTGAATATCCCATTTCGACAGAATTATAAGATTTTTCTTTCGACTCACGATGAAGGAAGAAAGGTAAAACAAGAATCTCTCCGCTAAAATAGTCTCTCCGTTGTTTCTCTCGGTACAACCGTCGGTCCTCCTGTTCCCCCTATTTGATTTGTAGCAAACGAGCGGTAATAGGTTAATTCGTTTCTTCTCTACTAGTAACTTGTCGTTGCGACGCGTACGATGCCCCACCCCCCCGCTCCCGTTTCAATCGCCCCTAACAACAAGTAATCCCTTATCCCGACACGATTTATATACCTTTATTTTTTTTTTCTTTTTTCTTTTTTTCTCTTTAACGACATACATATATACACGTACTCGGGGGTGTGTGATATTTACACGAGTTTATTGCACGCCGAGGACCGTTTCTTCGCGTCGACTTAAACACGACACAGATCGTCGGAATCGTTTTGGAATCGTTGGAGGACCGGCGGAGGTTCGTCGTGCGCGATTATTTTACATTAAATTACATATATAGAGTCACAGTTTAGTACGAAAACTCGTTATCGATACAATTACCGACAGTTATCAGTTTCGAGAGTTTTCTTCGAGCGCGTCACGCGGTTTGTTTTCTCTCTTCTTTTTTTTTTTTTTTTTTTTTTCGATTCAACGAATGAGAAAAAGTATACACACACACACATATATATATATATATATATGCTCGATGGTGCGATTCGTTATTTTTACTGTTCCTCCTTTTCCTCCCTCGTTTCTTTCTTTTTCATTATTTCCCTTCTCTCTCTCTCTCGCGTTTCATCTCGTCTTCGTTTTCACTTCTCTTATCGTATTAATTTATACTTTGACTTGAGTGCACCTCGGCGGAACGTCGTTTAGAGTCCTTTGTACAGACTTGGAGTAAATCTGCCGGCTGCGTGCTACCCAGCCAGTTCTCGGTCGCCCTCGACGATTCAGTGTCGCGCGTACTAGGCAAAAAAAGTTGCAGGATGAATCATCGGCCAGTTTTTACTCTTGTCAACCGCTCCGGGTCTCGTCGCGAAATATCGTCCAACTAGACTTTTTTTTTCTTTTCTCTTTTTCTGTTACCTGTTTGCAGCGATATTTTTTTTTTCCACTCTATTTTAAAACTTCTTCTTCTTCTTCTTCTTCCTCGCGAAACGAGAACCCCGTGTTTATCGCGCGAACTCTGACGCAGCTCAAACAAGAAAGAACGTCGAATTAAAAGGATAGATCAATTCAGGCGACGATGAATCAATTCTCCGTTATTCCCAATATGAACAAACCGTTGACTTTTTTTTTTTTTTTTTCTATCGCCAAGGAGAAAGAAACACAAGGAATCGAAGAATGAAGGTCGGGGGAGGTCGAGGCGCGAAAGCTTTTGGTCACCAAAAACCCGGCTCGTTTTGTTTTTTCTCGAACACTGGAAAAGCACCGCGTGACGAAATGACCCTCGATAAGGATGAAACGCATCTAGCTTCCGCCCGTACCTACCGAGGCCCAATTTCACGGACGTCGCTCTCACTCGAAAGCATTAGGCGTGAAATACACGCGTGAAATGCACGTTATGTATGTGTGTGTACGAGGCGACTTTCAATCAAACGGTCGTTCTCCATCGATCGAGTGTCGCTTCTTCGGAACGTTCGACATTGTCGTTATCTCAGAATTTCGAGAAAGAGTGGGGGGGGGGGGGGTAAAGGAAAACGTTTGTGCTTTGAAATAAACCGAGCGTTCCTTTTTCTTTTTTTTTTTTTACGGTTACGTTCTCACCTTGGTAAAAACGTTTTTGAAAAAGAACGTTTCCCTTGTAAATAAGAGACCATCGTCAAAAAACGGATTCTCGATTAGGCTCGATCGGTTTCCATTCCGTCTCTCTCCTCCGTTTCGTTTCGTTTTCCAACCTCGCGAGCCGCGACAAGAGCGCGTGACAAACATACGTACCGTATATGTACAAACGTACGACGACAGACCGTCTCTAAAATGTTTTCCTCTCTATACATGCTACATATGTATGTATATATTTATATATGCACGTACTCTTATTTGTATACGTATGTATAGTATGTATAATCGTTATCGTACATGACGCATTAAAATCATCGTGGTGAGTTTTAACGCGGCCGATACGTGCACGCGTGCACACCACGTATACGCGTGTACCACCTCCGGTATGGTTTTTGCTTGCAGCCGGGCGAGCCGGGAAACAGCCTCGGTGTATTTCGCATTTCGTCCGTTAAAAGGGAGAGGGGGCGCTGTTCCTCGACTCTCGCCGCTGATGACGTATTTACACAGCATATCGTACAAGTGATGAGAGGCGCGAGTTTCGACCAACGAGTCCTCTTCTGAATTGAATCGCCGATCGATCTGAAGTCGCCTGATGTATCGAAACAGGTGCCTAAGTTTGCGAGATCCGTTTCGAAATTAAAAAAAAAAAAAAAAAAAAAAAAAACAGATGTTTCAGCGACGATAAATTTGATTGTTGCACGAGACGTTTTCTTTTGATTTTGTCGATTTATTTCAGGGCTGTTCGGGGAACCGATCGTCCCCAATTTTTTTTTTTTGCGAGCTTTGCTCTTTCTCCCTTCTCTCTTCCCTGAATTTTTCTATTTCGAATTTTCCTCGCGTTCCTTTGGTAGATCAGCGGTAACTCTCTCTTTCTCTCTCTCTTTCTCCACTCGCCCACTCGGATAACGGACGAAATTTCCTAAATATACGAGAGAAATAAATAAAAGAAAAATGAACGCGGCGAGAGAGAACAGGCAAGTTGCTCGATGCCGACAAAAACCAAGGCAAGCCCCGTGGAATGGCAAAGCGCCAGAGATTGGAGGAGGATGAGAGGCATATCTCTCGTTGATCGAAAGCAGGAAAAAAGGAGGGAAAGGAGATTTGGTCGATCGGAAAGAGAGAGAGAAAGAGCGAGAGCGAATGTCTTCTTTATAATTTGCAATTTTCGTAGAAGCAGGGAAGTTTCCGGAGAGGAATCTTCTAATTTACCTTTTAAGCTGCCTTCTTTCCCCTCTACGAACAGTAAAAATTGTCGATTTTGAACAGAGAAAGAGAAATAGAGAGAGAGAGAAAGTTGCTCGATTCATCGAAACAACGTTACAAGTTTATGTCTGTTTCATCGTATCGTACACACAGAAAATACACGCGTGTACGTGTACGCACGCGGTGCCACACTCTACTTACAGTAATAGTTGTTACAAGTTAAATTAGTTGATTAATCTTAATTAGAACTTTGCCTGCGCTCGTGCACGTTTCTCTTTTTTTTTCTTTTTTCTTTTTTTTTTTTTTTTTTCTTTTTCTCTCTTTCTACCGATGCGAGGAACACGGAAGGTGGCGAGAACGGAATATCCTCGGGATGGCGGCGTCTGTTTGTCGCTCGAGTTCCTCCTTCGAGTCGCCTCTGATTTTAGGCGGACACCTGAAGGTGTTGTTCAGTTTCGTTTCTTCTGTCTCTGCCGCCACTTCTGTCTTCGGTTCTGTCATCTTTCCGATGCATCACGAATCCGCGCGCATCTTCTTCTCAGCCTCGGTGTCTCTCGCCAGGCCAGTGAGTCGTGCGTCGTCCCGCCGCGACTCTCTCGCAACATCCAGGAGGAGATCGCGTCGCGCCGAACATTTGGAAGATCTCGAAATCGTGAAACGAAACGAGAGGGAAATGAAGGAGAAGGAAGGAAAGTGACGATCGTTCTCTGGACGACAGCTTGGGTTAGGATAATTAATTTGTTCGTTTTAGGAATAAACAAGAACAAAAAGAAAAAAAAAATAATTATATATGGGGGAGTGGGGAGTAACCCTTCAAAGAAGTTCAGAGAAGAACGCAGAGGCGCGACCTTGGTCGGTAATCGCGTTGGAAGAATAGGAGCCGTAGTCTGTCGTAAAATCGATGGCAGAGCCGCGAGGAAAATAGAGCGCCGTGAGATACACGATAGGAATGTACAACACCTTCGATGCGAGGAGAGAGCGTTCGCGTCTCGATGCTGCACCGTGGTCGTTTCGTTTCGTTTTGTTTCGTTTCGATCGCAAGTCGAGATGCCGCATTCGACAGTCGAACCGATTCTGCATTCGCTGTCGGGCCGTAAAATTTTACGACGTCCTACTCCGTCCTGTCCTCGCAACCCGTCGGACTCACGGCTCGGCCAAGCCAATGAAATCCGCTCGTCGCTCGTACAGCTCGTTCGAACGATCAATCCTTACCCCGGGGAAAGCAACGGGGAACGGGATTCGGCCCCTCTCCGCCGTTATCGTGCACAGCGTACGATTAACCCTTTCAGCGCTATGGTTTCGGGAGAATCGATCAGTGTAGGTTATGAACGAGAATATAACCTATATATTCAATTTTGGCTATGAACTTATATATGGGTTCGTGAACATCGAGCAGTATAGGTTATAAACGAGAATATAACCTGTTTATTCAATTTTTTTCTATGAACTTATATATGGATTCGTGAAAATCGAGCAATATAGGTTATAAACGAGAATATAACCTGTTTATTCAATTTTTTTTCTATGAACTTATATATGGATTCGTGAAAATCGATCAGTATGGATTATGAACGAGAATATAACCTATGTATTCAATTTTGACTATGAACTTATATATGGGTTGGCGAAAATCGTTCAGTATAAGTTATGAACCGAGCAGTATTGATTATGAACAAAAATATAAGCTATGTATTCAATTTTTGCTATGAACTCGTATAGGTTAGGTCAGTATAGGTTATGAACAAGAATATAAGCTATGTATTCAATTTTTGCTATGAACTCATATAGGTTAGGTCAGTATAGGTTATGAACAAGAATATAAGTTATGTATTCAATTTTTGCTATGAACCCATATACAAGTTCGGGAGAACCGATCAGTATTGATTATGAACAAAAATATAAGCTATGTACTCAATTTTTGCTATGAATTCATAGAGGTTAGGTCAGTATAGGTTATGAACAAGAATATAAGCTATGTATTCAATTTTTGCTATGAACTCATAGAGGTTAGGTCAGTATAGGTTATGAACAAGAATATAAGCTATGTATTCAATTTTTGCTATGAACTCATAGAGATTAGGTCAGTATAGGTTATGAACAAGAATATAAGCTATGTATTCAATTTTTGCTATGAACTCATATAGGTTAGGTCAGTATAGGTTATGAATTTTCGCTATTTTTGCTATGAACTCATATAGGTTAAGTCAGTATAGGTTATGAACATATAACTTATATATTCAATTTCGGCTATGAACCCATATTTGGTTATAGCCAATATAAGTTCACAGCCATATTGATACTAGATATTGGTGCTCGACAGGCAAAGTGCCATTACGTGTCGTGCCTTGCTTTAAGAAATATCATTCTAAAAAAACAGATTAAACTTCCAATTTCTTTTCGTCCTCCTCCCCAAGTATCTGATTTTTTTGTTCAACAAGAAAATTGTAAATACCTAAGTTTTGTAAATAATATTAATCGAGTTGAACAGTGAAATTATTGATTTTTCAGAAACAAAAAACTGAAGTTACTTTTTTGTAATTTAATTCAATTTCGATCTCGTTAAAGTTATCAAATTTAATTATCAATTTACTTCAGGCGCGATCAATAAATTCCCCTCATCGAAACCTCAAAAACCAGACCAGCGTGCGCTTTCTCGCGAATAGTACACGCTCCGCGTTGCACATCATCGCGCTGAAAGGGTTAGTTGCGGCCGTTTTGAAATTTCTAGAAATTGCGAGCGTTCTACGACGAATCGATCAGTCGCACAGATCGCGCAACCGATTGCGGACCATAACGAGTGACCGAACCGTACACAATAATTCGTCGCTTTCTTTTTGAACTCTGTCTGATATCACTCTAGATAGATAAAAATTATTAAGAAATAATGAATTTATTACTTGTTTTTCCTGTATTATATGTAAGTGTATTTAAACTGAGAAAATATTGCAATTTTGGGGCAAAAAATTCTCGACGCGAGTGGCACGTCATTCCAACGCAAAGAGGTTATAACCACTTGGCGCTGGCAACTGATTGCGGACCATAACGAGTGACCGAACCGTTACACAATAATTCGTCGCTTTCTTTTTTGAACACGTCGGCACGACATCACTGGATAGAAATTATTGACAAGTAACAAATTCATTATTTGTTCGGCCTTAAATTCTGTGTTATACTTGAATATACTTGAAACTGAGGAAATGTTGCAATTTTCGGACAAAGAATTCTCGACAAGTGCGTGGCAAGTTGTTAAAGGGAGATTGATCGTGATTCGTATGAAACGAAAACGAGATCGTCGATCGATGATCGCGAGGATGTTCATTTCTTCTCGGTCGACTGCACAGGCGTTTAAGTCTCCGCGATTCGTACGAAGAATGCGACCGAGAGCCTGCACCAGCTTTGCATCGCGTTGCAAACGTGCGTTTGATATTGGGATATATATAGATCGAATTGCGAGATTTAACACATTGTTGACCGGTAATTTTACGCGGAAGCTGTTGTCATGTCACCAGCTATTATTTCGTAATTGAGTAAGTGAAACAGTCTAAATAAACGACATGCTTCATATACACAGAATAAATTTAAATAAAATTTTGTATATATATATATATATATATATATATATATATATATATATTTATATATATATATATTTTAGTAATTTTTTTCTTTTGGTGTGAGAAACTGTATAGCAATCGTCTACGTGTAACAGTACACAACAGGATTCGCAAATTTGCCATATTCACGACTGTCTTCCGATAAACTATCAATTTCCACGTCGCTAGAGTATATACAGTATATATTCAATACAGTATATATACAGTACATATTCAATACAGTATATATAGAGTATATATTAGAGTATGTATATAGTATATATTGAATACAGTATATACAGCATATATACAGTATATATACAGTATATATTCAAACGATCAGCGTCACGATTGAAATTTTTTTTTCAACGCTAGAACCTAAATATCAACGAAAGTAATTTTTCTCTCCATGAACAGAGTATTTTCTAAATAAAAATTTTCTTTCTTTTCTAAAAGTAATGATTCTTCTGTTTTTGTTTTTTTTTTTTTGATCTTCTAATAAAATTTTCTACAATACTAGTGAACACGAAGAAAGATTCCACGGTATCCTGGCGTTACCCCGAGTGTCGAGAAAAATTAAAACGGCTAATGCAAGTGCGGACTGTTCAGTGAATAACTCGCGGTCAACAATGTGTTAAAGTAGGAGAGAGATCGGTATTCGAAACCGCGATCATCTCTTGAATCGCGAATTGAAATTCCCGAAGATCGAATTTGGCTGCTGCAAAGTTGGAATAACGAATGCATCGGGGTTACCGATCAGCTCGGCCAGCGCGCGCGCGCAGATTATGCTGTCGGGGGTGGATTAAAAGTATCCGGAGGCCAGCTGCGTTTCGCGATAACGGATCCAGCCTGGCCATCTCGCTCGTAAAATGAAAGCATCGACGCAGCGACCCGTATTGGCCGCCGCTCGTTAATAAAACGCTGGAACGTACGAGAGAGAGAGAGAGAGAGAGAGAAAGAGAGAGAGAGAGGGTCGTGAAATTCCATCCCGTCGCGTTTTTTCTTTTCACGGGTCTCGCGTCACGTTGATCGAATTAGCCGCGCGTTATCTTGCGTTACCTCCGTTCCTCGTTGATTCCCACGAAATGGCAGACATTCAACGAATCTGCAGACAGAGACGAACAGAGAAGAAGAAATTCGAATATCAAAACACTTTTTAGTGCCGACGACGATTCATCGTTGCGATCGTGCGAGAATTCCGTCTTCCCGAAATAAATTTATAAATTTCGTTGAATTTCTCTGTGGAAATGCGAGATGTTCGACGAATTGGAAAATTGTTTAACTTAAAACTGTTTATATTCAGCGATAATTGATAATTGAGACTGTATGATACACGGTATAGTTATTAGTAATTTTGTCACAAATAATTGAAAATAGACCGTTTGTGCTTCATACTACGTGTTCTGTATCGAACTCTTAATCAAACAACGATTCTTTTCAATTTATAACTGACTTTTCCCATTTTTCCCAGTGATTTCGAATAAACATTACTGATTTCAACAAAACATTACTTTCAACAAAATATTGAAACACATTTGGTATAAATTTACTTCGTAATACGTTTCTGCTTGAATCTCGTAAATGTCATTCCCACCTTTATGTTTACGTACCTTTTCTCGAACCTTACTAAATTAACACTTTACCGACCGGCAGCCTATTAATCGGCTACCGGTCGATAAAGTATTAACAGCAACTCTTACAGTTCTGTCGTTCGACACTAAAAGGGTTTTAACCTTTTCGCGTTTATGAGTTTTCGTTGGTCGCGCGAGTAGTCGCGGTCGGAATAAGTCAGACGGTTTGTAAGGGACGTTTCTATGAAGAGTTTTGCTCGATCGAGAGGAGAACGCGTATCACGTGACACGTGTCGTGCGTCACGGAAGAATATGGCTGAATTCCTTTCCACAGAGGAATAGTCTAATGTAGAGGAGATGGTCTAAACATGGGCCCCGCATTTAAAGCATTGAAAAAGTGTCATCGTTCATTGGAAATGGTATAAACCTACAAATAAGAAGTAAAAAAAGATGCTGTGTAACCAACAATCGCGTGTTTCGTGCCAAGTTGCAAAACGTGCGTCATTTTGATTACTTTACCTTGGAGAAGTTTGGCAGGCAAGTTTGTTTTGTACAACAATAACCTATCGAAGTGAAGTGCTTCATAGCAGTGTATTGCTGATACTGAAAGGTTGTTTCACCATATTTTTTTCGTAGTGGGGATAGAGTATCGTGTGGTACCGTTTCTACGTGTTTTCAACCAAATGATCTAGACACCTAACCTAACTGGTTCTAAATATGAGCCAATATTTAGATCACTTTTTTACGTTTATATTTCAGAATGCTCAAAACTACTTTAAATCACATTCGAAAGGGAAGACGAAAGAAAAGGACATGAGAAATGACGTTATAGTCGCGTGGGGAAAAAGGATGGGTAAGAAAGTGTCAAAAGGTATTTTAATAAATACCTTCAAAACCGGAAGAGGCAATCACAAAAATTTAAAGATGTAGACATTGCAGGAATATTAAAATCTCGTGGAAGACGATAGCGATCTCAAAGTTAATCAAAGGAGGATGCGAGTTGCATCATTTTTAGACTTTTTGAAAGACATATGAAAGGAGAAACTGAAGAATCCAAAAACGTTTCTCTTGCTATATGCGAGCACATAGTAGTACAGGTGTAGAGACAGAAACATACGTTTGTGATTATTGTAAATAAATCATTAATATCCATTTTAAGTTTACGTTTAAAATTGTTACGTTCTTGAGAATTTTTATGTTTTTTTTTAAATTTCAAAGTGGCTCATGTTTAGACCACGTTTTCAAAAGTGAAGATTTCCTTTTCTCAAAATATCAAAATACATTAGTGACGATTATTTTGTTCAACTCCTGTTAATTTCGTGGTATAAAAAAATGAACATACACTGAAGATACACATGCACGCGTTACTCATTCAAAGTTGCCAATAGAGAATTCCGAAATAAAAATAGGGGCCCGTGTTTAGACCACGTTTTCAAAAGTAAAGATTCCTACCTTTTTCTTAAATATCAAAATTCGTAGTGAAGATAAATTTCTTTAGCTTCTGTCAATGCCGTAGTATAAAATAAACACATTAAAGATTAATTTTCGACTACTTCGACCACGTTTTCAAAAGTGAAGATTCCTCAAGTTTTCTTAACCCCTTGCGCCGTCAGCTGATTCCGCGGACCATAACGAGTGACCAAACCGTAATTTGTAATTCGTCGCCTTCTTTTTAAAACTCGGGGCTAATAGTAATAAACATCACTGGATAGAAATTACCAAGAAGTAACAAATTTATTATTTATTACGCTGGGTCATATTGAAATATACTCAAAACTGAGAAAACATTGGAATTTTCGAGCGCAAGGGGGTAAGACATCAAAGTTCGCAGCGAAGATTACTATTTTGTTTAGTTTCTGTCGGCTTCGTGACATAAAATAAACACACCCATTCCACTCTTTAATGAAAGTGGGGGGAGGGGGGAGGGCCCAAAATTTAGACCACCTCCTCTACATCCTCGTCCAATTCCGCCATCGAAGGTTCCCGATTCGCGAGGACTTAGTCGATCGCACTCTCGAGAAGCCAGAGAACGTAGGAACAACTGAAAAAAAAGGGGAGGGGGAAAAAAGAAAGAGACTTGGATGGAAGGGATGGGAGAACTGAACGCTCACACACGTTGACGATCGGTTCAAAGAAGGTCCACGAGTCCTTCGATCAGCGCGTAATCTCTCCTCGAGGTGGCCTGTAGATCTGTCTGTGTCCTTCGACTCTCGATCAGCGACTGAGACTTTTTTCTTGCTTCTCTCACTGGCGAGGCGACGACAGGACGATCGCGCGGCGCCGCCCCCCTCCCCGCTGCGTTGATATGTGTCTGTTTCGCTCCTCTCCCGTCCCGGAATGTCAACGAGCCACGTTGCCTCGCTTGACGCGCGTCAGAAGGTCGCCGATCGTTTCGCTGGTCCGTGTCTGCGTTCCGTTTGCCATCTCGACGATCGGGAACGGGCCGGAGAAGAAGCTCGCTGCCGGAAGCTAGACGAAGCCGCCGCGCTCGAGGATCTCCGCCGCGCGGTAGTTGGCGTCCGTCTGTATGACGATCCTGTGACTGAACAGGCTGCCGATCACCAGCAGGCCCACCATCAGAAGCAAGTGGCCACCGTCGCTCACCCTTGTGCCGCTGCACGTCTCCTTCGAGTTCACCTCCAGCTTCGCTGTGAACAGAGAACAATGGAAGATTGTCTTCGATCCGACGAATTCTTGTAATTTTCATTCATGTGGTATAAAAATCGGAGGACAAAAATTCACGAACCAAAATTGGAATAAAAAATGAACAAATTTTTCCAGCGTCGCAACAATAGTAAATAAAATAAATACACGTTACCAAGTTACTAAGAATAATAATTGAAACTATCACGAGATAAAAAAAGGAAATGCAAAATGTTGAACGATTGAAGATTTTTAATTAAAAACGTTGCATGTATGTTGCGAAGAATCATACGCTTGGAATAATGAAAATTCTCTGCGAGAGCATCATGTAAATCTGGCGTGGCGTTGAACGACCAACTTCGTAAAGCGTTTTCACAGGAAGAACGTGAGGACGGAGATAGAATACGAGTTAACGAGCGCGAAAATTCGTTGCGACCGTCCCTTTTGTCGTGTTAATCGAACGAACATATGAAAATAATAATAATTACAATAACGTACGAAATATATAATAATAATAATGTACGAAACATGTAGCACATATAAATACATGAAAATTACAACAATAAGAGAGATAAAGAGAGGACACGAACAGAGGATGCGCCTCTCTCAACGTGGGAGGATTAAATACTATTTACAAAAATTAGGGGATATTTCAAGATGGACACGAAGCGATAAAAAGAAGAAGCAAATGACAAGACAAAGAAACTTGCTCTTGTTCAATAAAAAGAGAAAAAGAAAATTAAATTCTTTTCCTTTATCGTTTGAAACGTCCCCTAATTTTCGTGAGCGGTGTATTATTATAATTAGAAGAAGTCGTCCAACTGCGAGATCTGCAGGAAGATCAACGCGTTTTGATCGATCGAAGAAGTTACAAACACGCGTTTCTTTCGTTTCTCTTGCGTTCGTCGTTTTCCAATGGAAAGAGCCGCGCGGCGATTAACGCACTTGCGACTCACGCATCGCCGCGCATCCGTGGATGTGTGGGGCGCACGCACACGTGCGCACGTTTGCGCGCACGGACGTTCCGCGCGGCGGCATCGATCCGTTTTGCCGAGCGGCCAGTTTCTCCGCCCCCTCCGCCCCCCACGCTTTCGTCTACTACCTTGTTGCTCGTCCTTTCGTTTCGTTTCGTTTCGTTTCGTTTCGTTTCGTTTCGGTTCGTTTCGTTTCGTTTCGTTTCGTTTCGTTTCGTTCGTGGGTGCTGCGATCAAAACACCCTAACTACGAGCCTTTCGTCGAGCTAGCTGCCCCCCCCCTCTCGAATCTTCTTTCGACAAAAGGTCGAAAATAGACGAATGCGGTGGTCTCGTCTCGTCGTTCGGGCTTTCACAACTCGCAACTTGTCTCTTGAACCAACGAAAGGGAAAAGGCGTGCACACCTGGATCGCGCCCTCCCGGTGCTCGATTTGCCGATCGATTGGAAAAGTTCTCGCCTCCCGACGAGGAAGGAGTCCAACAGTCCAACTGCAACTTTCTCTCCCTCGTGCGCCGGTGTTCTCACCTGACATATTTTCGTTTAATTACTCTGTCGAAGATCGTATCGGTCGACGGATTGCCTACGTTCGACGAACGAACACGAACGAAACGTCGTTTCATCTCCCTCCCGTCGCTTGGAGAAGTATTCGTCTCATTTTCGCAACGGAACATGTTTCGAAAATTTCCGAGAAATTTCGACGATTAAAAATTCGCACACGAATCGAGAGTATATGTGCAGAAAAGACCCGAGTGTTTTTGAAAAGAAAACAATTATTAATAATTATTTTATAATGTAATAATTAAAATAGATAAATAATAATGTATAAAAATAAATATATAATATAATAATAGTTATTTTTTAATTACTTTTTAAAACCATTTTTTCAGAAACAATCTATTTGTAAGTAACAAAATTATATTGTTAACTATAATTTTTTTATGACCTGAGTGTTTAATAATTATTTTATATTGTAATAATTAAATACATAAATAATAATATAATGTTATATATTATATTGAAAATAAATAGTATTATGATATATTTATGTAATAATAGTTATTTTTTAATTACTTTTTAAAACCATTTTTTCAGAAACAATCTATTTGTAAGTAAAATAATGGTTTTAAAAAGTAATTAAAAAATAACTATTATTATATAAATATATATTATTTATTTTTAATATATTATTAATTTATTTAATTATTGTAATATAAAATAATTGTTAATAATTGTTATTTTTTCAAAACACTCGGGTCTTAAAAAAATTATACTTGACAATATAATTTTGTTACTTATAAATAGATTGTTTCTGAAATGGTTTTAAAAAGTAATTGAAAAATAACTATTATTACATAAATATATCATAATATTATTTATTTCCAATTTATTACTTCGTGAAGGAAATTATTCACCATTTGGATCTTTATTCGTTGTTTGATTTCGATGCCTGTGATCACACACACACACACACACACACTGATAAATTATTTCGATTTTCATCGATTACTCTTTTCATTCGAGTGTTTTGATCTCACCGATATTTACTTCGTTATCTCAAATTGACAAATTTTCAATCAGGAAATAAATATTATTATACCCTCAAACAAATCAATATACCTCCGATTAATTATTTTCCCCAATATTACTTGCACGCAGCTTCAAATCCCTTTTAATCGACCAGCTACAAACAATCGAGCTACAAACAATTAACTGAAATCCATTATTTGTCAAATATTAAAGAACAATGTTCCAATGATATATTTACACAATTATTATTCGAAGTAAATCTCGCTCCAAGTTTCTGCGTGTGCAGCAACACGTACTGCGCAATCGTTAACGCTGATCGTTATCGTTCCGTTCTGTTTCCTCTTCGCCGTGGTCGCGGCGACAGACAATCAATCAGCATGTTTCGTGTCATTGTTCTCGCCGATCGAGCATCTGTGGTAATTAATTACGATCCGTCTAGATGGACAACTCGTTAGTTATTGATGTCTCCGTCAACGAGGCACGATCCCCCCCCCCCCTTTTTTTTGCTAAATAAAAAAATACGAGGATAATTTTCAAAAGAGGAGACTACGAAAAGTCGATGAGAAGCTTGACAGGGGGTCGCAAGCGTTGGTCGTTGCCCGTCGTGCCAACGCGCCAATGATACGACGAGAACGACTCGCTGAGCAACGATACGAAGAATAATAAATACCGAAAATACCGTTGTGAATGCGAGAAGTTTCTTCGAACGACGAGACGCAATTACGCGAGGATGCCCCTCCCTCTCCCCCCACTCCTGAACGAAACTGTGCCGCCGCGATCGCTGTTTCGGGACACACCTTGGGGCCTGTCGCGTCCGTAAAGCAATTTGAAAAGTTTCATTCGAAACCTCGTTTCGCCGACGTAGTCGTGGCAGAAGAAAGGAAGACGAGACGCTATTCAACTGTGGGCAAAGTTGAACTCGGTTTCGTTCTATGTAGGTTCGCCTATTTTTTTTCAAATTGAAAACTCGCGAGAGCGTGCACAGTATTTGCTTCCACACCCTTTCGGGATTTTTGAGTCTGTGCATCTTTCGTATCTTTGGGTCTGAAATTTTTCTTTGATTTCTGGAAGAGATGGTTAACAAAAAAAAAAAAAAAAAGATGATTTTTCACTTTTCCTTTGGCACGCAAATTTTTAACTGAAACTAATTGTAAGTATATATGTAGTTGGTAATTATTTAGAAAAGAGGGGGGGGGGGGTCTCACAGATTTTGACGATTTTTAAATATGTTGTAAAAATCGACATTTTGAACAATTTTTTCCTATACATATAACCACCGTAGGGCGTTAGTTTCAGAGATATTTGTGAAAAACTGTTGCTATTACTACAATGAATATTGCTTATAGCTACGTGCCTATGGCAGTGTTTGTGTAAGTGTCGAGTCGCCGATTGTTTACAGTTTTTATAGATACATCGAGGTCGGCAACGGGCGTTGGGTACGTATAACGGGTGTACTTAAAAACTCGATTTGAGTAGCCGGTCGCCTCGCGGCGACTGGAATAAAAAAAACCTAACCTGAACGTAATCCATTAAAATAGTTACTAGAATAGTTAGGTTTAGGTAAGGTTTAGGTTAGGTTTGGTAAGTTTTTAAGTGCCATAAAACCATAAAAACTCGATTTAAGTAGTCGGCCGCCAGAATAAGAAACCTAACCTGAACCTAATCCATTAAAATAGTTACTAGATAGAATAGTTAGGTTTAGGTAAGGTTTAGGTTAGGTTTGGTAAGTTTTTAAGTACCATACCATAAACAATGGGCCATAAAATCATAAAAACTTGATTTAAGTAGTCGGCCGCAAGAATAAGAAACTTAACCTGAACCTAATCATTAAAATCGTTACTAGGTAGAATAGTTAGGTTTGGTAAGTTTTTAAGTACACCCGTTATACGCGGCCATTGCCGGCCGCCTCGATGGATTTATAAAAACCATAAACAATGGGCGACTCAACGCTTACACACACGCTGCCATAGACACGTGACTAGGCAATACTCATTGTGGTAGTAGCAATAGTTTTCTGCAAAAAATCTCGGAAACTAAAAAACACGAAAAAAAAAAACAGTAAATTCATCGATTTACACAGAAACAGTATCCCCAGTAATTTTCAAGATATTTGACGAAATATGTCCCGAAAGAAAACCCCGACTTTGAAGTTGGTTGTCATCCTTTCAACGTCAACGATTGATAAAAAAAAAAAAATATATGTAAAAAATATTCTCTCGTAAACTGCCAATTTATGCCAAATTTCATCGAAATCGGTGACTTCGTACGTATGTTCCCGCTTGCAAGCCAAAAGCGTAAATACACTTTCATAAAGGGATCGTTAGCGCGACGAGATAACGGCGATTACGGGGCGAGCGTAATGATAGCGGCGCGGTTTCGAGCGAGTTGCAGTAGCTGTTGGCGTTGTGTCAACGGCAGTATGCGGCGGCGCACAGATTACAGGGAAGTTGTCTGATACAAGGGTGCATTTAACTCCGTCGTGACGTCACCGCTGTGGTAGAC